TTAAATGCTTTGTGCTTTGCCCAGGAAACCCCGTCACGGGTTTGCCTCCTACAGCACCAGCCATGCACTAGCTCCCTAATCTCCTGGCCTGCTTCTCCTCCCCTCCTTGACCTCCGCTCCTGGCACAGCCTAGAGTTTTCTCTCTCACCTGCTCCTTGGCTATCTTGCCCAGACACGAGACTTTGCTGGTTCCACATTTTGTTGGTTCTCAATCACACATGTTCAGAACTGCTTCATCCAGGCTACTTGGTGCTATGCATCCTGTCTGTTATGAGGGTGTCTGTCTGTCTTTCAGGCATCCACTGTGCGCCAGACCAAGGGTCCTGGGAGCATAGGTTCTCCTTATCCTGTGCCCTCCAATCTTCCTGTCTTGGGTAAATGGCAGCTCTAATCTTCAGAACAAAACTCTGATTTCTGTTATTTTGTCAAATCCAAAACCCAATATGTAAATCTTACTGACGTCACCTTCAAGTTCTATCTGTAACCTGAGCGTTTTCTCTGCTTCCTCCTGGCCTCCGTGAGGCCACGTCTACTCTTGTCTAAGTGCTGGCCTCAGCATTCTACCTGGCCTCCCTGCTTCTACCCTGTCTCCTCAAGCCAGAACTGCAGTGACTGGGTCATCTTCAGGAGGGGCAGACTCATGGACCTCTGAATCAGTGACACGCCTCTTTCTCACCTTCCTTGCCACACTCCATCCAGTAGCATCCCTCCTGTTGCTTGAGCCAGCCAGCTATGCTCTCTGCTGCTTGGTACCCATCCTGGCTTTTTCTTCCCCCGGATATTAACACGATCACAGTCTCCTTTATCTAATCTTCCCTCTACAGTGAGTGTTATGGTTTGAATCTATCAGTAAAAAGATTAATAGGTTAGCTGGAAAGGTAACTAAGGCTAAATGAAGGACAGCCAATTCTGCTATTTGTGTGGACTTGTATGGAACTTTTATTTTAACAGTCTTCTAGACTGTGACTACAGCAGCTGTGTCGTTACAGAGGATCCTGTAAATGCATTAAGGGCACAATCTAGGAAAGCTAGCAAAATAATTTTAGGAAAGCAAACCAGATGTTTCTCAAAATTTTACTAATTTATTAGGGGGGTAATGGTTGTCGAATTCAGCAGACTGAGTGGTTAGAAAGATAATCCATTCTGGGCTAAATAACTGGAGCCAGCTAAGCTGCTCCTGATTGTACGGAACAATCACTTTATCAGGGATTTTGTCAAACGTCCTAAGACTCTCAAGGTAGGCTGTGTGCAGCACCTGCAGGACAGCCAGATGATAGGGCTGCACAGCCTTTTTGGGAGAGTCTCTTCCATGAACACCGGGAATAGGTCCCTCCTGCCAAAAGACTTCAGTGGGCTGCAAGACCAGCAGAAGCAAAGGCTGGAGATAATCGATATAATTCAGATGGACTTCTGCTAACCGTTGTTTGACTAATCTAAGACATTCACGGCCTTCAGGTGTCAGTAGCCCAGGAGACGTGGGGTTTGAGTCACCTCTAAAGATTTCAAATAAGGGTTTTCATTCCCCTGTTGTTAATTCCATTGATGGTCTAATCCAATTAATGTCCCTCCAAAGCTGTTGAAAGTCATTAAGAGTACAGAGCTGATCTAGTCTAAGAGTGGTTTTTCTGTGGTCGAACTCCAGCAAGGAAACATAGTCTGCATTTTCTCAGGGACAACGACTAAACCAGACCATTGCAATCCCTCATAAAGTGTTTGCAACCCTGCATGCAAATAACATTTCTTTGAGGCTGCAATAAGAATATCATCCATATAATGAATATAGCTGGGGATGTTGCTCCCTTGGGGGCCGCAAAGCTCTGGAAACATAACTGGTACAAAGTTAGATTATTAGCCATGCCCTGGGCAACACAACCCATTGATACCTTTGGTGTGGCTCTCTGAAATTAATAGAGGGAACGCTGAAAGCAAATTTGGGTGAGTCCTCAGGATGCAAAGGAATAGTAAAAAAAAAAAAAAAAAAAAAAGCAGTCCTTGAGGGCAATCACCACCATATGGTAATTCTTAGGGATAGTCACAGGTCTTGGCAATCCTGGCTGTAATGATCCCATAATTTCCATACATTTGTTAACCTGCCTGAGGTCCTGCAATAGTTGCCAACTGCCAGGTTTCTTTTTGATAACAAATATGAGGGTAGTCCAAGGGGAAGGGGATGGGACTATATGCCCAGCAGCTAACTGTTCTTGCACAAGCTGCTGAGCAGCCAGTAACTTGTCTTCTGATAGGGGCCACTGTTCCACCCATACTGGCCTAGTTTCTCTCCGTTTGATGTGAATTGCAACTTGTGGCTCAACAGTGGCCCTCAAAATAAATTTTCCAACCTTGTTCTGTCCCTTCCTCAGTCAACCCTTCCTCAGCAACAGCCTGTGGATCCCCCTGAGGATCTCCGTTTAGCCCCCAACTGGGGCTAAAGCCCTGGTCTGCTAACATATGCTGCACAGGTTCAGCAGTCAGAACTGCCCCCATAACTTGCAAATTGAGAGGAAGGTGTTCCAGGACAAATGGTCTAAAAATGCCCTTATGACCTTCATCACCCTTCCAATGTAAACATTGGGTACTGCACTCTGGAGAACTGGCCAATCCTACCCCTTGTAATGTTATAGAGGCCAGGCCATGGGCCAATGTTTTTTAGCAATCACAGAAGAATCAGCCCCTGTATCTGGAAGACCTTTGAACTTTTCCCCATTAATTGTTAATATAAGTGTGGGGCGGTTCTCTAAACTAGAAACCCAAAAAGTTCCAGGGAGTCCCGTGGAGCCAGACCCCTTAATCCCTTGTTCTTGTTTTAAAAATGGATCAGTAGAGCAAAACATGGGCAAAAGCACCAGTTGAGCTATTCTCGCTTCTTAAGGGATGACAAGGACTCCCACCCTGGCTCCAATCATAATTTTAATTTCTCCAGTATAATTATAGTTTATAATTCTTGGTAAAATTTTAATCCCTTTAAGTGCTGAACTACTTTTTCCCAGGACTACTCCTATCGACCCCTCTGGAATAGGTCCATATACTCAGTTCCCAAGGCCTGCATACCCATCTGTGGGGACAATACTGCCTGGGCTAGTTTTACACTTCCTGGGGTGGGGCCTGGGGCAGACCCCTCCTCCCGTTTCCTGACAATAGAGAGGAGAGGAGGGTGCCTCACCCGGATTAGGGAGTGGCAGGAAAGTTTGATCTAAAGAGCTCCCAAGCTGGGACCCTAGAAGTGAGGAGCCTCGGGAGAATAATTTTCTTAGAAAAAGCTGGAGATAGATATGGGGCAGGAGTTGAAATTGTCAGTTGGGAAGCTGGGGTCACAGCGTGCAGAGCTGGGGAAAAGAGATCACCGCAGGGTCTGAGCATAGGAAGGAAGTGAGCACAGCTGGTGCACAGTGTAGAGAGGGAAGGGGCAGGCTGATACAGGAAGCGAACATGGCAAAGGGCCGTTCCCAAGACACTCCAGGGCTGCATACAGACTTCTGCTCTGCAGACAGTTTCACTATGTCCCTGCTAAAACAAAGCAAAGCAAGACAAAAATTCTCGAGACAGGCTGAGCGTGGTGGTGCATGCTTTTAACTCCAACACTTAAGAAGCAGAAACAGGTGGGTCTCTGTGAGTTCGAGGCCAGCCTCCACTCACAATGAGTCCTAGGGCTGCCTGGGTCACTAGAGAGCTCCTGTCTCAAAATAAAATTAAATATGCAACCCCCCCCCCAACAAAACAACAACAAAAACTTCACGAGACCAAGAAACAGCGGAGTGACCCATTGTAGAGGCTAGCCCCAAAGGGCTTAAGACAAGTTGCCACGCCTCCTTACTAGAGTGACACCAAGTAGCGGTTGCGAGGGGCCAGAGGGGGCAGAGAGGAAAAGCCTATGTGAGCTCTAAAGCCATAGTACTTCTTATGAAAATTAAGGCAGGTCTTTAATGTAAGGCCTTGAACCCACACTGTCTGTAGGCAAGAGGGGAGGGATATTACTCCCAATTGGGAAAGGCTTTGGTTGTCTGCATGGAGAAGTAACCATCACATCTGGATACGTCGGGGCTGCAAGCAGGATGCCTGCCACTCCGTGTCTTATCTCATATTCGAGAAGGTAAAGCAGACATTTGCTCTTGCAGGCCTGCAGCCTGTAACTTATTAACCCTCCCCACTCCTGCTTTCCTCCCTTCCAGCCTCCTTTGTCAGGAAATCGAGGACGTCTCGGATCCTTTCTTTCTTTCTTTCTTTCTTTCTTTCTTTCTTTCTTTCTTTCTTTCTTTCTTTCTCTTTCTTTTTTTCTTCTTTCTTTCTTTCTTTCTTTCTCTTTCTTTTTTTCTTCTTTCTTTCTTTCTTTCTTTCTTTCTTTCTTTCTTTATTCATTTATTTATTGAGACAGGGTTTCTCTGTAGCTTTGGAGCCTGTCCTAGAGCACGCTCTTGTAGACCAGGCTGGCCTCAAACTCAGAGAGATCTGCCTGCCTCTGCCTCCTGAGTGCTGGGATTAAAGGCGTGCGCCACCACCATCTGACTGAACTTTTTATCATCCGCTTTGCAGCTCCTCTGGGCAGCCCTCTCTACAGTTGTGCCCTCTTGGTCCTGGATCCTGGCACACCCATTCCCTAGTATCAGTAACACAGGCAATCCTTTCTCCCTGAGTTACCTGTTGATCCTGTCCAGCTTCGGGTGTTTTGCTGGTTACAGAAGGCCCAGAGAACCCCAGAGGTTGTCTTCCACCCTGGGAGACCATCCAAGTAGATAGAGGAGGCAGCCTAGGCAGGAGTAAGCCCAAGATGATCCTGACAAACACTGTCACCAAGCTTGTCCTAGGCTGTTCTGGCCAGCGTAGAGGTGATCCCCTGAGCTGTATCTTGAAGGACAATGGGGAACCAGTCCTCACGAGAAAGGCAAAGGAAAGCAAAGAGGAGAGCTAAAGGCCTGGCAGCTGGGGTCAAAGGAACCACGAGACCCAGATGAAGGTTTGGACCCCCTGTGCAGGCATTGAGTGTAGACACACACACACACACACACACACGCACGCACGCACGCACGCACGCACGCACGCACGCACACGCGCACTAACACTTTGCAAGGAAGTTTGGAACATGCCTGGTTTCTCAGGCTCTCTCTGGGAAGACTGCTCATCGCTCCCTCCCCTGATGGTCCCATCTGGCTCACTGCCTTTGCAGGCCTGTAAAACTCCCAGCTTCAACTTTGGACTTTGTACCGGCACTAGAAATCCATTTGTTTATCAGAGCTGGTAGCAGAGCCTGCTGAGGTCTGTTCCTTCAGGGACAACCTGGACCCCTTCTTCATTCCAGTTGCACTAATCCACAATATTTGGGGAGGGAGCAAGTCTGCTTCCCCTCAATCCTTGGCGAGGTGTTAAGATGAGTCCTCCCTGCGGAGGGCGCTGCAAATCCCGGTTGCTGCCCCGCCTTCCCTCCACCTGCACTTCCGCCCCGCCCACCCGCTGCGGTTCCAGGTGAGTCAAGCTCCCGCTCTGGCCCGCCCACCTGTCCAGGTTCAGCAGTTCCAGCCGGAAGCTACCTCCACGGACTGTGCATAGTGTCTGAAGGTGGGAGCGGAGAGGGGGGAAGACAGTGGGGGTGTGGGAGCGGGTACTCTGGTCTATTCTGATCCTCAAGGGCTCCTGTGTGCAGCAGAGAAACTAGATCCAGTTGCGGGTGTGTACGTCTGTCTGTGTAGATCCGGAGGGGTGTGTGTTATTGTGTTGTTATTGAGTTGTGAAGTGACAGTTGGAGGGGGTTGGGCAGGCAAGTACAGGCTGTGAGTCCAGAGGTGTTTGGAAAGGGACTTTGTGTATATCGATGGAAAGAATTTACAGAGCAAGGCAAGGGAGGAAGGAGACAAGTGTCGAAAAGCCCAATTGAACTCACTGCCAGGCGTAACAAATTCTTGTTTGAGTACTGAGTGCCTAGCGAGAAGTCCACAGAAGGCCCCCAGAGATTGCTTGCGAATGAATGAATGAACTAGGTAGGTCTCCTTGCTGAGGCTTGCCTCCCTCCACCCCATCACTCTCTCCCCACCGCCTTCCTTCACTTTACAAGTTGTGTGCTGAGGCCAGCTTCTCCCTGCCCCCAACCAGGCACACAGGCCTCTGCCTCAGGGAAGTGTGTGGCTGGTGCTGGCCAGTTCTGACTGGATGCTGATGAGGCAGAGGTCACTTGTGGACCCTGGAGTAACCTCACCAGTTGAGAGGGCTGACTTGGCACTGAGGGGTGAAAACTCGGAGAGCTGAGGGGTGGATAAGGTAGGTGTGTGTGTGTGTGTGTGTGTGTGTGTGTGTAGTGTGTAGGGTGGGGCTCTGCCAGGAAGGAGAGTGTGGCCTGAGGGCCCCCATGCTGGATTTTGAGTTCCTCAGCCAAGAACGGGACATATTTGGCATATGGGGAGCAGTGGAAGGAGTTCCCTAAGACTCAGAGAGTTGGCTCTGGGAAGTGGATTGGGGATGGTTAGACACCAGCTAGGAGATCTTGGCTGGAGACTGTGGCTATAAGGACAAAGTGTAGGTCGCTTGGACATGGCTCCGTCAGAGGGTAGGAAGAGGGTTAAGTTACTGGAGGGGGAAGCGGCACGTCATGAATGAGGGCATCCTCTGGGTATCACACAGGACTGTGGCTGAATACACCCCTAAGCTGGGTGCTTTAGTCCCTTGCCCGGCCACTCTGCCTAGGGACACCTCTGGTTCCTGCCGCCCTCCTGCAGATGCTGCCCAGCCTCAGCTGTCTTGCTCTTCCTTCCCTGGCCGCGCCTCAGGGTCACGTGTGTCTCCTTACACGTTGTTGACCTCCTTCAGAGGTGTCCAAGCCTAGTCCTATGCATGTGACCTTCTCCAGCTACTCCCTTGGCTCAGATGCTCCTCCCCCAGGTTCCCCAGCCCTGAGTGCCACGACCCTCACTGTGATCTTTTCCTACTCAGGTGGTCGTCTCCAATAGTTCCCTAGTATAAGCCTCACTGCGGTGGCACAGTGTGGGCCCCCGTGTGTAGAGGTGAGTAGACAGATGCCCGCCGGAAGGACTGGGATGAACTGTAGGGGAGGCTCCCGACACAGGAGCGGAAAGGTGGGTGCCCTGGCTGTCTGAGGACAACCCTCTGTTCCTGGGGTCTGCTGTTGAGCTGGACAGTGCCGCACAATTGCTCCCAGACTGCTTCTGTCCTGTTTCCATCAGCTTGCCGAGGAGCGGGCCAGACTATGCTCTGATGTCAGAGATCTGAGTTCAAATTCTGAGGCCTCAGTTGGATCATTTTCCATTTGGGGGCCTCTGCTTTCATCAGTAAGGCAGGGGTAGTGTTTATACTTATGTAGTGAGATTCTGTGAGCACAGTGCTAAGTGTTCTTACTAAAGGCATTAGAACTTCCTGATCAGCCCCTTCCAGAGCTGAACTCCATTCATGGCAGCTTACCTTCTCTTCCATGGACCAGTGATGTGGGCAGTGGTCCTGTCTGTAGCAGCCTCTATCTAACTCTGGCCCCTACACCTCTGTACTTTTCAGGACTTGTACCCCAGGGCTGCCTGGAGCCTGGGGTGTCCCTGGAGCCAGAGCTTTTTCTGACAGAGGCCAAGGCTCACCGATGTCATCAGGCCTCTCCATGACTGAAGCAAACCAAAGTGAGTGGTAGAGAGAGAGAATGGTCGAGGAGGGACTGGGTCCCCTCAGTGTCCCCTGGGAGCCACATCTGGGGACCTCTTGTAACCCTGTCTCTTTCCATGCAGCTGAGTTCTCAGTGTACAACACCACCACGTCAACGACGGCCTCCGGAGGCCGGGCATGGCCTGTGCTGGTAGGGGTTTTGCTGGGGGCCGTGGTCCTCTCCCTACTCATTGCTCTTGCTGCCAAGTGCCACCTCTGCCGCCAGTACCGGGCCAGCTACCGGCATCGCCCACTGTCCAGACCAGAGGGTGGGAACCGCCCACAGGTGGGTGAGGATGAAGATGATGATGGCTTCATCGAGGACAACTACATTCAGCCTGGGGCTGGAGAGATGGAGGCTGCAGGGAGTCGGGACCACTTCTCTCTCTGAGCCCCATCTTTGGACACTCCCCACTTCCCTCCACGCCTGGCACTTTAGAGACAGCGATGCCTCAAACCTCAGGGTCAGAAGTGGCTAGAACTTAAAAGCTTGCCCAGGGGGCTGTTTTTCTGACACCAGTGTCAAAGTGACAATTCTGGCTTTTCAGTAACTCCCCCGTGGCTTCCTGCTGTCCCAGGATAAACCCTGGCAGGGCACAACTGTGGGGAAGGCCCCGTGTGCAGGCCTCTTGCCTCTTCCCTTTCCTCGCCTCCCTCCTCCCTGTCTTACTGAGTTTTTACCACAGCCGCCCGCTACTTGGGTGGCTTTGTCCGTCATCATGATGGCGGCCCTGACCTAAAGAGTCCCAGGATTTCACACATGCCCCGGCAGGAGAAGACTGTGCCAGATTTCTTACTGAAAAAATTTTTTTCTTATCAAAATAAAGTATGTGATTTGGTTATAATGTTTTTCAAGGAATTAATAAATCTATTTTCATTTTGGATTAACAGAAGAAGTCGTCCCTTTTATATTTTCTCTGATCCTAAACGCATTGCTGGAAGATGCTACCCAGATCTCCTCTCTTCCAGGGTACCTCCCATGAATATCTCTCTGGTCACAGTTTATTTTATTAAAGTAATTCCCCCACCCCACGACAGGGTTTCTCTTTGTCACGCTGGCTGTCTTGGTCCATCTGTAGACCTGGCTGGCCTCAAACTCACAGAGATCCATTTGTCTCTGCCTCTCCAGTGCTGGGATTAAAGGTGTGCACCCGGTTTAAAATAGTTTTTACCGGGCCAGTGAAATGGCTCAGAAGATAAAGGGAGTTGCTGCCAAGGCTGCCAAGGCTGAGTTTGATCCCGGGGATCCACAAGGTGGAAGGGACGGAACTGGCTCCCGAATGCTGTCTTCTGACTTTCACACAGGTGTGGTGGCTCACTTGTGCCTAGGCACTAAAGAAATATAAAATAAATAAATAAATAAATAAATAAATAAATAAATAAATAAATAAATAAAATAAAACAACTTTGAGATTCCATATTACACCTGTCAGAATGGCCAAGATTAAAAACACTGATGACAGCTTATTCTGGAGAGGATTTGGTGTAAGGGGAACACTCCTCCATTGCTGGTGGAAGTACAACCTTGTATACCTTCTTCAAAAATCAGTATGGTTGTTTCCCAGAAAACTGGGGTCAATCTAACTCAACAATCTAACCTTTTATATCATTATTTTTATGCTAGTCAATTTGGAATATAAATTATAGGTTTTTATTATAAATTTATGTTAATCATTATTGTTTGTCAATTTATGTATCTGCCTTTTGTTATTATTGTTGGATGATATGTGAATTTGAACACAGAATAATAGCAATAATATAATCTTTCATTCAAAAAAAACCATAAAAATAATTAATTGACAATTTCATACACATATGTCATGCATTTTGGTCATAATCACCCGACTTCCCTCTCTCACCCCCTTCTACTCTGACACCTTCCTTCCTATTACATCACCTTCCTACTTTCATCTTTAAAAAAATAATCCCATGGCTTTAACTAGGGCTGTTTGTATGTATATACATGTAGGATTGTTACCCAGATCATGGGTGTCCTCATAGTAACTACACCCCTGCAGAAAAACGGCTCCTAGCTGCTCTCCCGGCCAGCATTATTTTCATCCCTACACAGTGAGAGCAGCCCGTGAGCCTGAGGCCAGGTCGTGTCTTAGTCTGGAATCTCAGTTTCTCACTCGGCCCTTCAGACTCTGCCAACGCTGGAGGAAAACATTTGGTGAGGATGTCCACAGAGATCCAGATAGCTCTGAGTTTGCCATGCGCCGCTCTTCTGTGCTGAGTCCACGAAGACGGGACCATGTGAGGACATTTGTCACGCACCGATGTTGGGCTGAAGAGATGGCTCAGTGGACAAGACTGCTTACTGCCCCTACAGAGGATCCAGGTTTAGTTCCCAGCACCCACATGGCAGCTCACAACCATGTGTAACTCCAATTCCAGGGGATCCAACACCGGCTTCTGGGATCTTCTAGAATTGAAGGCACGCACGGTGCACAGACTCAGGCACACAAAACACCCACACATACAAAATTAAAATTAAGGCCAGTAGTGGTAGCATTCGCCTTTAATCCCAGCATTCGGAAGGCAGAGGCAGACGAATCTCTGAGTTTGGGGCCAGCCTGGTCTACACAGCGAGTTCTAGGACAGCCAGGGCTGTACAGAGAAATCCTGTCTCAAAAACGAAAACCAAACGAAAATTAAAAGAATCGGAGGTAGTGCTCCTCGGTCCCCCAGGTCTCTGGCTGGTATTTGAGCGCTACCCCCACACAGTGTGAAAGGTGGGAGCACCGGCAGGGACATGAGGTGAGCACCACGTTTGCAGACGCAATGCTCGTGGTTTTTATCTCCGTGTGCACCGCGCTGCTCGCTGAGGGCGTAGCGTGGTTCCTGGTTTACAGGACAGACAAGTACAAGAGATTGAAGGCAGAAGTGGAAAAACAAAGTAAAAAAATAGAAAAGAAAAAGGAAACTATAACGGAGTCAGCTGGTCGACAACATAAAAAGAAAGATAGACAAGAAGAGAAACTAAAGAACCATCGCGATCTGTCAACGGTACGAACGAAATCCACGTTTGCAACTGGCTTTTGTTTCGCTGCCTTAATGGGAATGTTTAATTTCACGTTTGAAGGTGGAGCGGTGGCAAAGCTCCCCTTCTCCCCCTTTCTCACATCCAAGGGTGTCTCATGGCAACCTGCTGGGCAACTGTACCACAGACTGCTTTTCATCTTCCTGTACACTCTCTGTTCTATGTCAACTCGACAAAACATTCAGAAGATGCTTGGCCTTGCCCCGTCTCGAGCAGCCACCAAGCAGGCAGGTGGATTCCTTGGCCACCCACCTCCTTCTGGAAAGTTTTCTTGAAGGGAAGCAGAATTCTTTATTTCCTGTCCACTTTCTAGACATTCACATCAGACTGCCAAGGCACCTGGCCACATTCTAGCTCTGAGTTATTTCTCAGCTGTTTGGATATGATCGGAATGAGAATGGCAGTTAGCTAGTGGGAAGGTGCTCTGGGTCATGGGTGGCTTCTTTAGTGAGTGGACACACTAGTCAAATTTGGGTGATTCTGCTGGGCGATGGTGGCGCACGCCTTTAATCACAGCACTCGGGAGGCAGAGGCAGGCGGATCTCTTTGAGTTCGAGACCAGCCTGGTCTACAAGAGCTAGTTCCAGGACAGGCTCCAAAGCCACAGAGAAACCCTGTCTTGAAAAACCAAAAAAAAAAAAAAAAAAAAAAAAAGGGTGATTCTTATGTAATTGCAAAGATCATCTTTCTTCTTTCACTTAAGTATTTCTATGGGACTAGTGATCAAGCCTGTGAAGCCTGTGTATATGCCATGCACCATAGAAGCAGACTGCCCATGAACATTAGACAGCTAGGAGAACAAAACAGTTTGTGTAACAACTTAATAGGATGTCTCTGATGTTTTTTAAAAAGCCAAATATATCACTTATGTTTGATAACAAGCCAAATTTTTAGCTGTTTCACTTAGAGAGATATTTGATTTTTTTCATATTTAAATAAAATATTTTCTGTAATCTGAACATAAGGGTAAGCATTGGCCCAGAAGAGCTAAAATAAAATTTTGTCATGTGTTCCTTTAAAAAAAAAAAAGAATCAGAAATACTTCAGAGATAATTTAAAGAACACAGGAGAATATGCATAGGGTACATACAAATATTGTGTCTTTTGTATAAGATACATATGGATTTTGGTTTCTGCAAGGGGTTTTGTGGTACAGGGCTCCAAGGGACAGTGGCCTTTGTTGAATGACCACGGAGCAAATGTGGGAAGGTGAAGACGTGAAGGCAAAGGTGGAGGGAATCATCAAGAATCTGAGCTATGGGAAGGCCAGGTGTGGTGCACACCTTTAATCCGAGAATTTGGGAGGCAGAAGAAGGTGGATCTCTGACTTTGAGGCCAGCATGGTCTACACAGGGAGTTCCAGGACAGCCAGGGCTATGTAGAAAGACCCTGTCTTCAAAAAAGAAGAAAAGAAAAGAAAAAAGAAAATTAAAAAAAAGAAAGAAAGAAAGAAGAGAAAGAGAGAGAGAGAAAAGAAAAAAATAGCTGTGAGGCCAACAAGATGGCCCAGAAGGGAGAGCGCTTGCCGTGTAAGCCTGACAACCTGAGTTTGAGTTTGAATCCTGTAAAGGTCTAACACAGTGGTTCTCAACCTTCCTGATGCTGCAGCCCTTTAATACAGTTTTTCATCTTGTGGTGTCCTAGCCATAAAGTTATTTTGTTGTACCTCATAACTGTAATTTTGCTGCTGTTATGAATCATATTGTAATGCTTGATATCTAAGGGGTGGTGACCCACAGATTGAGAACCATTGTCCAAGGGAAAGACTGGCTCCAAAGGGCTGCCCTCTGATCTGTGTACACACGTGGCGGCACGTCCGCAACCATAAATAAATAAGTAAATAAATAAATAAATAAATAAATAAATGGTGATTGGGAGGATGGCTCCTACAGGCAGCCTTGAGATGGGCGGAGCTTGAGATGGGAGGAGCTTTACTCTTTATTCTTTCATTATAAAGAGTAAATAGGGGCTTGGGGAAGGATCCTGGCCTTGCATAGAAGCAAAGGGACAGCTAATTTAGGAGGCAGGAAGCAGGTTGTCCTAGCCTTGTGGGTGGTGGCTGTTCCTGTAATGCTCTGTCACGGGTGTGACATTGAGTGAGTCTCCTAGAACTTCCAAAATCTCGAGGGGTCTAAGTTCCAAGCAATCAGGCAAGACACTGGTCCAGCTCGGTTCAAGACCCCTGATCTAATCAGCCAAGACCTGGGGGATGCAAGAGCCTAGAGTCCGGTAGCATACAGGAGATCGGGGGTGGGGAGGTGTGGTCTGTTCCAGATCGTTCCCACACAAGGGACCATCCTCACAAGCCAGGTAGCCACTCTGCTTGTGTCTGCCCAGTGTCAGCCTTTGAAGGAAAAGTCTTCAGAGACGGAAATGGAGGTGGGGGAAGTGGCTGATGAAGGGAGGGGCTTGTGAAAAAGCAAGGATTTCAGATAGGCAACAGTGAGGTGTGTCTGAGAGTCCTTATCAGTTGTGAAACTGTAGTGTCAATACTGGTTAGGGCGAGAGAGAGAGAGAGAGAGAGAGAGAGAGAGAGAGAGAGAGAGAGAGAGAGAGAGAGAGAGAGAGAGAGAGAAATAAAAGACAAATGGGTGATAAGACCTAAGGCATGGCACAGACTCCGGTCACAGAAGGGGCAGAGTTGATGGACGTCACTGACTCTGAATCTGGGGAGCTGCCCTGGTTTCTGGCTTGACATCTGGGCACAGTAACAGGAAAGCAGGTTGGGGAATGGCCATTGTAGAGGAAGGATTTCCAGGGCGAATACCCAGGACAGGGTTTATCTGGGAGCTGTCCAGTCTGGACACTTGGGTTTGGAGGTGTCAGCAGTGTGGTCCTAGAAAGTACCAATGCATGAAACTGCCAGGGAGGCAGTTTCACTGAGAGGAGATGCCAAGGGAGGAGTGTCTGGCGGGTACGTGGTAGGGGTTGTCTGAAAAGAAGGGCAGGGCCTGGAGATGGGAGGAGGAGCTAGAGGGGAGAAGTCTGGCTCATGGGGTCTGAGTTACCAGTTGTTCCTGAGTTCAGAGATGGTTTGACTCTTGAAAACTTAGGAAGAACATCCTGAGACCCTGAAGGAGGGCTCCTGTGGAGAGTGGGCCTAAGGGATGGGCACATCCCGGCTTCTAAGGGAGGAGCTGCAGCAAACATGGTTTGATCTGCTCCCTGCCCTCAGCCTCCACTGAGGAGAAGCTGACCCGTGTAGCTCTGGACCTGAGTGTGGGACAACGGCTGCCATTTTTACATAGGCTTCAGGCCCGGGCTGGAGTCTCTGAGGACCCAGGAGATGGTAAGTGCTGATTCGAAATTAGCAGCTGTTTTCCTGCCCGCAGCAATCAAGTTCCACAAGCGTGGCTTCCTCTCAGAACCTGCTGTTGGATGCCAGGCCTGGCTGAGCAAGACCCTGAAGTTGCAGAACCTTGGACCCTGTCCTAGAGCCTCATTTGATTCTTTGGGGCAGTCTGTTCCCATGTTCCACATGCTTGGTTCCAGGCACAGGGAGGAAACTTGACCTGGGTCATAGGCTTTGAGGGACAAAAGTGCCGAACCATGGAGGAAGAGAATAATGCCATTAACCCAGCCTTCTCTCACCTGGCCTCTTCCGGCCTCAGGTCCTGCCCCCAGCTCGCCACTGCCCACTCCTCACCAGTGGTCACTACTCGCTGTGCCCCAGAGCCTCCAAGTCAGACCTGAGTTTGGAGGAGAACCTAGCGTCTTGGCTGCCTTAAAGGCACGGCCATGTTTCTTACGCTGTGCAAAGAGCAGACGTGGAGGGGGGTGGGGAGGGGTCTGGAAAGCTGCAGGCACGAAGTTTAAGAAACTCCCGGCTGCAGAGAGGTCATTCAATAGAGCTCGCAGCACAAACACGAGGATCTCAGAAAACATGAAAAGCTGGGCATGGTGGTGCATGCTTATAAATCCCAGCACGGGAGAGGTGGAGACAGGCAGACTCCTGGCATCGCTATCCAACCAACCTATCCTACTTAGCAAACATCAGGCCGATAGAGACACTGTCCCAAAACTCATGGTGATGGCTCTTGAGGACATTTGAGACTGACCTCTGGCCCTTGCACAAAGGAGCACAGATGCGCACCTATGCATGCATGAACAAACACACACACACACACACACACACACACACACACACACACACCTCTTAACAGCATCCTAACAATCACTTGAGAGTACAGGTTAATTCAAGTCCCAGCTCTGACGCTGGCGTGCTGTGTGAACTTGGACAAGTTATTGAACCTCTCTGTTCCAATTTATCAGTAAAATGGATATTGTAACGGTATTCTCTTCATATTGTTGCTGGCGAAACTGAGTGAGTAAGTGAACTAGATCGCTAAGGATTGGTACTCCACAATAGTTCCCTACAAGAGGTAGCCATCATTCACGCTGGGGGAGGAGCTTGCTAAGACTCCTCTCTTGTCATTCACTTCTTGCTGGAGGTTTGAAAGGCTGCTCTCCAGGACTCAGAAGCTCCAGCGAGGACAACAAAGGATTTGAATGAAAACAGTGGACGCTGTAAAAACAGTAAGAAGCAGCATCAGCACCGTACTCCTCCTGACAGCGCCACTGCACAGCCCGACAGGCTAAGGCTCCAACAGCTCAGCTGCTACTTCCTGGCTGCACTCAGCAATCTACACCATAATCCATAGTCTCACCTGGAAGTAGGAGTCACACAGACTCAGACAAGAACACTCCAAGGGGAGGGGCAGGGGTGGGAGTCATCCCTATCTGGCCTGGGCTAACTGCCTTCTGCCTTTTGCCAAAGCATGAAGGCCCAGGAGATTCAGGGTGTAAACCCCAGGTCATGAGAACAGGCTGGCATGGGAGAACTGGCACGACTCACCGGGGCCGACTTCCAGTATTGCATCCAGGGCACTGAGCCTGAAGAAGTTGCCTGGTACCTGAAGGAGATTCCTTTAGGGAGACCAGGCGGTCTGGGGTCTTGTGTAGGATGTGACTAGACCAGAAGGGGCAGTTTCAAGAGAACATTCTCGCCATCTCCAGATGTCTAGGAACATGCGTGAGTATGTAAAGCTTGTCCGTGGTCTCAGAAGGGAGAGCATCATGTTTTCCCCTCTACCTCACCTGCTGCTGATGTTTTGCTCAATGCCAGTTTGGGCATTTATTTATTTATTTAGAGACAAGATCTTACTGTGTAGCCTTGACTGGCAGAGAACTTGCTGTGTAGATCAAGTGGGCCTTGAACTTACAGAGATCTGCCTGCCTCTGCCTTCCCCTACAACTCCCGCTGATCCTCTTTGTCTCCAAGTTTGGACTTTGCGGTCCACCATGTCAGCCTCTCCCCATCTCCCCGGTACTTCATTTTCCCTTCCCCATCATCTCACCCTCAAATGTCCCAGTGAAATTCAACCCCCAGCCACCCCCTCTTCATGCCTGCAGCCTGGCCTCCAGCCATGCCTGATGATGCCTCGGGTGGGCTTTCAACATTGCAGAGGAAGTATGGCACCAGGATTTATCCCTACTGTGCTGGCTTTTTGGAACCCATTCTCTTTAGATGGATACCTTGCTCAGCCTAGATATAGTGGGGAGGGCCTTGGTCCTTCCTCAAAGCAATGTGCCTTACCCTCTCTGAGAAGTGGTGGGGGGATGGAGTGGGGAGGAAAATGGAGTGAATGGGAGAAGGGGAGGGAGTGGGAACTGGGATTGGTATGTCAAATGAAAAAATAGTTTGTTCTCTTTTGTAAAAAAATAAAAAACTATTCTATTTTTTTTTTAAGAAAGAGCTAGTTAGACATAAGCCTGAGCTATCGGCTGAGCATTTCTAATTGATATTAAGGCTCTGAGTGATTATTTTGGAGCAGGCAGTCGGGACAAGAAAACTCCTCCTATAGAAAGTTTTACTAGGTGAAAAGGTAATAGCATTCTGGGCATGCTCTGTTTGAAAGGAAGTCCCTCAGGCTGGAGAGACCAATACCAAGCAGTCTTTACATCAGGGTCTCTGAGCTGGTCCAGCTAGAGGGCTTATTGTTCTTTATGTCCTATTTTGGACCAATGATCAGTCCTTCCTAGAGCTACTCTTCTGCCTAGCAGTCACAGTCTCCTCCCCTACTCCATTGCAGCCCTTTAAAACTGCCTCCACCTTGCAGGGAGAATGGCCATTGGTCAGGAATTCCCACAGTTTCCTGCTTCAAACCCACAAACACACCTTCATCACAGTCTTCCTTATCTTTATGGGAAGGAGTAGCCAGCCAGGTCCACCCACCTTGCCCCCTGCAGCTGCCTGCCTTTCCTGCTCCAAGACTGACTTCTAGTTTGCATCTTCCAGCGATCATTGCCTAATCAATCACATCTCTCCCATAGGGGCTCCTCTGTGGGTCCTATTTTCCCAGCATGCCTTGCATCCTGGAGCTTTATCCCAGCAGCCCCTAACCTAAGTCCTGGTACCTTACATCCGGACTGTGCATAGATTTTTCAGCCAGTTCCCTAGCTCTGCTTTTACCCCTTGCAATCCACTACCTGTACACAAATGTTCACCTGAACACAGTTCTGACCATTTTAAATGGCCATGTTCCCTTTTAAAATTCTCACTGTGGCCTGGGAGATGGCTTCAGCGTAAAGTGTTTGCCACACAAGACTCAGTACTAGAGTTCGGTTCCCCGGAGCTCAGTGGCGGCCAGGAATTTCCGAGTCAAGCCGCAGACCAGACTAGCCAAAACAGCAAGCTCCAGGCTTAGGGGTAGAGCCTTCCTCAATTTATAAGGTGGCGAGATATGGGGGAAGGCACACCATATCAACCTAATATCCCCCCATTCATGTGTGCATGTGTACACATGTGTCCACTCATACATGAATGCAAGGCACACATATGTACATGTTAGCAAACTTGAAACGACCTTCCTCAGCTTCCCCTTGGCCATAAGAAAGGGGCCCACCTGTTAAGAGACCCCTGAAGTCCTCACCTGGTGCCCCTTACTAGCTTTTTGTTCTCCCCTTTCTTTAGCCTCATACAACCTCTCTGCTGCCTCTAAATTGCTAAAGCCCTTTGCTTTCGTCTGTCTGAGCTCCTCCTCCCTCAGGGTCAGCTGAGACTTCAGCTCAGCATTTCTGGGTTGTTTAACCAAGTCTTCTTTTCTTCCTAAGACTAATCTCTACCTCCACAGAGGAGCCAAGCCATCCAACTAACTTTAACCACGGTCCTCCCTGGATTAAAACCTTTTCATGTTTTTCAGGGTCTTGAGGACAAAGTCTAAATTCCTCCTTGGGCTCTCAAAGGTAAGAGAGGATGCCTCCCATAATCTCTCATGGTGTGTTTGTGTAGTGGCAGGGGGCTGAGCCAGCTGTGGAGACTGGGGTGGGAGGTGTACCTGGTGCAGATAGGTGTATCTCTGCAAGGTGCTGGGTGGGGCAGTGGGTAGGGGCAGTGCAGGCAAAGGGTGGGTTCATCTGTGGAGGAGGTTTTACTGAGAGCAAAAGCAGGGCTCACGGTAGGGGAACCTGATAAAGGGTGAGAGTGGCCACAGAATCTTAACCAAAGAACAAAGGGAGGTGGAGACAGGGTGGAGAAGTGTCTTCAAGAAGAGATAGCTTTGGAGAGAGCAGAGAGGCCAATGGGCTATTCACAGTGATGTGAATGAACTAAACAGAGGTTGAGTGACTTGTTTGGAACAAGGCAGTGAATGGCAAGAACAGGCTGTGGGTCTGCTCTAGAGACGGAGTTGGCAGATGGACTGCTGGCTCCATTACCTGTCTCCCATTATGGTCGGGTGGGTCGATGGCCGACTTCTGTAGCCTTATAGAGCAGGCCATGGGCGGGGGGCATGCTTCTCCCTCACAGCCTTTCCTGGGAGCCTGGCACCATTGCCACGTGCTCAGGGAGATGGCTAAGCTCTGTGCCACTTCCTGTTTTCCAAGCCTCTGCATTTCTGAATTACTTCAGTTTCTTTTTTCTTTTTTTGGATTTTCGAGACAGGGTTTCTCTGTAGCTTTTTGGTTCCTGTCCTGGAACTAGCTCTTGTAGACCAGGCTGGCCTTGAACTCACAGAGATCTGCCTGCCTCTGCCTCCCGAGTGCTGAGATTAAAGGCACACACCACCACTGCCCGGCAACTTCAGTTTCTTAAAAGAGATATTAAAAAGAGACAAGGCCTGTCTCGGCCGGAAGAAAAAGGGACCCCTTGCTTATTCCAGATGGAAGGATGTCGTGTCCCTTACCTCCCCAGGAGTTGGTCTGGGATTACATCTCTTGGGAACTCAGGGAGAGAGTTGAGGGCCTCAGGAGGGAAGGACTTGGAACCAGATGTGCACTGGCCTGACTTCCCTTCCTGGCTAAAGGTGGGTCTCACTGTCCCTTGTGCATACATTGCCATCTGCCCACGCTGCAGCACTTAGGTCCAGGTTGGGAACGAGGGAACCATAGACAACCAAAACCAAAACCATTCTGCAGGGAGGAGCTTGTACTTGACTGAGTCTTAAGGCGCATCACGAGCTGTGGGTTAGTTATCACCTGCAGCTGATGGTGCTGTGGGCACCAAAAAAAAAAAAAAAAAAAAAAAAAAGGGCAAGTCATTAATTTAAGAGAGAGGGTCAGGGAGAATGTGGGTGGGGTCTTAAAGGATGAGGATGGAGAACAGGACAAAGGCCGGAACAAATGGGAGAACGTTGAAAACATACGGAAATAGTTTGGTGTGGCTGGTCCACGAGGCAGAGAGAACAAGACCGCATGGCATTAGGAAACATTTTAAGGTAGATTTTCATTTCATTTTAGTTTTATGATGATCACACAAAGGGGGTCCCTTCTGAAGAATGTAGAGCTGTGTGTTGTCAGGCAAATGTCTATGAGGGGATCAGAGATGTATTGTTGTTGGTCTTGGGAGAGGAGACAGTGAATGTCCTCCAGTGTCTGCGTCTCTGACTTGGATGCCGGGGTGGGGGGTGGAGGGTGGGGTGGGGGTGGGGGGAACTACGATGACTAGTGGCGCCTTTGGAGCAGAGTGGGAGCTCCTAAGATAGAGAGCAGTGATCCCAGGTTGAATGTGCAGAGGGATGAAGCCCCATGGAACATTCAGAAGACGGGTTTCAGTTGTTCTGGGCATTCTAGGACATGAGCTGCTCCTCCTCCCCTGGCTCTGCCCACCTTCCCCTTCTCAGTTTGCAGTCCCCTTCCCCTTGTTTACTAGCCCTGCATCCCTCCAGGAGATGTTTGCCCTGTCTGCTGAAAGCGGCTTGTCCTCATCAAAGCCTGCAGCTCCGTTAATCAGTCATTATGAGGTCCATCTTGTCCACCTGGCGGAACTGTGCCTCCCTGATAGAGCACGGCGGGGGGGGGGGGAGGACGGTGAGGAGGGGGCTCAGTGGCAGACCAGGTTGTGCCCTGCCCTGTCCACTTAGCTGCCCCTAGGAGGCGCATTCTTTGACAGGGGGATGGGTCTAATGGCTAGTTGTAAATCAGGGAGTGGAGCCTAATTGGAGGGCAATCTTGGTGAATAAACAGCAGAAACTTTCTCAGCAAAGCCCAACCTCAGTCGTGGTACAGGTTTTCTTTCTCGCAGTTCCTAGCAAGACTGGTTAGAGTACGACTTATCTTCATGTTGGAGGCAGTGCTCCGTTAGCTAAATTCTACTGGTGTAATTTAATATTTCTCAAGCAAGATTTCTTTTAGTAAATCCTTTATACCGGTGGTTCTCAACCTTCCTAATGCTGTGACCCTTTAATACAGTTCCTCATGTTGCGGTGACCCTCTCCATCATAAACTTATTTCTTTGCTACTTCCTAACTGTAACTTTGCTGCTGTTATAAATCATAAGGTAAATATCTGACATGCAGGATATCTGATATGTGACCCCTGTGAAAAGTTCACTCGACCCCAAGTGGATCACAACCCGCAGGCTAGGAAATGCTGCTTTACAGCATCAATTTTACTTCTTTAAGTTTCTCCTGCATCAGCATCTTTTAGGAGACAGGTCTCTCGGGGGTTGTCACATAATCTGCACCTTGTGTAGCAGGAAGTGGCAAAAGCAGGAACCTACATTCCTGTTACCTGGAAACGCATACCACAGAAAGAGCGACCCCTTCCACAGTGACTCCAAGCAGGAAGTGACTTGCTTGCGGGCCTCAGAAGGGCTTGAATACCTCTCCTGCGTCTGGAACCCAGAAGCGGGCCAACTGGTACTTGCAGGCTGTCCTTTTTTTCACAAGTAGGGGAGGGAGACATATCCTCCAAGCTATCCCTCAGGGAATCTACAGAAGGCAGACTATATAGGGAAGAGGGCGCATTTCTAAAGAAAGTCACCAATACCTGTGGCTAAATCTCCCTTTGAATTAGCAAGTGAACAAATGTGAGGGACTGGGTTCCCCTACTCTCTCTAGGTCCAGAAACCTGTGTAACCCTCTTGACCCTTCCCCCTTCTCTCATGAGAAAAGAAACCCCAGGTCTGGCTAAAGACAACATCCTGGCCCCAAAGCCTGAAATGAGTGTTCTGTGGGATTGGGGAAGGAGGCTCTCTGAGAAGGTGAGGTGAAGGCAGCAGCAACTGTCGTCACCCTTTTATTGCGCATCTGCCAGGGGTCCAGCCATCTCATCTCACTCACTGATTTAATCCTAACAACCGATGCAACACTGTTCGAAGAACTGAGGCAAGAGAGGCTAACAGTCACCTTGCCCAGGCCCCAGCTGCTAGGTTACAAACTCAAAGGCGTTTCCGGTCCAGGTCCCTCTCACCCCACTTCCCTCTGCTTTGCCAAGAGTCTCTCTCTGAAGAACAATGGCTGGTGTATTCATGCCGTAGGACAAGGCTGGAGTTGTAGGGTCTTGGAGATACAAGCCAAGCCTTCAGGGATTCCAGATGTGCCTAGAGACCCCAGAGCCAGGCAGAGAGCATGACAGTCCACGGACACAGGCATTCAGCCCCAAGGAGGCATCCGTCATGCACCCTCTCACAGTGTGGATGTGTCAGGTACACGTGAGCTCCTAATCACGTCCTTTGCAATCCCGTGGCAGCGGGGTGGGAGCAGACATATATGCATGCTCCTGTATGTGTCCTGCCAATGCTCTGGGGACACTGAGTCAGGTCATGGGAAGAAGTCAGGTCTGTCAGATGAGGCTGGCAATGCTGGAGGTGGTCTCATGACGCTGGCCAGAGGACAACTGTCCCGAGATGCTAAAGATGCTGCTGTTACCACCGTGGCCATTTTGGGTGGAGGGTGCAGTTGTACAGATCAAGGGGCAGTGTCCACTCACACCCACCTGATACAGCAGCAAACCCAGCAGCAAGACTGAGCCCAAGGAAGCCAGGGTAATGCCCACAGACAGCATGGCAGCCAGTGGCCGAGCTGGGGCCGGGGCAGCAGCCAGCCCAGCCAGGGTCAGGCCAGTGACCAGCAGCACAAAGCCACTGAGCAGTACTACAACAGCATCAGCCCCTCCACCGCTGCGCAGCAAGGCCACGTGCTGGGCCTGGCGGATGCAGTTCATATCCTGCACCGCGGAGCTCATCAGCTGCTTCACCAGAACCATCAGGGCCAGCAGGCAGAGCACGGTGCCCACGGCTAGTCGCCACTCGCCAGAGCGGCTGCTGGTGGAGGACAGCAGGGCCACGCCGCCCGCCCCACAGCCAGCCACAAGGCCCACGGCCACGGAGAAACAGAGCAAGGAGCGCCGGGGCTGTTGGGACCACCACAGCTCCACCTGCTCTGCCAGCACATCTGGGGGCAGCTCCCTGGCCACTGAGGCTTGTTGGGACATGGCTTGGTCAGGTGAGATCAATGTCAGGGCTCAGACGGTGTTTATCATGGCCTGGTGTCTCCATCATCTGGTTGGCAGCTAGAGGCCCAGTCTCTTCCTCTCAGTCCAGGCTACTGGTACCATCACCTGCAGGATAGGACCACACATGTCATTTCCCACCCGTCTGGCCCTCCCGGTCTCACCTGGGCATCCTAGGGAAGAGCCCCGGGAATCTTCCTCAGGGTCCACAGGACCTTCTCTGGAAAGATGAAGCTCCAGCATTGCACCTTGGGAAAGCACCTCCCCAGATCCCAGCAGAGTTCACTCCATCACAGAGCTCCCCCTCCCCTTCAAGGAATCCCCTCGCCCAGCCCCTGACCTCTCCAGCTCTGCTGGTCTCCATCTAGGCTGCGGGAGGGAGCTGGTGCCACAGTGGATGATGGGACGAACAGTCAGAGATAAAGCCTCATTCAGGATCAGACTCACATGGCCTCAGCTGTCACTGCTGGGTCCTGGATGGGAGGAGTCGTGTGTGGGGGGGGTGAGGCTGGTGACTTAACCCTTCTCGAACCAGCAGGCTGACCCTGACCTTTCTCTCCTTCCTTCTCTGTGGGTTAGCATCCCATCCCATCCTGGTCTGGCAATAAAAGACGCAGGCTCCAAATCTCTCCTTCTAGTGCTGATCTTCCTGCTGGGCCAAAGTCATCTCTGATGCAACAGGGCCCAACCCGAGTTCCTCAGCTTACCCTAACCTGTTCCTCCTGTGTTGCTTCCTCAAGACGACACTACCACCTCTCAGCTTACCCCAGGGCTCCTCAACTCTCTCTGCTGTTGCCAATCCATGCCCCCAGGGGCTACCGATTGCCTCTAAACGTATCTCCACCAGTCCCATCCACAGTTGCCCCCCTCCCTCACTGACCTGATTCCTCCGGTCTGGTCCATCCCCGGCTGTACCCCCTCCATGTGTTCTCTAAGGCAGCAAAGGAGGGCTCTGGATTTGAACCTCAGCCTAGTCCTTCCTACCGTGGGAATGTGGGGAGGGACCTAACAGTGTTACTCATTTAACCTGTTCCCTGGAGGATAGACGGCATGACTCACACCAGGTAAAAATAAAGCTAGCACTGCCGGCCAGGAGTCCAGCTTCCTGCAGCAGGAGAGACAGATCCTGTAGGTGCCAGCTGCCGAGGCCTGGAGGGGCTTGCCTGGGACAGTTCACGTCTTAGAGTCCTTATCTGAAAAGCGAGGACAGAGGAATTTATTTCGAGGGGGAAAGAGTCATCTGACACCGTCCTTTCAGACTTCCCATGGGGCAAGGTTGCTCAAAACATACTTTCTGAGTAACAGAGACTAAGGGTGAATCAGAGGGCCTCGGTCCTGGAGACCACATGTCCCACACAGCCGAGAATGGGTTTTTACTCCACAGAGACTGAGCTGTTTTCTACCACCCCTCTGTCCTCCGCAGAAGCTGCCCAGCACGCAAAGTGGGCGGGGTAGATGTCACGCCCCCACGGGAGGTGGGGGAGGGGCGACGGGCGGAGTCTGTCCCAGCATTTCCCCAGCATGTGACTTGCTGGTCTGAAGGTGCTGGCACAGGCCTACTGGGGAACGACCCCAAGGTGGATGGAGGTTCCCAGTAGTGGAACCAGTGGAAAAGGTGGGGGCGGGGCGGGTGGGGAGGTGTGGGGCACTCACGAGAAGCCTGGCTGCGCCGGATCCGATTTAAGCAGGCAGAACCCAGCAGGTGGGGCGCTCTAGCTCCGTTTCCGGGGAGACGCTTCACCTGCCTAACCTGCATCCAGGTGAGCTGGAAGGAGAGGGGATTAACAGGTGCTGTTTCCAGGGCAGGGCCAGAGCCAATTGGCTGACGTGGCCCTGCGTCTTCTGTGGGGCCGAGACATTCCTGGGAAGGGAGGGGCTTCTGTCTGCTGCTGTTAGGTCTGGAAGGCAAAAATGTAGGTAGACTCGGTCAGCAAAAGGAAAGAATGCTGTCCCTCTGCCCCGGTGTGAGCCCTAACCCTCTTCCCCCAAATCCAACCGCACCTTACCTTTAGCTCCTCCCTGAATACCTACCGCCAAGCCTGCACGTTTACTTTCAAGGCCTGTAAACTTTGCGCTCTGAAAGGCCGAGGCAGGAGGATAGCCAGCGGGAAGCCCCACACCTGGATTTGAAACCTCAGCTCCAGCCCGTTAGTCTAGCTGATTGTGGACCTTTTAGTTCTAAATCCCAACTGTAACCTCAGCCGCACTTTTGACTTCTACCCTTGAGTTTAGTCCTTCAAAACCCAGCTCTGCCTCCCGGTCGGCCCTGGCACTACAGCCCACCATCAGTGATACCCCAAACCCTGCTCCAGTAGCTCCATCTTGAGCTTTCCCCCAATAAGCCAAGGTCTCTTTTCCCTGAGGCCTCAAGTGGGTGGCAGAGTCAGCCTGCCCCGTGGGTGGGGAGAGGCCTTTCAGGTGGACAGCTGTAGCTCCCAGAGTAAGCACTTCTTGGATAAATTCCTCATCCCTTTCAAGGCACAGGAAGCCCTTGTCCTCTACCCAGAGGGTCCCTCTACATGACGATCCTCTACCTGCCCTTTGAACTTCGTGCTCCTTCTGCCTGAGTCTGGCCAATCATTCAGCTGAGATGCCCGGTTTGACCTGGCTGATTGGGCTGCACTCCCGGCCTGGGCTGCACAACTGTTTTTGCTTGTTCTTAATTGTTTTAGTTCGTTAGCTTTCACCTACCCCACTCCCCAGATGTGTATCCCCAGCCAGTTCAGTTTGCTAAGGGTGGGCTCAGCAGCCAGCACTCCGTAGCCCACAGCTGTCTGTAACCCAAGTTCCAGGGGACCTGACACCCTCACACAGACACACATGCAGGCAAAACACCAGTGCACATAAAATAAAAAATAAATTATTAAAAACAAAACAAAACAAAAACCTGCTGGGCTTTAGTGGCAGGCAGCTCTCTGAGTTCGAGGCCAGCCTGCTCTACAGAGTGAGTTCCAGGACAGCCAGAGCTACACACAGAAACCCTGTCTCGACAAGGGAGAGGGGTTGTGAACCAACAAGTGACTATTTTGAGCCTTGAGTTGAAACCAGAAAGACAAGTTGGGTCTAGGCTGTGTGGCCTTGAAGGCCTCGGGGATGCATCTGGACAATGCAGGGGATGCACGAAGTGTCCTGAAGTGAAACGGGGATGTGGTCCAGGGCTCTGCTTCCAGTTGGCCATTCTGGTTCTCAAACACCATGCCCCAAGTGGTGGCTGGAGGGTGTGTGGACTGTCAGGTATCCTCTGCTCTCCTCTCTTCGTTTGATGTGTATGAAATTAATAATAATAATAATAATAATAATACAAGACAAACAAAAAAAATGAAACCAAAACAACAGCAAAAGGAAACCCAAGTTATCTCTTCTCATGATCTGTTCACAGGGTAATTGCCTGGTCTGGCTTCCTCTTTGCCTTGTCCCAGAACCTCCTAACACCTCCTAACAGCGTGCTTTGTGTTTATGTATGAGCTTATTTATGTGATTTAAACCTTTCTGATAGCCTGTTTCAAAAGACACAGGCAAAATTAACACTTTAAAATGAATGTGTTTGCTGGGCTGTGGACATAGCCCAGTGGTTGCTCGGCACTAGATTTCGTCCCCAGCGCTGCAAGAATACATGTACTTGAATTCCAAAATATATTTTATTATAAAAGGTATTAATGTACTCTTTGAAATGCATACAAAGTGTGTCTCAGTTCAAATTAGCTACACACCAAGCACCCAAGAACCACCTCTGCCCTCGACTGTCCTCACTGGGGAGCACAACTCTGGATGGCTTTCCCCTGAAGAAGGGTTTAGGGCTGGCTGCTGCAGGCCAGGCTAAACATGGGGGGTATGCATGATATTGCGGGCATTAATCCTGCCATGTTGCAAAGCATTATGAATGTGCCCCTTTATAAGAACCAGGCCGAGAGAGCAGAGCTTGCCAGCCTGGATTTGCTCTGACCACTTGGAACATCCTGATCCCTAGGAAAGTCTAGTCTCATGCTGACCCAGTGTTCAGCTGTCCTAGACAGAACTGGCCCCGGGGAATCCCTGAGCATCGTTTTCCTCTTTTCTTTCCCTTTTGGAGTCTCTAGAGGAGGAAAGAGAGCCTAGAGCTTCCTCAGTTTAAACACTGGTGGGAAAGTCGACTCAAAGTTAGTGTTGTATTCTGTTCCTAAAGCAGAGGTCGTGGGGGCAGCTCACGGGGGCAGAAGTGGCAGGTCGGGAGGTAAAGGTGGCATGGACATGCAGAAGAAGGTGTGGGTCTGAGAGGGGGATACAGGGGAAGAACAGACGAGCTGAAGGACCCTGCTTCTGTGGTCATCCCACCTTCCTCTGTGCTCAGGCAGAGGCTGAAATGAGCCTGTTATGGTGACGTCACTGCCTGCTTGAGTCCCTCCCATAGGCAGTCTGGGTCCTTCCATGATCTTTGAGGCTCTCTTTACGTCATCCCCCTGCCTCAGAACCTGTGTTCATTGGTGTTTCCCTCTGCTTTCCTTTCAGATGACTCCGCCCATCCCTCCAGGAATGAGCTCAAACGTCACCTTCAGCTGTTAAAATCCATTCCCAAGGGGAGATATGAGCTATGTCTGCCCCTTCTCCTGAGGTCCCAATGATTCGACTCCACCAAAGTTCACTCCGGGAACCAAGGAGTTTATTGGGATTACTTCCAGAGAATAGATGAGGGGTTAGTTACTAGAATGTGGCTGCTTCCCACCAAAAGGCTGCACTGGACAGTCTTTACCGAGCAGGGATGATATGGTTTCCCTACAGCTGCACAGATGGAGTCCCTTGTAACAGGTCCTTAGACCGCAGCACAACTGACTCCATGATGGAAGAACCGCTCAGGCTGTAAAACTCAGTAGGTAGACAGCACCACTAGCCAAAATGAAAACAAAGACTTAATCCACCAAAGTCCATAGGTTTGGGAAAGTCTCTGAATGTACTAACCTTGCTTTTTGGATTTTGTGGTTCTGCTTCTGGTTAACTGTTCTTGTTAACTGATGTATGTCAACACAGAACATGGTTTTTGTGTTTAAAAGCTCACCCTGAGAAAGGCTCAGGGCTATCCCAGAATCCCAAACACCCAGTGTAGTCAGTGGCCGGCTAATCAAGACTTTCTATTGGCTTAAACCCCTGTCTGAGCCGTTCTGAGCCGTCTTCTCGGGTGCATACCCCTCACCATCCCCTTCGTTAGTCTTCCTCGGCCTGTATACTCTGGTGCTACCCCCCCATGTCACATATAATTAGGGCAGCAGTGGTATGTGGGTGATACTCGGGTGAGGACTCTGTGACCCTCTTTGCTTCCCTATGGGGAGCTGTAAACAGCCAACAAGCTCAGCTGGGTTGATCTTTTGGAAGTGGCTCAGCTGAGCTCCCAGAGATGATGGCTGTTGGACCCTGAGGACAGTCATGCCCAACCCTTTCTCAGAAGAGGTTCCTGGCCCACCCTGTCTTCCCATCACCGCCTTCCCCAGCATTTCTCGCCCCCTTGTTTCCTTTATTCCCCTGTTCCTCTCCTTGTCACCCCCATGTACACATTGCTGTTGCTCTCCCTCCTGAAGTATGACCTGGAGCTGTGTTTCCAGCTCCTAGAACAATAGTTGTACAACTCGTGGCTGTTGACCCGACTGAGTAGAATTATGGTTTTGGAGCCAGGCTGATCTCGAAGTATCGAATCCTAGCTCTAGTTAGGTGAAAACCTACTGGGTTTCTATTGCTATGTTAAAACACCATGACCAAAGGCAGCTTGGGAAGGAAAGGGTTTATTTCGCTTACTCTTCCCCATCACAGTCCCTCACTTGAAGGAACTCAGGGCAGGAACCTGGAGGTAGGAGCTGATGCAGAGGCCCTGGAGGAATGCTGCTTACTGACTTGCTTTGCCTGCCTGCAATTAACACTAGGATCGCTAGTCCAGGGATGGATGCACCCACAGAGTGCTGGGTCCTCCCACATCATCAATCAAGAGATGCCCTATTGACTTGCCTACAAGTCAATCTGATGTGAGGACATTTTCTCAACTGAGGTTTCTGCCTCTCAAATGACTAGCTGTGCCATGTTGACAAGAAACAAAAACACCAAAAACCCAACCAGGGCATGCTTGGTCGGTCTGGGTCTCTCCTTTGTAAAATAACAAGGTTTAATGAATTGTTACGAGGGGAATTAAATGATAGAATCCACTCATTCAGCAAAAAATTATTGTACCCTGCAAACCAGGTGTTGTGCAGGAGACACAGGAATGAGAACTGGTAGCAAATGCTCCCATCATCTGGGCAGAAAGGCCAGGAGGAAAAAAGGACATACCACAGGGTAGCAGCAGGACATCAGTGGAGCCATACCTCTGCTCCATTCCTCTAGGTAGGCATAATTTGGTTGACATAAAGTCCCACTAACGACACTCATCCTCTTTCCAGGTAGAGCCCTAGGAACTAGGATTCCATTTTATGCCTCACGGCTGTGTCTACAGTTGACCCAACAGAGGTAAGCCCCAGACTCAGGCTAGGCCCCCATGTCTCCGTTTGAGCAATTTAAGGTTGTGCTAGAGGGGTCGAGGACATGGCTCAGTGGTGGAGAACACACACTATCCTTGCAGAGGACTTGTGTTCAGTTCCCAGGACACTTGTCAAACAGCTTGATTGCTAAAATCCTTCCCTGGAGGAGAAGTAAACAATGACTCCCTCTCTCTGAAGGTCTCCATGACAAGCTGAGGTACAATTCCATCAAGGTTCACTTTGGGGAAGCAGTAAGTTTATTATGCTTCCTTATAGAGCGAGGGAGGTCACGGGTGTGAGCAGGGGTGGCCTTAACACAGCCGCAATGGAAAGTCTGCACCCAGAACGGAGGACAACTCCCTCATGGATGCAGAGATGGACTGTTCTCTCTAGTCCTTCCACCTCTATACAGTAAATCCTACCCATCCATCCCAGAGTCCATCTAGTTAGGCCAAAATTCTACGTGCCTTCTTGGGAGGTGCATCTAGATCCCCAGTGAGGGTCTTATGACACGCTGGCACCCTAGGAAAGGTTGACAGTCAAAGAGCCCAGCTGCTGGCCCAAGCAAGTGAGCACGGCTGAACTCATGGGGGTGGTCATAGTTTGGCCCAGAGGATAGTCCTGGACAAAAGGCTCACAAATGCCTGCAACTCCAGCTCCAGAGGATCTGATGTGGTCGTCTGGATTCCCTGAGCACCTATGCTCACCCATGTGCGCACGCGCACACACACACACACACACACACACACACACAGAGTAAACTTTTAAAAGCACAAAAATGAGCTGGAGATTTCATTTCTGCAGAGTTTCTGAGGATCGGTATTAAAGTGCCCTTCCTTCTGAGGGCTGGAGAGATGGCTCAGTGGTTAAAGTACTCTTCTGCCAGCTGAACTTGTGATGGGATTCCTGTTTGCATGGGTACTGGACAAGAGAGGGGGATGGGCTCCAGATGTGTCCCAGGCCCTGGCTCAGGCCTCCTCCTTGAGGCCTGGGGGCTTCTGTGCCAAAAAAAAAAAAAAAAAAAAAAAAAAAAAAAGCCTGTGAGACAAATTCCCCTCTCTTTGCTTAAGCTGTCTGGAGTTGTAGCCAAAGAAGGGCACCTGTAGCCTTCTGCTAGAACTCGTAGCCCCCATTTTAACACTTACTACATTAATACACTTAATATGTGTGGGGGCCAGCCATGATGATCTAAATCTGGGCAGGTCACCCAAAGGAAGTTCTTTACTTCCTCCAACCATTATCACCTGGGACTCTGGCCGTCGATAAATTTAAATGGAGGCTGGAGTCTCAGTTGTTTACCCTGAGATGAGGCTGTAGGAGGAACCCCAAGCTGAGACCACCCGACCCCCACCCAAGAACAGACCATTCAAAGTAAGTTTCTGGCATTCTAAGCACTGTAGATAGAAACACCTGCCAGCGCACAGCCACCAGGAAACCCTAGACGAATGTCAGCCAATCAGGGGGTCTTAAAACCTCAGAACCCCCTCACCCCCACCTTTCCTACTATAAAATCCTATTCTAATTGAGCTCGGGGCTCTCTGGTTATTCCAACATGTTGGACATGCAGAGAGACCGAGTTTGCAAACTTGATTAAAATAAAGGCTCTTTGCTTTTACATACGTAACTCTTGGTTTCCTTGTCGGCTTGCGGGGGGGGGGGGGCTGGGGATTGTGAATTTGGGCTTAACAATATGTGCCTAGAGCCCCTGCCCTGTTCTACCATGTGCACACATGTGACATTACTAGACAAGCAATAAATACCAGTTCTTGTAAACCTAAGTCATAGCAGGTAATCAGTAATGCTGACCCCCCCCACCCCCCCGCTGCCTGGCACACGGCAAGGTTATGTCCTTGTAAATATGCCTCCCAGTGTGGCTCCACTCATGGCTGCGTTTCAGACAGAAACAAAGCATATCCACTCTCTTGAGTCTTTGATAGTCTTGGGGGGCTCGGAGCCATGAGATGAGCCCCACTTCTGAGCCTGAGATATCAGTCCTCCTTCCTTTCTGAACCCAGAGCAATAATTGTAACAAGGTGCTCCCTGATCACACAGCTGTTCCCGGGACTGCCCGTGCCCCTCAGTACCTCTTGGGAACAGCTGGTGAGTAATGACACGGTCGCTCATGCTTTGTGCAAACAGTGGAGAAAGGTGGACGTCGATGCCAAGACACTGTGGGGTGGAGTTTCTGTCCTAAGAGGACAGGGTGGCAGAGAGGGCACATCTGAGATCTGAGCAAGGTACACCGTCTGGCCGTAACTGATGCCGAGATTCTAGAAGACTTGTGTGTGTGTGTGGGGGGGGAGTGGTGCACACTGGATGTCTGAGGCACAGAGAAAAAGAGCAATTCTGAAGGCTCCTCCACGAGGATGGCAAGCTTCTCCCAAAGCCACTAGCCGTCATACCCACTGAATGAGTCCCCAGAGCTCAATGACGGACTGCCACCAGAAGAGCAAGAGCTGAGTTCATGTGCCAGTGGGTGACTGGCTCGGCCTCTACAGCTGCTGTGGGGGATGGGAACGACTGCCAGGTTCAGTCTGCCAGGGCGGGGTCAACCAGCAGAAGAGACCTCGAGGAGAAGGTAATTGGTATGAAGGAGGGCCTTCTGCCTCCCCAGGAAGTCAAGACAGGCAAAGTGGAGGGGCGGGGAGGCGNGGTCCTAGAGCCCGAACAGGCTGGGCTGGGAGATGTTATGTGGTCAGAGAGGGAAGGGAGTCAGGGGGAGGCGGGGGGGGGGGGAGGGGGGTCTGAGAGGTAGCAGCCAGAGAATCAGGGCCACCCAGCAGGAAGGTAGAGCAGCATGGAAGGCCGGATGTAGAGAGCTAAAAAGGCTGAGCCTCTAGCCTCAGGCTGAAGCTATGTTCATCCCTCTGCAGCTAAGGAAACAAGCCGCAGGCTCAGGCACTAGCTGGGGTTCCTTCTCGAGCTCTGCTGCTGCTGCTTCTGTCTTCCTTCCTTTCGTCCACTGGGCAGCAGCCACGGAAAGCTCAGTTTCCGCCCCCTTTCCTTCTGGTTAAGAGTCTCTGGGAGCTACATTCCAATACCCTCCAACCACCCGGCCTGTGGGGTTTGGACAGGCACCTCTCACAGCTCAGTGTATGAAAACACAGACTTGGAGGCCACTGGGTAGCAGGGTCATAACCACGGCCCCAACCGTGTGGCTGTGTGCCAGTCTCTCTCAAACCATCTCGTAGGAGGAAAGGTGAGGTCTTGCTTAAGGACATTTCCTGGTGGTGTGCTTGTCATCTGAATGCTTCCGGTCATCAGAGCTCCGTTTTCCTCTGCATTTTCTCCTGCCCAGGCCATGCTTCCTCTCTTTTGGATGAACTCCCACCAGTCTGGAAGTCAGAGGAATTCATTCCTCTGCCTCCCCTCAGCCATCTTCCTGGGCCAAGCGACCAGTCTCTCACGCTCGTACACACACAACTTCTCCCTAACCAGGCCTCCTGCTTCTACTATTGGACCCCCTCCATCGATGCCACCCAAGTGAGCTTTAGACCCAGGGATAGCTCTCATGAAACTCAGTCAGCAGGAGAGGCAGACACGAAGCAACCAGACAGATGAGGCGTAGTGAGGGGTTGAAAGAAAACATTAAGGTGGGTGTAATTTAGACAGCAGAAGGGAGGTCAAGGTCTGGCTTTCTGAGGAAGTGACACTTAAGCTCAGATTTGAAACTTCTGTGGGGACCACAGCATCTCAGGCAGAGGAAGTAGAGTGCGGAAGTATAGAGATCCAGGAAGACTGACCTGTTATGGAAACTGGAAATGGGGCAGCGTGGAAAGGGCCTGGGAAGCCGAGGACAGTGGTTCCAGCAGCCTGGCACTGACCTTGGGACTCTGACCAGTCTCTTTCATGTGTCTTCAAGGTCAGGAAGGGTCTGGCCCTGCTCACCCCGTCCCTCCTCTATCCCTGTCTCATGTCAAACCGCTCTGTCCTGCAAAGGTGACGGCAAGGTGTGAGTCTTGGACAGGCCAGCTTGATTTGCGGAAGATCCCAGTGGGTAAGGGTCAGGATGGCTGTCACATTGGCATGGAGGAGAGGAACTGACTGCAGCGATAGGATGGGGGTTGGGTGGGGAAGTGACCAGTAGAGACAGAGCCCCACGGAGCATCCACTGGAGTCCTTTACAGTCTTTGCTGTGGTCCTTTGCACAATGTTAGCAATGCAGCCTTGGGAAACTGAGGAGTCTGGGAGATGGCAGGCTTCGTGCAGCCGGAGGGACCACTAGGGGCCAGGAGGGACTGTGGGTTTAAATCCCAATATAGATAGATATCTGTTCTCTGCAAACAGAAGCCAAGGACATTTGAGTTACATTATTACTTTATAAAGGAATCTTTTCCTAGTACCTACCTGTATCTAGGCTCCTGGGTTGGGACCTGAAGGCATCACTAGAGAGTATAAAGTGTCTCCAGAAATGGAGAACCGGTTAAGGTCACACCGAACACAGATGTGAAGGCAAGAGAAGGAAAGACAGGAAGTCCCTCGTTGTAGTTCACGAGGAAGAAGAAACCAGAGGAGACCCTGTTTGGTCCTGACTTGGCTGGGAGAGGTGAAAGCCAGGGGAGAAGCTGCAGGTGAGCTACTTAAGATGTGAGCAGACAGCCCTGTCTTGCGGGCCCCAGGTCTCGCCATGTCTGCAATGCAGATTGCCCAGTTCCTGCACAGGAGCAAACGACAAAGGCCTGGAGATCCTGCAGTCCCCAGTCCTCCGGCTCCTCTCACCCCTTCCCATAGGACCCCACCCTCAGCAGAAGTTGATCAAGGCTGTGAGCAAACACCTTTATTCTCATCCTGCTTTATTCTGACCCCAACTCTCCAGATGAAAGAGGTTGATGGGACTCAGGTAGACGCCTGACTTGGTGCCGGACACGTGGTGCATCCGGGCTGTGGCTGCAAATAGCTCACCAGAGGTCACTTGCTGTGCACTTCAAAATCCACATCCGAGTCGGCGAGGGAAGGGAGCCGAACTCCGGCAATGGTGTGGAAGCCCGGGACCTGCGCCTGCTCTTGGATCTGGTCTCTGAGGCGGCGGATTTCCAGGCGCTGCATCTCGATGATTCTCCCGGTTTCCTCCTGTTCACTCAGTCTCATAGTAGGGCTGACGCTGGCCATGTCCTTGGTGAGAGCTGTGAGGGACAGAGCAGGGTCACTGCGGCCTAGAACTACACTACTGCAGTCTCTACCCCCTCCAAACACCCGCGGAGCATCCACACGGGGAGACACAGACTGTGCCCACGCGGCAAGTCTGACCTGCCCATGCCCATGTGCCTCACCGGGGTCAAGTGCAACTCTCCCGGGGACAACGCTGGAATCCGAGCTTCAGGTAAAGATGGTGCTTCTGGATACAGACTCCTCCCCGCCTTTTGTGTCGCACCTGCTAATGCTTCCTGCACCTTGGATCTCGCCATCGTCCCTGTCATGGGGTTTGCCACCACCCTGGACTTATGACTTAGAGAGACTATGGCTTATCTCAGGCCTGGGCCTCAAAGGGCTGGAGACCCAGCAGTAATCTTGGCCTCCATGCCATGTCACCTTTCTTCACCACCCAGGGTCCCCTCTGCTGTTCATCTCCCATGCCAGGGCACCCGTCCCTAACCACAGAGTCTCTCGCTGTTTGTATAGCATTTCCATCCTGTGCAAACGGCGTCTTCCTGTAATTCCCTTCTACCCACGAGATGGGCTCCTAAATTCACATTCTTCTCTGGCCACTTAGACCCACTTTTCCCCCTCCGTTTTCTTGACACCTCCACCCCCAGTTTTCTAACTGATTTGTTCTTTTGTTTCCTCTGTCCTGCCCAGCCCACACCCGAGACAGCCCAACCTTCAGGATCTCCCCATCTGTGTCTGGCTCGCCATGAGCTTCTGAGAAAAGTTAACACACAAGGTTCTGTGCTTTGGCTCCAGCTGACTGTATGGCCTGCAAACTGCCATTCCCCACAGCAGCACAGCTGAACTCTGACCTCCATTCCCTCTTCATCAGTCTTGTTAGCAATTGGTACTGCCTGTCACCTCTTCCTACCGCCAGCCCTTTCCTGTAGCTCTAAGGGGAAAACTGGAAAAGAATAGACATTGGAGGCTAAGGGAGAGACAGTCAGCAGTGGCCAGTGGTCAGCCTTGTCTCGGCCTCTGATGGCTGTGACGGGGCCAGCATTTAAAGAGTAATTGGTTTATCTTGCTTTTCCTAGGTCCAGTCCCTTTCCTTCTAGACTTCCTTTTCTGCAGTCTCAAGGCTTCCCATCCCCTAGTGTTTTTTCTCCCTAGGTAGCAACCCTTTGTCTTCCTGACAGGAGTTGTTTCTGGTAACTACTGTCCTCAGGGGCATGACCTTTGCTCAGCTCCTGTCTCCAGGTTCCTCCCAGCAGCCCTTACAGGTAGCCCCTTAACCAGTCACCATCCAGCTTCCTGGGGGATGCAGGTGCCAGTGAAACCACGGTCATAGAGGCATTTGGTTTCTGCTTCGGGGATTCAGCACTGACAATCTCTTCTGGCCAGCACAGGACAATTGGCCACCACAGGACAAGCGCATCCTTTCTACAGTGCCCCTCTATGTGTTCTAAGGATCTTGCTCCAAACTGTAATTTTAAGACCCTCTAGGATGTCCAATCACTGAGTGAAGTCATTGGACCGCAAAGGTGGGTAGTGGCAGGCTCTCCCCAGAGGCAAGGAAGGGCCACCAGACCATAGCTAAGGCTGGCGGCTGATCTAGAGCAGTCACCTTCTGAAACATGCCTGGCTTGGGTCATATTGCCCCAGGAATGTTCCTGGAAGTGCAACATGTGGAAGATGGCCTAGAGGACACCATGCGGGGCTTCTGTCACATCTCCTGGTCTGTCTTCCATTCTGGCTTGTGAGTGTCTCCAGGGCCTAGGTTATGCTTTTCCTGTTTCTTCCCATCACCCCTTACTGGTCTCTTTTCATTCTTTCTGACGGCAAACTGCCTGGTGGCCATACTGTGTGTGGCTCAGTCTTACAGGGCCCCCTTCTTTGGTGTATAAACCTCTGCCTCTTCCATGGCTGTTAAGAAGTCAGCTCTTGGGGGGTTGGAGAGATGGCTCAGAGGTTAAGAGCATTGCCTGCTCTTCCAAAGGTCCTGAGTTCAATTCCCGGCAACCATATGGTGGCTCACAACCATCTGTAATGGGATCTGGTACCCTCGTCTGGCCTCCAGGAATACACGCAGACAGAATATTGTATACATAATAAATAAATAAATAAATATTAAAAAAAAAAGACAGCTCTTGCCGTGAGGCTCCTTTTACCCTCGCCCTGTCCTAGCCTCAGAACTTGTCACCTTCCAGACCAGGCCAGTGTCCCTCTCTGCTGCTCACAGGCTTCCTTCCATAGACAGATAGATTTATTGAAACAATTAACTTATTATTGTCACCACAATGGTTTTCTCAGTGTTGTGGATTGAACCTAGGGGCCACATACATATGGTAGAGATTCAGCACCGAGCTACATTCTCAGCCCGAAATCTGACTTCAAAGGATGGAAGATAAGAAAGTGGTCAGGGATACAGCTGGGTTTACTCCCTCTTCCTTTCTGGGATCTGTATCATGTTTATTATTTTTTTCAAATTTGGTCTATTTTCCCTTTATTGGTTTGGAAGATTTTCTCTTTCTTTCTCCCCCACCCTCCTTTCTATCATCCCTCTAGTTTCTAAAAAGTTTAATATGCTTATATAACATAAAGACTGCGGAGTAGAGATGGCTGAGTTAGAATCTCCAGAACACGCATGAAGCACAATATGGTAGTGTGTGTGTGTGTGTGTGTGTATGTGTAAACTCAGAAGTACAAGGAGATGAAACTAGAGACGGGAGAGTCCCTGAGAGCTCGGGGTGAGCTAGCCTGGCACACACAGTGTGTATATGTGTGTGTGTTTGTGTGTGTAACACAAGTCGTCCTGTCTCACACAAAAGGTGAGAACTGATAACCGAGTTGTCCTCTTGCCCTGCCGTCTACATGTGCTCTGTGGTGCACGCTTGCCTGACACACAACGTGGTTCTCCTTCTGTGAAACAATGAGAGACATAGGATGGTTCCGTTCCAGACCCTCTGGCTTCAGAGCTTCTGCCCAGTATTTCAGTTCAGTCTCTGTCTGGATCCACAGCTCAGCTACTGTGGTCCCTGTGTTAGGATCATCACTGGTGCCAGAGGTCTAAGTTCTGCCTTCGTTTCCCTGGTGATACATAACTAGAGGACGGCCGTCATGCTTCCGCACTCTGAAAGGACGGTGTCACCATTGCTGGCTTTCACTGCTGCCACCGAGAAGTCACATGTCGCCTGGTACTGTTACTCCTGTGTCCCAGCCCTTGCTCTTCTCCCAGTGGCACTTAACCCCTTGTCTTGGGTGTTCTGTGGCTTTGACGAGGGTTTGCTGCTAATTATCCTTTCGGGAACCGTTGGGATTCCTGGAGCTGATGGCCCCCATCTTTCATTGACTCTGGAAAACTCGGTTACTCCTTGTGGTAACACCCATCTTCTGAGGACTTCACTTAGACAGCTGCTGACTTATTCCATTTCATCCTGGCTTCAGTGTATCTTGTCCCTCTGGGCTGAAACCCGGCCACCATCTTCATTCTTTTAGCTCACATATTCTCCCTTTAGATGGGTGTGTCTATTGTATGACTTGATTTGTTCATTTGTTCATTGAGTTTCTAATTATAATAATTATAGTTCTCAAATAACAAACACTAGCTATTTGTGGTTTTAAATATAATTTGCTTGTAAAATTTTAGAAGACTCTTTCTTGTTTTATAAAAAAAAAATCAAAGTTGGGCGATGGTGGCACTTGGGAGGCAGGATCTCTGAGTTCAAGGCCAGCCTGAACTGTAGAACAAGTTCCTGGACAGTCAGGGCTGTCTGTCAGAGAAACCCTGTCTCATAAAACCAATAATAAAATAAAATAAAATAAAAATATAAGTTTTTTTATTTCCTTAAACATATAAGGCATTGATTTTTTTTGTTATCTTTTACTCGTCTACTTATTTCTTCGAGTGTGCGCACATGTGTCTGTATATTGAGTGCTGCCCAGCTCCAGTGACTTGATCTGGGGTGGCAAGGACTGAAGACAAGACAGAGACAGAGACAGAGAAAGAAAAGCTAGAATGGGGCGTGGCTAGGCTGTCTGATGGAGAAGCAAGCCACAGCCACCCCGGAAGCTCAGCGTGTTTATTGTACAGTTGAACAGAGAGGTGAATTATTAGCTACAGCTACAGGAGGTAGTCTCTGTAGGAAGCAGACTTCAGATCGCGAATATTCGGGTGGGGCTAGAGAGAGGAAAACTACAGTGGATGGATTTTTTTTTCACACACTGTTGCCATTTCTCATGGACCTGAGGCTTTGGGCTGCTGTCTACATGGACACAGCCCTTGACAGGGTCCATGACATACCCATGACAATAGCACATACTCACTCGGGACTTCACTTCCGCAGTGCTTCCTCTACTCGTGTGTGTGTGTGTGTGTGTGTGTGTGTGTGTGTGTGCGTGTGTTTCCATGCATGCCACCCACACACAACAGAGGTTGGGGTCAATTCTCTGTTTCCACCATTAGGGTCCTGAAGACCCAACTCAGGTCAGTCCTTTGACCATCTTGTGGGTCCACTTTAACAGCCTGACTTCATAGCCTGCGCTGTTTTTATCCTATAGTTTGCCATCTTGAGACTTTAGCCTAAGCTAGATTTTTTTCTGCGGTCTTCATTTTCAGCTTAGTTCCCTGGGCCTAGAAAGTCAGGGACACTCACCCACCTGCTTCCCAGCTTTCTTTTTGTGCTCTCTGTTCTCAGAACACATGTAGGCCACCTTGGTTGGCTTTTAATAGCTACCTTTAGTTGTATGTTCTAGTGACAGTGGTTTTAGTAATTGAAAAACAAGCAGGTGTATCTGCCAGGTCTGTTAGTTAATTGCCTTGCAAATTTGAAAATAAGATAAATGTGGTTAAAACTAAATTAGTGGCTAGGGAATGAGGAGCTTTCTTGTTCAAAGGGCTCTTAAACACCTGCCAAGAGGGCAGCTCCCTAAGCAACTTGAAGAATGAGTACTTTGCACTGGCTTGTCTTGGGAAGGGGGCGGGAGCACATTTCAAAATCCAAGGTCAGCCTTAGGCTTTGCACATTGAGGTCAACAACTGGTATTACTTGTCACCAGTTGTCACAAGTGATTGTTCCTTGAATAAAGCTGTAGTAGATGAAGAATAGGATTGGTTTGCTTTCCAACAGTTCACGGTGTGAGTGTTGGGTCGGGGTACACAAAGGACAGATATTAAAGACGTGGGAGTGGCAGGGATTGATGCTTCCTGGTTGGGAAATATATTCGTGTAAATTCACTAGATTTTGTCCTCAATGTTTTAAATGTCTGGAAATCTCCATATTAACAACAGAAAGAGCTGCCTGTGAGCGGAGGGGAGGGGAATTGGGGGGGGGTGTCGAGGTGTTCCAACCAAGGAGTTTTCAGAATGCTTTGTGAATCTGTAGTATTTTCTCCCCACTTCCCTCCCCTGCTCTCCTCTTTAACCCTTTCCCCCACCCCCATCCCCCAGCCTCTTTCTTTCTGTGGTGTACGTACGGGTGTGCATGATAAAGCCACAGGAAGGACGCCTCATGTCTTCCTCTAATGGATCTCCACCTAGTCTCCTGAGAAAGCACTCATCAGACCTGGGGATGGTTGTTCTTTAGCTAGGGTGGTAGCCAGCAATCCCCAGGGATCTTCCTGTCTTCCTGCTTGCACTCACCTCTTATTGGAGTTAACCCTTGTGCTTCTGCCCCTTCAAGTGCTGGGATTACAGATGTGTGCCATTAGACACAGTAACGTTTGTGAAGTTTGTGGTCTTCTTTTTCCTTCCTTCCTTCCTTCCTTCCTTCCTTCCTTCCTTCCTTCCTTCCTTCCTTTTCTTCTTTCCTTTCTTTCTCTTCTTCTTCTTCTTCTTCTTCTTCTTCTTCTTCTTCTTCTTCTTCTTCTTCTTCTTCTTCTTCTTCTTCTTCTTCTTCTTCTTNTTCTTCTTCTTCTTCTTCTTCTTCTTCTTCTTCTTCTTCTTCTTCTTCTTCTTCTTCTTCTTCTTCTTCTTCTTCTTCTTCTTTTTTTTTTGAGACAGGGTCTTACTATGTAGCCCCCTGGCTGTCCTGGAACTCATCCTTGAACTCACAGAGATTAACTATTAATTGCCTCTGCCTTCTCAGTGCTGGAATTAAAGGTGTGCATCACCACACCAGACGAGGCTTGTAACATTTTAAAGTTTTGCAGTTGTTCACAGGCAGATCTGTGCTTTATGCCCCCAAAGGAAGTGGTCTCAGCTCTCAGAAATTTGCAGCGCACGCTTTAGGACGTATGCTGTGTTCTCATGTCCATGATGAGGACTGAAGATGGTGACTTTGGGTACCACTCAGAGCATTTACTCTGGGCCCAACTGTTAGACTTACCTAAAGGGACCATAATACAATACAATTGTATACATACACAAAACATAATGATTAACGACAGGGATACATGTGTTCCAGGAACTGTGAATCGCTAGGCAATCTCATCTTTGTGAGGACAAGGTACCACAATCATGTGTGTAGTTCATCATAGACCTCACATAGTCATGGAGAGCAGGGCTGCTACGCAGATTGCAGAAGAGCGGAGAGAGTGCCTGTGGCATCCGAAATCCCAAGGCATTTGCTCTGGGATGCTTCAGCTCATCGGGTCTTTATTCCCGAAGAGCAACTGTCAGAATACAGTGGTGCGCAGGCGCAGCTCCACTGGCTCACGCTTCATGGAGATGCCTTATATTCTCGGTTTGTACTGATGATCAGGTACGAAGATGACTTAGGGAATGTAGCTTTATTTCCTGGATGTCTGTGGAGACTGGAGGCTTTTAGTCAACATTCCTTTCTTAGAGAGCTGTGTGATACCTTTCTCATGGAGTCTAGCGCCAGGAAAAAGTTTGTTTTTCCAGGAGATAAAGCAAACAAGCTAAACCCCTTCTTTGTACCATACAGGGAGAATTATGTAAATTACCCCCCTTTTTTGAGACAGCATCTCACACTGTAGCCCAGGCTGGCCTTGAGCTCATGGCAATGCTCCTGTCTCAGTCTCCAAGCGTGAGGATGCACTAGCATATGGTTTCTCTTTTCACCCTGGCCACCAGATGCTCAGAGGCCCTTTAATGTGTCATTGCAACCATGAACCTATTGAACATGTCTTACGTAATTCCCCTGTCTTTAAATAGTTTCTCATCTTTTTGTCTTCCTTTTAATTGGACAGGTCCCTTACCCACAATTCTAAAATGTAAAAAAAAAAAAAAAAAAAAAGATTTAAAAATGGAACAGTGCTTTAAATTCATGAAGCTCAGCTTGAATATTCACATGTCGCTGCAGAATACTAATGTGTTTGATTTCAGGGCACTGCCCCAGACCCCGTGGGGATGTTACATAATATACAGCATGTTCTTTCCAAAACCTGCAAGATTCTGAGTTCTGAATTATAGCTAACCCTGAGGACTTGAGACAGGCGCCTGTGGCCCTGGGAGTGAGAGCGTGGCTAGGGGCGGGGCCTCACAATCCTCTAGAGAGGCCGTGTGTGCCACAGAGGGGCTCTGAAATGCCATCAGTGGAGCTGATACCGAAAGAAGCCAAAGGGAGCCCTGCTCATGGCCACCATTGGGCCTTGGTCTCAGTGCCCAACTCCCAGTGGCATTACCTGTCTCTGGGGCTTCTTGTGGTCGCGTTTTCTTGGACAGTTTCAGGGCTGATTCAAGGTCATAGATTTGGGAGCGGGTCAACTTCAGCTCCCTGCGGAGCTCATTAATCTCCTTGATCAGGGAGACATTTTCCTTTGGAAAAGAAGGGAAGGCAGTGAGTGTGATGGACAAGGGCTTGGTGGGTGCAGGGTGTGCTCTCCTGGGCTTGAGGACCAGGTGGTGGATGTGGGGTGTGCCCTGCTGGGCTTGAGGACCAGGAATCTGGACTTATCAGTGGGTGCAGGGTGTGCCCTCCCAGGCTTGTGGACCAGGAACCTGGACCTAGGTTATTCTATGGATCCTGCATGGCAGTGAGTGCCTGTCCTGCTCATTGCCCAGCCTTTCAAGGTACCAGCTAACTCAATTTCTGGGGGCTTAGCACCTTTCCTACCCACCCGTGTTCTTTCAAACACCCACAACAATGCTTCCCTAGGTGCTCTGAATACGCTTTAATATGCTTAACACATTAACCCTTTTGGACTCTATACCATCACTCAGTGATGGTTCTGGAAATTGAACCCAAGGTCTTAGGAGAGCTAAGCACATGCTCCGCCACTGTACTACACCCCCAAACCATCTAACCATGATTTTACAGAGAAATAAACTGAGGCACCGGAGAGGTTATATAAGTGGCCTGAACTACACAGCAAGTAACAGAGCCTGGGTGTTAACCTCAACAGCACCCTTAAGTACTGTGCTATCCTCTTCTCACACCTTTATTTGTTGAAACTAAAGGATATCTGTTTCCCCCTCCAGAAGACATTTTTTTTTTTTGTCACAGCCTTGGCTCTGCCCTGGAACTCTCTTTGTAGTCCAGGCTAGCCTCCTGAATGCTGGGATAAAAGGCGTTGGCCACCAATGCCTGACTAGGACATTTATTACGTCCTTATGTGCAACAAAAGACTCTTGCCTTCAGCCCCGTGCTACTGGGGAGCAGCACAGAATGGCAAGCAGCTAGTTAGCACCTGCTGTGTCCACTGGAGATTCACTTATTTATGTTTGACCAGGATTCGTCTATTTCATAAGTCTGCGCTGGGGACCTGTGCTGGCTAGCTTTATGTCAACTTGACACAGGCAAGAGTCATCGGAAGGGGAACCTCAGTTGAGAAGATGCTTCCCTAAGATCTGGCTGTAGGTCATTTTCTTAACTGGTGATTGATATGGGAGGGCCCAGCCCATTGCGGGTGGTGCTATCTCTGAGCTGGTGGCTCTAGGTGAGTAAGAAAGCAGGTTGAGCGAGCCAGGGAGAGCAAGCCAGTAAGCAGCCCCCACAGCCTGTGCATCAGCTCCTGCCTTCAGATTCCTGCCCTCTTTGAGCTCCTGATTTCCTTTGGTGATGAACAGTAAGTGAGGTGGAAGTATAAGCCAAATAAACCCTTTCTTTTCCAACTTGCTTTTTTGGTCACGGTGTTTCATCCCAGCAACAGCGACCCTCACTAGGACACTACCGGCCACAGGCCAGCTGTTCCTGAAGCAGAAAGTGAGATCTGGTCGCTGCTCTTGACTTTACAGTTTAGTTAGGGTAGGAACACATTCGTGTGGTTCTGGCTTGCTAGTGTGGAAGAGTATGGAACATAGGAAAGACACTTAATCTTATCTGAATGACAGCTGGGCTCTTAGGAGTTGACCCCAGGGCTGAGGCTTAAAAGAGAAAGGAAGAGGGTAAGGGATGTTCCAGAGAACTGAACAACAGGACAAGGGTACAGACACATGACATGGTTGATATGGTGTGTGTGTGTGTATGTAAGTTTTGTTTTTCACCTTTCCTGCACCTCAAATCGCTGCTCTCCACCTCACACTTAGTGCAAGAGTCCTCGGCTATCACTGGGGAGGAGTCCCCACACCCACAGATACAGAGTAACTGGCCACTTTGATCTCAGAGCCTATGCTTCAATGATCAGCTTGGATCACACATAGAGTCCCATACAAGCCTGCAAATAAATCACCCCTGCATTGTTAAACGGAGCTGCTGGTTCATTGGGTCTGGTGCAGGTCCCGAGAGTCTGTTTCTTTTTTTTCTGTGTGTGTGTGTGCACGTATGTGCACGTGTACATGCTGCTGTATATGTATGTGCATGCCTGTGTGTGTGTGTGTGTGTGCGTGTGTAAGCCAGAGAAGGACATCAGGTGTCCTGCTGAGGCAGTCTCTCACTGGACCTAAAGTTAGGCTAGTGGGCAGCAAACCCCAGCCACCCTCCTGTCTCTTCTCCCCACAGCACTGAGGTTCCAGGCACATGCAGTCACACCAGCTTTGTAGACAGGTGCTGGGGATTTGAACTTAGATTGGCTCACTTGTGTAGCAAGGGCTTCATCTACTGAGCCATCTCCCCAGACCAAGTCTCTGCTTTTCTAACTGGCTGTGCCTGTCTGCAGGCCAAGTCCCATGTAGGATGGCGCTGTCTGGCATTGCGCAGGGCTTCAGAGATGGCTCACTGGGGCACCTCTGGGTGGGGTTACATCAGGAGTGGCAAGGGTGGGGGCAGAGCTGGAGAACTGCAAGCCTCCTCTCTGAGTTGTGACAAGTTCTCCTGTGCTTTGAGGAAGGGGCACTTGGAGGAGCAGGGACCTCTAGAGATACCCCAAATCATAAGCTACCCCCAACACTCAGTCTAAGCACAGACCCAGGCCTTTAACATCTCAGTGTACCACTGCACTTCGTCATTCCTCGGTTTAAAGCTTCCCACTGGAAGTGATGCCCAGTGCTCGCTGCCAGTCTTTGTTCTCCCGGCCAGGCTCCATGCCTGCTTCTCTGAGTTGGCGGGCTTTCTCCATCTAATGCTTTATGTTTTTTTTTAACCAACCCTTGTTCTGGCAATGGGTCACCCCTGCTTCCTTTCCAGGTGCTGTCTAGTAACTAAACTCCCTGCCAGTCTCCCCTGGATCTTCCCCATGCCAGCTTTATATCATAATATGATTGCTTCAGTACATTTTTATTGGGCACCAAGACCTAGGACACTGCATTACATGTGAGCTGTGCTCAATAAATATTTGTGGGCTGGAGAAGCAGGTGAGGAATGTGGTGGACACGGAAACAGAAGGGAGGGGCTTTTGAGAGCCACAAAGAACTCCTGGGCACACTCGCAGGCCTGGGAGGCCAGGAGGCACTTTTCCTACCCCTCTTAGCTGGCACTGTTTGGTTCACTTCTGCCTCGTTCTATAAGGAAGAGCCATACCTGGGACAAAGACTAGGGACTGTGGTTACCCTTCCCAGTCCTCTCAGGTTCCTCTCCTAGGCACTCCCAACCATTTTGTCACTGGGTCCCGTCGGTTTTGTGTATGGGTGATGTCTCCCAGTGCGATTTGTCTCAACTGTTGGCCGCTTGTTCTACTACTGGGATGACTCCAGGCAGACTCCTATGTTCTTCCCACCCCAGCCACAAACTCATGATTGGGATTTCTGGATCTTGGTTCCCTTTGGTATGAGTGTCTATCTTTGACCCCACTGACAGTTTTTGACACCGCCATGATGCCACACCCCCAGAATATGACTCCATCTTTCCCCCTTTCATTTTATTTTATGTGTATGGGTCTTTTGCTAGTATATATCTGGCGCCACACGCATGCTTGGTGCCTGAGGAAGCCAAAAGAGGACACTGGATTCCCTGGAACTGGATCCCCTGGAACTGGAGTTAGACAGCTGTGAGCGACTATGTGGGTGGGTACTGGAACTGAACCCGGGTCCTTTGGAAGAGGAGCAAATGCTCTTAGTCACTGAGCCATCTCTGCAACCCTGTACAGTGCCATCTTTACTGGAGTGTGGCTGAGGTCAGAAATCAAATGTAGCCCAGCACCATGCACCTGCTTGTTCCATGCTTCATTCGTCCTTACCCCTGCCCCCCAGTGTCACAGTGTCTACCTATGATAGCCACCTATGAACTGGTCATTGTGCCAAACGCGGAAGTTTCTCTTGGCTGTAATATGCAGAGATGTCATGGGAGTCAGAAGCATGAGCCCAAGCCTGTAAGAGGCAGGGGAGGCAGAGGGTGGAGAAGACTCTTCTTAGTCAGAAGCCCAGAGGGAGCAAGCAGAATGAAAGGCTCTAAAACTTTGATGATAAAAATATTGCTAAAAATAATAGTAATGGGGCTGGAGAGATGGCTCAGCGGCTAAGAGCACTGACTGCTCTTCAAGAGGACCTGAGTTCAATTCCCAGCAACCACATGGTGGCTCACAACCACCTATAGTGGGATCTGATGCCCTCTTCTGGCATAAAGGCACACTTGCAGATAGAGCACTCATACACAAAATAAATAAATAAATAAATCAAAAAGAAAGACTAGTAACTGTGAGGTTTGGCTGCACCCCTGCTCAGTCTGCATGTATCACCTTGGCTGCACCCCTGCACAGTCTGCATGTATCACCTTGGCTGCATTTCTGTACAGCCTGCATGTGTCACCTTGGCAGCCTCCCTCCACAGCCTGCACACATCACCTCATCTCAGCCTTTAGGAGCCCCCGGGGAATGCATTCTCAGATTCACTGGGGTATGGAGACATTAAGATAGTGATAACGGGGGTTTGCGTGTCCACAGAGCCCTGTTCCCGTGTTTCCTGCCGTCCCCGCACTCTCTCACCTCTTTATGCCACTCTTGTTCCAGCAGCTCAGACAGAATGATGGCCAAAGACAAGCTGAGTTCTTTACAAATTTTCTAAGGTAGCCTGTGTTCTGAGAAACCCAAAGGTCATAGTGAGGTCAACTGTGCGAACTCAACGAGCTTGCTAAGCCTTCTCTTCCTCCTGGCATCCCGGCCAAGATGCTCTACAAAATCCCTTCCAGTCTTCCAGATCTTCTCCAGCCAGCTACAGGGCACAGAAAAGAGCTGAGAAGTTCCAAGTTTGTTGAATCCCAGAGCAGTCTGTAGACACTAAGGCCTTTATATAGAGACTTTGAAACAATGTAACAAGGGCTGCCTTAGGCCCTTGGAACAGAGTGATGGTGCCCTGGCTGAACTTTCTGATATTGATGGCAAGCAGAAAAAGGAAGGAATGCCCATAGCTCCCCCTACTGGCTGCTCTGAGTTAATGCTTTTAAGGGTAAACTCTTAACCTCAGTTGGGGAGAACCTGACACAGGTGAGGGTTGTGATCTTGGAAGGCTCAGATCTGATAGTAGGATCATTTGACTGCACAGATAGGCCAGCCTGTTATCTTTCCTGATCTTCCCACCTTCCTACTGGGCATGACTTGGCATTTCCTCATTTCTACTCTGAAATGCCTTTGGTATCACCACACTCCCCTCTCCCATCTCTGCTTTTTTGACCCCTAGCCTGACCGCCCTCTAGCAAGTCTCCCTGTCACCTGCCTCTTTCTTCACTTGACTGAGTACTCTGCTAACTGAGTCCACCTTTTTGAGACAAAGGCAATCAACCGTATCTGAGAAGCACCCTGACCTGTGTTAGGATGAACCTCGTAGCTCTTGGCAAGGGGCAGAGAGGCCCTTTCCAACACGACCCAAGGCTAAGTGTTGTTCAAGGCTCTCACTGCTTTGGATGCTCTGCAAATCAAGGTCTGTGAATTCCTGAATCCCCACTCTCAACCCCACTCCTTTCCCCCTTTTTCTCCAGCTGTTGTCTCTGCCTGGAAGGAAGGTCCTTCTAGCGGATCCTCAGTCACCCTCCAGCCCACTGAGGCTAGACCCCAATGGCCCTCACTCCTTTGAGTCTTCAAGGAGCATGCTTCCTCCGAGGGTCCACACCATGGGATTAATGTAATGGTCCATGCTCCCCAGGTTCTCTGAGGGCGGAAACACTTTACGTCTATCTTGGAATCCTGCACGGCTGACACACGGCTCATTGTGTAAGAAGACCTTGAAAAATGTGCAGGGGATGGAGAAAATGTGTGTTCAAGGTGTTTGTAGTACATAGCAACACTCTCATTTCCATAGCTGCACGAGCATGCTGGGGACAGTGTGGGGAGGCCCTGAGCTCCTATCTGGATAAACAAATGAGATGGTGGCCCCATTTCCCCCACCTCAGTTGTTTTCCAATGAGTTGCTCAGCCACCGTGCCTGCCCTGGCTTTCCTTAGTCATTCTGGAATAAAGTACAGGGGCCCTGGTAGCCACATAGGAGCTCTACCAGCTCCTAACCTCCATGTACTAAGGCATTCAGAGTTCCTAGCCACAACCTAGTGTGTGTGTGTGTGAGTTTGAGTGTGTGTATGTGTGAGAGAGTTTGTGTGTGTATGTGTATGAGAGTTTGTGTGTGTGTGTGTGTGTGAGTGTGAGAGAGAATGTGTGTGTGTCTGGAATCATTTGTGCTCTCCTTTCCTACCCCCAGGCCAAAGGCTTCTCTGGTCCATGCATGATGGATGTTTAGACTCATTTATTTTCACTGTAGCTCTTGAATAATATCTTTGCTGGGATAAAGAAAGAGAATTGACTCTTTTTTTTGAGCCCTAATTCTGTATCAGGAAGGTGGCTGCTGTTTGTCTTGGCCAAGCATCACAGAAGCACTGGGGTCGGCGTCTTTTGTCCCATGTTGCAGATAAACAGAGTGGTCTCTGGAGGCCCGCAGCCTCCTCCTGGCCAAAGAGCAGCAAAGCAAAGTTGCCTTGTTCTACTCGGATGCTGTGTCCATTACCTCCCACATCCCGGGAGAGAATACAGTTCTTAGCTAGGCTTTGCCTGCACAGACCCTGCAACCCCTGTGACTCTGGCTCAATCTTGTTCAGTCTCAGGATCAAAGAAGAAAACTGTTTTTAGCACCCAGGACAGTCGTTCTTTAAAAAGAGCAGTCTTTTTAAAAATGTCTTCTGGCCTCAGTGATAGAATGTTGCTTGATATGCATGAAGCCCTGAATTTAATCCCCAGCCCTTGGGGAAAGAAGACCTTCCTAACTTTTGTTTTTTTTTTGTTTGTTTGTTTTTTGTTTTTTTGAGACAGAGTTTCTCTGTAGCTTTGAAGCCTGTTCTGGAACTAGCTCTTGTAGACCAGGTTGGCCTCGAACTCACAGAGATCCACCTGCCTCTGCCTCTCGATTGCTGGGATTAAAGGTACGTACCACCACCACCCAGCTTAACTTTTGCAAGATGAGTCTTACTCAGAGCTCGGAGGAAATCAGCAAGAGGTCTCTGTGTGTGCATGCGGTGGTGCTGGTGGGACCCAGAGCCCCACCCCAGGGTCCCTTCTTGTCCTCTGATATTGTCAGAGTCTCTTCTAGATCTACAGAAGTCATAGCACACAGGTTTTTTCTTCTCTCCCTCTCCCTTTCCTGCCTCCCTAAAACAAAATTTCCCTGTGTAGTCCTGGCTGCCCTAGAATTAGCTCTGTAGATCAGGCTAGCCTCAAATTTAGAAATCTACCTGCCTCCGCCTCCAGAATGCTGGGGGTAAAGGCATGCACCACCACGCCTGGCTAACACACAAGTTTCAATGCTGTTTAAGATAGAAGATTTCCAGGGGCTTCAACTCATAGGAGCATTGGCGGAATCTCTCTGCAGCCCATTCCAACCCTGGTCCAGCACTCTCTAGGGGATGGAGATGGGGAAGAATCGTGATGTCTGCCCTAGCAGCCTTCTGGTCCTCCTTCCTCCCTTCTTGGGACTGACTTGTTGCTTTAGGCCTCTGCTCGGTGTGGTCCCTGGAGGGCCTCAGGCCAGTACGATGGTGGCAGGGCTCAGCCATGCCATTAGGTGACAAAGAGTGGCTGGTCTCACTGCTTAGCTTCCTGTGCTCAAAGCCCTTAGCAAGGTTGTGTGTGCTTGCTAGTGCTGAGGGGGCTCCCAATCACATCCACTCCTCTTTCTGGGTCTCTGGAAGCTTTCATGGTTCAGGATAGAGAAGGTCTGGAAGGGTAGTGGGAATGGGTGCTGGTTTTAGAGCAGCAAGAGACTGGCTCTGTCTTGGTCTGGCCTGAACCCCTGTGTGCTCTTCCAGGTGTGTGTAACTTTCCAGCCCGGTATCTGGTTTCACTCCAGACTGCACCCTGTTCCCATCGCAGTATTTCAATTAGGACATTAAAGAAATGTAACCATGAAAGTATGTGTCCTAAATGATTCCGATGTGATGTTCTCTTTTGATATAAATTCATATTAATTGCCTCAGATGATACTGACACCCAAAGAGAGATATGATAGAAGCATCTTGATAGGCAGTCCCGACAGAGCGCTTGGGTGGGGGCAGGAATGGGGCTAGGCTCCCTGAGCCATCTGCTGAAGGATCCTGGGAGTTGGGTGTAGGAAGCTCATTAAATGTGATCATTGCCAATTCTGTGGGTGTGGTTCAATCTGGACCAGGAGATAAGGGTAAGACCTGAGGCACCAGAAAGGAGATGAGGCTGGTGGAGACTGGCCAGACACACCCCAGGAGGTGGGAAGAACAGAATAAAAGGCACCAAAGTCAGGTGAAACGGGAGTTGGAAGCGAGAAGGGGAGGAAGGAGACAGGAGAGCTGTGACCCAGGATGGATCACGGGTAACTGAGAAGAGAGAGGCAGGACACTGGCTTGTTAGGGATAGGGATGAGCTGGCAAAAGGAGCAGGGAGGAAGCAATAGGGCTACTGTGGGCATGCTGATGCCTGCATGGGCGCCTTGGTGGGCCCTGGACACAGTGACAGCGAGGATGAGCCCTGGGAAGTCAGACCAGAGGAGCCAAATGGAAGCTGTGGGTTGCTGGTGGTCTCAGGCAGTCAAGGGACGCACCCATTACCTGCATGATGCGGACGTAGTCGGTGCGATGCAGCTCACCCTCCTTGACCACCTTCTTCTTGAGAGTGGCAAGATTCCTCTCCAGGTGTTCCCGCTGGCGGGCATACTCCTGTTGCAGGTCTGAGTTCAGCCCCGCAATTTCTACCTGGTGGGTGGGGGAGACTCAGCAAAGGAGTGGACACGTCACGTGCAGGACAGCATGGTGGGGAAGGACAGGGAGGACACTCAGAGCTCACCATGTCTGCCCGCTGCACGTACTTCTCAAAGAGAGCACGGATCTTCTCCTTCAGCAGCCGGGGCTCCTGGATGTACGCTACGCAGTTGTGAAGGTCCGTCTTAAACCGCCGGACCAGTGCTTCCAGGTCCCGCTCCTGTAACCAGACATTTACTCCTGACACTGCAGGGGTCCCCCATGTGGAGGGGCAGGGGCTCCAGGAAGAGACTAAGGACACAGAAAAGAACCAGAGTATCCTTATCTGGGATTGACACCTGACTGTTGGTGACCACCTTGGGCACAAAAAGCAAGATGGGCAGACAGCCCATTGGGAGCAGTTCTGAAACTCTTGTGCACTTGCCTGGGCTGGATACCCTGCCTGAACGGCTGTCAAGAAGACAGGGCTTGAGAACACACACACACACACACACACACACACACACACACACACACACAGCATCCCTATTGTTCTGCATTCCTTTAATGGCCTCAGGCTTATAAGACGAAAGGAAGAAAGATGTATCATTCTCTCCCACAGATCCTTACCCAGGGCTCCCCCAAGCCCCTTAGGACCTCACCCAGCATTTGTTCTCTTGGCAGTCAGGAGCACTGCTGCAAGTGGATGAGAAAGCCCTACAGATTGCTGCACCCTGGACTAACTCCTCATCTTCAGCCTGGCTTTCCTTGCCAGCCACCTCCCCCCATCTTTACCCTAGGGGGATCTCCTTTCTCTCCACTCCCATAGTCCTTTATCCACTTTACACACACACACACACACACACACACACACACACACACACACACACACAAACACACACGTATATACAATTTCTCTGCACATAATTTTCTATCTCTATATATTTTATGCACAGGCCACAAACACTTTTCAGTCCTTTGGGCTTGCGAAGAGCAGGGCCACACCCTCTCCCCATGTGCAGCTCTGCAGCTTTGGCAGCGTGCACTGCCAGTGTTTGCTGAGGATGGAAAAGCTCTGTCTGACTTGGAAAACATTGCAGGTGGCCTGTGGGCAGAGTACACAGCTGCATCCTAGCCTGGGGCCAGAGGACCAGGCTTCCCCGGCTGGCTCTGAGTTGAGAACTAGCTATGAGTACCGGGTGAAGTTTCTTTTCCTCCTCATTTCTTTGCCCTTACTGTGCTTATTTACAACATGAAAAAGACCAGAATGAGCCAGATGTGTAGCAGGCACCTGTAGTCACAGGATTAAGACTTCTCAGGCAATCTTGGGCTATCCCATCAGTTTCAGGCTAGCGTGGGTTACAGAGTGATACAGTCTGTCTCTGTGAGAGGACTGGAGAGTGAGAGCCCGGCACCTGACTTCTTCCTCTGACCTCTGCACACGGGCATCAAAGTGAAAGCACGCACGCGCGCGCGTGCGCGCGCGCGCACACACACACACATACACACAGAAAGTAAACATGACTGGAATGGATTATCTCTTAAGGTTCTCCTAACATTGGCCATTTTGGGGTGGTCAAAGCATTTAACCACTTCATTAAATACAAATGACCATTCTAAACCATGTTCTTCCCTAGGTCAAACAAACCCAAGGCTAAGGGTATTCCTATAAAACAATGGTTCTCAACCTTCCTAATAATGCTGTGACCCTTTAATAAGTTTCTCATGCTGTGGCAACCCCTCCCCTGCCGCAACCATAAAATTATTTTCATTGCTACTTCATAACTGTAATTTTGCTACTGTTATGAATTGTAACGTAAATGCCTGATATGCAGGATTTTGACATGTGACCCCCATGAAAGGGTCATGTGACCCCAAATGGGTTGCAACCCACAGGTTGAGAACCGCCGCTATAAAGCCAGCATTCTCACCCCCTCATTCCTCCACCCAAGACGTTTTCTAGTCGCGGATGAATTTGGACATGTAAATTTGTGCAGGCCTGGAACCAGACAGGCCTGTGGGCAAGAGCGTGAGTTAAAATGGGAAGTGTTTCTTAGCAATGGCTGGCTCTGTCTCAGGGAGCCAGCTGCCCGCTGCCGGCAGGTGCCAGACTCCGGCAGCCCTCACACCTTCTGCTGCTCTTTGCGCATCTCCTGATCTGTGGATCGCAGTTTCTGCAACAGTTCCGTGATGTTCAGCTCCAGTTGCGTGTTCTGCTTATGGAAACGCTCCAGTTCTGCTTCCATCTAGGGAGGACCAGGGGATGGAGGCATGAGCAAGGAAGTCGGGGATGAAAACTGTCTGAGAGCAGACATCTTTCAAGGAGAATTCCCAACACAGTATTTCTTCTTTACTTCCCAGCCGCGTCCCCTTGAATGAGAGCTCTGTCCTTATGGCTTGCCATCCTAAAAGCTCCCCTCTTCGCTGGTACCACGTCCCCCCAGGTCCTGGGTGTCTGTGGTCAGGCTGTGAAGGTTTTCTCTTAGTGGCCACCCCTTCTCCTAACCTCTCAGATTCCTCTTTTCGTGAACCCTTTCTAACTCAGTCACTCTAACTCCTGGGTTCTCAACCCGTGCCTAAGGCAGGTCCCTCCAGAGAAATACCTCCCTCACCTGATTTGGAAGGTTACATGAGTGAACCTTGACCCTCAGGGGACACAATCATTCTAAATGGGAAGTTGAGGCTTGTTTCTAAAGCAGAGAGTATTGAGGGGCCAGACTGGCATGAGGTCATCTTTTGATCTAACACATAAAACAGGAGAGAGCCAAGGACACCCAGCCTGATCATCAAAGGCTCAAAAAAGGTCCAACCAAGGGCCGCCTTCTTTTCAAAGAGATGGCTGGGGACACCAGCGAGCATCTGAAGGTTTTTCTCTCCCTTGTCGGATCTGTCTTACCCGAGACACATTTGGTTCTGGTGAGACTGGCTGTGGAGAAACCCACTTCCCACTCAAAGGGTGATGGCTCATGGCCACCCCAAATCTGATAGCACTGGGACTCATGGTAGCGCTATGGAGGCTCTGACTGTTTCCAGAAGATGGGATGTTCGCTGTTTTGTGTGGAGGGTGGAGGTAGGTGGGATGCCCCACCCCACCTAGCCCAGGCTCTATTACCACATTTTAAGGTTCCTGTCAACCTTCTCGAGACCTGGGAAACCGCTAAGAAGCTAAGTCCATGTTCTTGGACACCGAGGAGCGCCTCCTTATCATAGGAGGGTTATATTAGACTAGTCCTCTGCGGCAACACCTGGCATCCGGATGGACTCTGTGAACATCTAATGAAAGAAGGACGGGTAGGCACCTGCGGCGGGCAAAGAGCATGAGAGTGAGGGGTGGGAGGGGAAGTAGGCACTCCCTGCCCCCGGAAGAGGCATGGCAGACTGCGGAGAGCCTCCTTGTAGAAGACACACAGGAGTGGGGCTTTGCTAAAGCCGCTAAAGCAAGAATAGCACCAGGAAGGTGGCTCAGTGGCTAAGAGCACTGGCTTCTCTGTTAGCGGATCCCGGTTCGGTTCCCAGCACCCACATGGTTGTCTGTAACTCCAATTCTAGGGGATCTGACACTCCTTTCTGGCCTCTGTGGGAGCCAGGAAAACATGTGGTGTACATGTATGCATCCAGGGCAAAACACTCTTACACATAACATACACAACAAAAGTCAATGAGCACCGTGGGAGGCTAGGAACACCGAGCTGATGAGGAAGTAGTTTCTGTGTCCTAGAAGCCTCTGGTCTAAAGGGACGAGAGAACTGAGTCAGAAGTGGCCACGTGATCGATTAAACATTATCTGTGGTTGAGGCAGAAGATGCCCTAGGCAGAAGGTTCCCCGTGTGCACCAGGGACTTGAGCATGTGCCTACCCCCAGGAAGGGGCACTTTGGCCGAACGTTAGAGAGCAGTGTTTCTCAACCTGTGAATCTGGACCTCTTTGGGGTTGCATATCAGATATCCATATATATCAGATGTGCAATATCTAGATATTTCCATCATAACTCATAACAGTGGCAAAATTACAGTTATGAAGTAGCAATGAAATAACTTTATGGTTGGAAGGTCGTCACAACATGAAGGACTGTATTAAAGGCTCGCAGCTTTGGGAAGGTTGGGAACCAGCGCTCTAGACAGAGTGTTGGAGGAGAGAGCAGGAGAGAGACTTAGCAGGCAGAGTGCAGCCTTCCTACAGAGGACCCGTGGGTGGGTAGCCTGCTGCATCTCTGCAGGCTGGCACTGGTCCCGATGACTGCGAGATGGCACAGCACGGAGGCAAGCTGAGGGGCCTACCACACTAAGGTCACCGAGGAACCTCGCCAGGAGCAGCAGGAGCAACTGGTATTGGGTGGGTGGGGGAGGGGGTCCAGCATAGAGGTTTGCTCTATCAGAAAAGAGAAAAATAGAGCCCAGGAGACTAGTTAGGTGGCTGCACTGGGCTCCAGTGAAGGAAAACTTACGACAGGGACGTGGCAGTTGGAAGAGAAAAAAGGCGCCCCCGATACTCAGGGCCCCCCCCCCCCCCGGAAGGTCAATCCTAAGCCAGCAGTGACGGAGTGGGTTAGGGCGGAAGTGACCCAGGACTGTATTCTTTGCCTTTCCTCTTTCCGCTATGGGCAGGGCCTCACGTGACTTCAAGGATATAAATATCAACTGTAAAATATGTGAAGTGTCTGGCTGGAAAACCAGAAGACGAACCCAGGATGTGGGACCCAACTTCTCTTTCTCAGCGTGGACATTCCATCCACTTTTCCATGTCGTTATTCATGGTGATAATTCTCAGTGGGGAGGGGTGGGAGAGTGCAAGAGGCATTTGCCCCCAGAGGACATCTGGCAGTGTCTGGAGATGTTCTGGTCTTAACAACCCAGGCGGGGCAGAGGGGGAGGTGCTTCTGGCATGAAGAGAGCAGACAAGACAGTGAGTGCTAACACCCTCTACAGCGTATGGGGCGGCCCCTGACAGTGCAGGGTCTGTCACCCTAGAACACAGCTAGCTCTGAGAAACCTTACTAAAAGAGCAAATAAATAGGTTGAAACTAAAACCACAAGAACCCTGAAAGAGATTCCTTTTCTCCACGGACAGAAGCAGGGGAAGTGTATGCGAAGGGGGCAGCTTAACCAAGGCTGGATACATGCTCATTCACAGAGATGTCTGTGCACAAGCCGAGGGCTTGAACCTTCCTTCCTGTAGGAGAGCTTAGCCTGAGATCTGCAGTGGGTATTTCTGGATGTGCCACCAGTCCTCAGAGGAAACCAGGTCCAGATAACAGCCCTGAGCTACTGGCATAGGAGTGGGCATAGGGTGTGTGAAAGGCTCAGCTAGGAAGGTCCCTGCCCTAGGCATCCCCCCCCCCCCGTTCCTGCCAGGGACAGAGAATGACCCCACAAGCATGTTGATCATAGGACAGCGCCCTCACAGATGCCCTTAGAAAAGAGGCCTGAAGGAGCGGCCACTCTGCCTTTGCCCTTCTACAGCGTGAGAACACACACAAGTCACTATCTCTGAGACACAGACCCTCCCCTACACAACCTTCTGATGCCCCGATCCTGGCCTTTCAGCCTCCAGGACGGTGAGAAAAATGTCTGTTCCCAGGCTGAGCTATTCTGCTACAGAAAGGACAAAGACGGTTGCCATCCCTTGGCCCTCAAGTCACCAGCGCATGGCAGGAGGTCCCTAGAAGACGGCTCTGTGGTCAGCTGTGTGCAGAGAGAGCACCTTGCAGACAGCATGGGGGAGCCAGGCCCATTCCCAGAGATCCCCATCTCTGGGGCCGCTACTTGGTTTCTTTGCTGTGCACACCAGCACCACCACGGCCCATGGATGTCTGGGGAGGTAAGGATGCTGACAGCAGCCACACTCCTTTAGCACAAACATCTAGAGAAAACAGAAGGGAGAGTGGGACCCTTCTTTGCCAGGGAAAGTGTCTTTGAAGAGGGGACAGCTAAGCTGAGACAGGGAACATGAAAAGGGGGTCACATGACAATCCAGGGGATAGTCTTCCAGGCAGAGGGGACCCTACCACAGAGATCCTCAAATGGGAGAGCTTGGCTTTTAGAAACTGACAGGAAGCTGGTACTCCAGGCCAGGAAAGCATGAGATGTGGCTGGAGAGAGGCACAGAGCCTTCGGATTGCATTCTAGTGGGGTGGGGCACCATTGAGGATTTTGTGTTGTGTGGAGGCCAGGCTGTAGCCCGAGGCAAGTCCAGATAAGCCTGGTGGAGGGGGGCTTGTGAGAAGGCTCAAGAGGCAAAGGTGCTCGCTAAGCCCAAGGACTTGAGTTCCACCTCTGGAACCCACATAGTGGATGGAGTAAAGCAACTCTTGCAAGATGTCTTCTGCCCTCTGCATGAGGTGCTGTGGCAAGTACGCCCCACCACTAAAGTAAAATGAAAAGAAATTGGCCTTTCTTTGTTTCTTTTGTTTTGCTTCTTTCAGCAAGCAGAATTAGTTTCCCTCTTTTGTATCTCACAGAATTTATGACTTGCTGGTAACCCAAAGAGTGCAACGGAGGGAATGTTGTGTGGCTGCCAAGGTTAAGCCAAACAGACAGGCAGCTCCCTGCCTGGCTCTTGGGGGGGGGGGGTGGCGGGGACTAAAGAGGGGGGGGGCAGGAGGGGGAGGGGGGGGGGAGACAGGGGACACTTTTCCTGAGCCCTCCGGAGGCCTGTCCAGGGTAACTGCAGAAGGGAAGAAGTATTGTGTTTGAAATCTTACTGGGTGGGTGTTGGTGATGCTTTTGGACATGGGAGTTGAGAGAAAGAATCAGAGAAGACTTTTATATTTCCATTTGACTGTGAAACAAACTGGAAAGAAGGGGAGGGAAAAAAATCAAGAGTAATTTTGGCGGAAAATATTAACAATTCAATTTTAGGTCATCATGGTCTCCAAGTTCTAGCTGTTTTGTACCCAGCGGGAGAAAGATGGGTAAACAGAATGTCGTAAGAAAATGTGCAGGAGCCCAGGGCTAAAAGGCGCACATCTGGGCCACTGGACTCCTCTCCTTTATCCTGTTTGTTCCCTAGAACGGATTCTTAATTGTGTCACTCTGGGGTCTAAGAGCACTTGGAGACTTCTGATTGTCTGAAGTCCAAACAGCAGACCCTGGCCTAGGGCCCCAGCAGTATCTCAGGTTTGAGAAGCAGTGCGTGGCGCTTCCTGGTAAAAGTACCATTGGCTGAGTACACACTGCCCCCTAGTGGCAAGATCTTCAACAGCTGCACCTCCCATTTGTCCCTATAAGACGGCCTGTCCTCCTCTCACCCCACCTCCGTCCCCAGGGCCCACAAAGCACAAGCTAAACCCCCACCTAACTTGCTTTTGGAAGCTGGAAGTCACACACGCCTTGTCTGTGAGAAGCGGTTTCTCTCAGTTTCTCTAAGCCAGTGAGGGACAGGGATAGAGGGGACAGAGGTCTGAAGGGCAGGGTGTGTGAGCGCTGGCCCTCACCTCCTGGATCTGCTCCTTCATCACTTTGATCTCATTCTCCCTAGGTTCTATTTGCTTCTTCAGCTCCTTTATTTTGTAGTCGAGGACAAACTTGAATTTCTCTAGTTCTTGGTTCTTCTTCTTTAGGTCATAAATCCGTTTCTCCTGGAAGTGAGATGAGAGAGAACCAGCAGGGAGTAAGGGCACATGGAACCTCTCTGGAGTAGAAAACACAGGGCCGCTGACGCTGCAGGGGACTACAGACTTCTGGCTGGGGAGGCAGCCAGATGCAGGTCGGCAGAGGCTGTAGTGCGGACTCCATAGGAACTCACTCCCTTTGCCGTAGGCTGTGGAAGAGGGGGTCTCCCATCACACGCTGTAGCTCTCCTGCACTATGGCCTTGGTGCACCTCTGTCAGCAAGCAGAATTAGGTCCCCTCTCTTGTGTCTCACAGGATTTATGACTTGCTGGCAACCCAAAGAATGCAACGAAGGGAATTGTTGCGTGGCTGCCAAGGTTAGGTCAAACAGACAGGCAGCTCCCCGCCTGGCTCTCTCGGGACGTTTGCTGTGGTAGAGGCTAGGTGCTGTGGAAGAGGTTTATGCACTCTGGGTCCTCTGGATTGAGAGGGCATGTTCAGGGCTGTATGGCTGAAAGACTCAAATGAACCCCGCCCCCCTTACCATCCCTACCACAGGGGATAGAGCTGGGCACGTGGAAGAAAGAGCCACTGTGGGCATTCATCTTCCAGCCTCTAGCTGTTGGGGGCACCCCCAGTTTTCCCAGCTGAGTTTCCGGACATCGGGGTCAGAGACCAGCCAATCTGTTGAACCTTGTCCAATTCCTGCCGCTGAGAGGATAGCAACACAGCTGTTTGTTTGGACCACTGGGTTTTCAGGCTGTAACTAGAGCGTGGGTCAACCAAGCAAACCTTGACTGGATGACATTTTCCCGTTATAGCTCTGAGAAAGATCCAGTCCCTATGCTTAAGGCAGAAGAACCCTGGCTGCCAGAGCAGATAAACACAATCCCAAAATGTGATGTGTGGTAGAGGGAGGGAGGCCCGGGCATCGTGGTGGTTTGTACCGCAGCAGCAGAGGGCAACCCACTTCCGTGTGATGGGCTAGCTTAAAGGGAAGTTAGATAGCAGGGACGGCCGGAAGAGGAGATGAGGAAGGCAAGGCTTTTGCCTGCTGGCTTCGAGAGTTCAGAAGTCATCCCGGAAGCCAGGAATTGGCAAGCTAAGCCTGCGAGCCAAACTTGACCTGCTGCCTGTTTTATTCCACTTTAGCTGGAACCTGGCCTAGCACATTCCCGTTTGCTTTGTTTCTGGGTGGTCTCACATGTGGTCTCCAGGGTAGATCAGTGGAGACAGAGACCATGAGGCCTGGCCATCTCATGCTTTATAGACAAGGTTTGCTGACCTCTGCTGGGGGCCAGGGGAAGCTACTGAAGGCCTTTCAGTGGGAGAACAACCTAACTATGCTTGCACTGTCTGCTGTGCTGCTGGGGACCCGGTGTGGGAACTGGGAAGGCTACCGAACTAAGAGGGGTTACGAGTGTCTGCATTGGGAGCGCCTGGTTTCTTTCTTATTCCCACTTTGAGAATGTGAAGAGGGCCCGGCCCCTTCTCCAAAGCCTACAGTATATACAAGACTTCCCATGCAGGAACAGTAATGCAGGCACTAGCTCACCAAATCCTTACAAGCTCTCATGTCCTAGGAGAGAACAGGTTGGCTTTAAAAGGTGCCCAGGGCACAGGGTCTGGTCAGCAGAGGGGCCTGTGCCGGAACCTACTTATCTAACACTGACCGCTCATGTGTGGTCACAGGAGAAGTCTGCTTGGTGAGGCAAAAGGGGCAGAGTGGATGGAGAGGTGGGCACGGAGTCTGGGTTCGCTTAGGAGGACAGCAAATCCTGGATGTTGAGGACCTGTGCCTGATAGCTGAGTGTTCTGTGCAAAAGGCATTCATTGCCATCGTCCTGGGCTACCCAGTAGCCACAGGACCAAGCCTTCTGACCAGCAATAGCAATATGGGTAGCGTGGCAGGGGAATTACCCTCAGTCCATAGAGTGGACCATCCCAGGATGCCTGAATCAGTGGAGAGCGGGGATCTGGAAGCCAGCTGGCTCAGGTTCACCTGAGGTCTGTCCCTGACAAACTGGGAGACCTTGGGCTGCCAATTCAACCTCGTGGAGCTTGGCTTCACGAGACACAACCCTGGGTTGTTCATGCTACAAGGTTGTTGCTAGAATAGGCTTGGATTAGCTTCATGTTACGCACATAGTGGGCACTTCATAGACTGAGCGGAGCCCTCACCTTGTCTTGAATGGTCTCATCTCTCTCCTGGATCTCTCTCTTGAGGCCTTGGATGTCCTTCTCCAGGGACTTGATGACGCCCTGCAGCTTCATTTGCTCTGCCTTCAGGATCTCAATGTCGTTGGTGCGCTCTTCGATCTCCTTTTGCAGGCTACTGAACTGAAGACACAGAGCAGCAATGAAGACCCTTGGGGTTTTAGATCTGATCCCCATCCCCCCACCTCAGCTGTGGATGGGGCTGGCCCTTCTCCAGGGAACTAAAGCCCTCCTTGCTCAGCATCCATGGCTCTTGGGGAGTGGGTTTTGTTATTGCTGTTATTTTATTTTTTTTTGTGTGTGGGTCAGCTTTTTGGTTAGTTGCAAAATAGATTGTGGTCACACTTGAAAACTTCACACTTGCATACAATGTGCTGTGCTCATATTCACCCTCCGTGGCTCTCCTGCTTCCCTCCCAGTTTTGACACACACGTCCACGTCCCTTCTCCACAACTTCATATTTAATTCCCCTCTCCTTTCCTTTCCTTTCCTTTCCTTTCCTTTCCTTTCCTTTCCTTTCCTTTCCTTTCCTTTCCTTTCCTTTCCTTTCCTCCCTCCTTATCTTTCTCCCTCTCTCCTCTTTCCTCCCTCTTTCCCTCCATCCCTACCCCCTCCTCTCTTTCTTCCTTTCATCTTTTTTAAAAACCAAGACAGGCTTTCTCTGTGTAGCCCTAGCTGTCCTGGAACTCTCTTTGCAGACCAGGCTAGTCTCGAACTCAGAGATCCACCTGCCTTCACCTCCCTAGTGAGGTGTTCATCATTACCACCTGACTGTTTCCCTTTTACTTTAAGGTGACAAGCTCTTTTTACATAGCCAGACTGGACCTGAACTTGTAATGCTCCTGTCTCGGTGCCTAAGTACTGGGATTACAGGCATGGGCTATTATGCCAAACTTATTTTGTTTCAGAGAGTGGGTTTCTGGAGAATTTGGGACAGTTCGGTATTTTCCCAGGTTAGACGAGTGATGTGAGCATCCAGCATAATAATGCCTAGGTCTAGTCTCTGCAGGAGAGAGCAGTTTGCCTCCAAATGCTTCGAGAGAAGCTCTCTAGATGGCCTCAGGTTCTTTCAAGACCACACTGACCTTGAGGGTTGGTCAAGGTCACAGAGAGGAGCCACAGTAGCCAGTCCAGGAAGGGAGCGTCTGCTTACCCTGGGAGTCACTAACAACAGTGCAATTTCTATCCAGAAGCTTAGATTCCTAACGCACTTGCTCTGAGCTCAGCTTCTCCATGGTTAATCATCTTAGAACTGAAGCAATTCCTCAGGGGCCTGTCAATCGCATCCTCCCTCTCTGAGCCATCAGAGAACCAAGGAGCCACCTTATCTTGCAAACAAAGCATTTTATAATCTGCCCCGCCCCACCCAGGCTGACCAGCTGCCTGTCTCAGCCTCAGACCTCTTTTCTATTCCCAGCAGATCCTACTTGTCCAGAAAGGATAGCTCCGAGCATCCTGGACACAGGGAGCCCGTGAAAGGGGAGGAAGGAAGGAGTCAGGTATGATGGGATGCTCCTGCAATCCTAGCACTGGGGAGGAGGAGATAGGAGAATCACATGTTTGAGGACTGGGTTCCACATTGAGATCTAAACCAGTCTGGGATACACGGTAGGATCCTGTCTCATGCCGATTTCTCCCCCAAAGAGGAGGGGATGCCAGATGTGGTCCTTTTTAGGGTACTCTTTTGTCTTGGAGGTGGGACCTCTGTGTGTCCACCCAGGGCTATCTGTCCACTTGCCCCTTGCCCCCATCATCCCCTGGGATGCTCCCAGGGCCCGCAGCGGGCTCACCTTCTTCCTCATGATGCCCGTTTCTCCCTTGAGCCGAAGGTTGGACTCCTTTTCATCCCGGAGCTTTCTCTCATACTTAGTTTTGATGTCTTGGATCTCCCTGTCTTCATCTTCTTCAATCTGCTTCTTGGTTTCCTCAAATTCCCTAAGCTGCTGTCGAACATCTTCCTGGGCCTGGCTTGAAGGGAGGGAGAGAGCGAGCGGGGAGAAGGGGCTGGGAGTGCTGTGCTAAGAGGGCCTGGGATGGCAAGAGCACAGGAGCCTTTCTTGAGGAAGGGAAGATGAGACCAGTTACAGAACGGAAACGGAGGCCCTGTCTTGTCTCCTGTCTGTCCACTTCCTTTCTGACCGGGACAGGCCTCAGGGGTCCATCACCTTCTTACCTTTTACCAGTACCCCACATCCTGATGCCCTGTTACACCTTTGCTTTCCACACAGAACGCAGGGTTCAGACCTTCCTCCCCCTCAAGACAGGGTTTCTTTGTGTAGCCCTGGCTGTCCCAGAACTCACTCTGTAGACCAGGCTGGCCTCAAACTCAGAGATCAGCCTGCCTCTGCCTCCTGAGTTCTGGGATTAAAGTTGTGTGCCACCACCGCCCAGGTCCAAATATTGGACCACTGTAATTGCATTTGTAAATACAATTGGTTATACCTCACCCCTCACCAGATGAGACTGCCTTGAGGGTAGAGACCTTGCGCCCTGTGCCCGCACTGGACTCCCAGGATATAGTGAATGCGGCACACAGTAGCTGCCAGGCAAACGGCTGAACAAATGAGCGGCTCTAATTACCCCCCNCCCCCCCCCCCCCCCCGCCAGCCGATCTGTGCTGTCCTGTCTCTCAGAAAGGGACATAGAGCTGGGGTCCCCCATCACCTCTTCTAGAAGAGTAGTTTTCTCCTGGAGCTTGGCCTCGTAGAACTCGGTCAACTCCTCCAGGGCCTGGCTCTTGGTCTCGTCGTTATCCCGAAGTTGTTTCTCGTACTCTTCCTGCATCCTCTGGGACTTGAGCTGCAGCTCCTGATATTTCTCATATTCCAGGAGCAGCTTCTGGTTGTTGCAACATTCTGGAGAGAGACAGGTGGGTCTGCACGCCATGTGGGCCGGCAGCACTGGACTTCAGTGCACACACGACCCCCCACCCCCGAGTGCTTTCCTGCTCCTCCCATGCCAGCTGGGGCAGTCGCCTCCAGATCCAAGGTTCAAGGCCTGCCTAACTCCTGTTATTATAGCTCAGCAGGTGGTCAAGCTCCCGCACCCAGTTCTACACGGAAAAGTCATTTCTATGAAGGTCCTGGTAGGAGGCATTTGAGGGTTCAGGGTCAGGAAAATGCCCCGAGTATGTAATACAGATTTTACAGTTCCATTTTATAGATGGCCAAGCTGAGCCTTGATAAGGCTAGGTGACACCAGACCACACAGCAAGGAAGTGCTGAGGTTGGGACTTGGCAGACTGTCAGGCTCCGAACCTGAACTTCCCACGGGCAGGTTTGTATTTTGAGGAATGGGCAAATACACAGGAGGGAGAACCGGGGTGAGTTCCAATAAAGTAATACATTCATAGGCAGAGTCACGTTCCCTGACTTCTGCTGTGTGTGAGCCCCTTTCAAATGGGTGTCCCTAAGCTGCCTGTGCCTCGGCCATGTGGGTCCCCCTTGTGGCTCACCTATGTCTTGCAGCTCCCGGGACTGTTTGTCCAGGAGCTGTTCTATGCGTTCTCGGTGGTGGATGTCCTGTTTTTCTTTCTCTGTTTTTAAAACCTGAAACAAAGAGTCGCCTTTTCTCATTTCTACACATTTGTCAAAGGTACCAATAGGACAAGAGCTAATTTTACTGGCAACATCTTAGCTCATAAGTTTTTCTCAAGCCCTTACTTTGCACCAGACACAGTTCTGCTGAGACACGGACACATGGCCTCTTCTATCCACATCCTATTTCACTCTGAAACGTCTGCGCTTTTGCTCTTGATGCACACATGGTAAAATGGACTCGTCGGTGAAGGCTTGGGTTTGGGTCAAGTAGATTTTAAGGAGAAAAATCAGGGATTTATTCCAATCATCTACTGCTGATAGCTGGGTGTGGCGGCGCACACCTTGGCTCCCAGCACTTAGAAGGCAGAAGCAGGGAGATCTCTGTGAGTTCAAGGCTAGCCTGGTCTATACAGTTTCAGGCCAGCCAGAGTTACCAAGTGGGACCCTGTCTCAAAAACCAGACCAAACCAACCCAACCAACCCAACCAACTAACCAACCAACCAACCAACCAACCAAAACAAACAAACAAACAGACAGAAAAACAGAAAGACCCCAGCAACAGCCCAGTTGCGTATGGCTGGCACACGGCTGTCAGTTCGTTCAGGATGTTCACATGTACTGACCTGAGCCAGCCAACTCCGGGCAGCCTGAGGGTGCCAAGCAAGAATCTGGCTTTGTGTTTGGTTTATGAACTGAACTGATGCTCGGTGCCCGGTTGAATGAATTATAAATAAACAGATGAGTAAGTTTAACAGCCAAGGGCTTTTTAACCAAACAGAGCCATGAAGATAAGTTACCAGTACAACTACTCCTTGAGCCAAAAGATGGGCGGTTGGAGATGAGGGGGCCAGGCAGATGGCATAGCATAAAGACAGGCTTACAAATGCTGGGGCTAGGCCTAACTGCTAAGACAGATTTTATTTTTGACAATCTAGAAATCAACACACCTGCCAGGCCCTTCCCTAGCACTCCTTACTTCATATTTTAAAAATGAGTATTCCCTGGTTACAAAAATAACAACTCCCACTGTGGAACATCTGGAAATTCCAAAAGTATATTAGAAACAAAACGTGGGTTAGCCCGAAGAGCAGCTTTGCGGGATATAATCATCCCGCATCTCTTTTCCATGTACCTGCTTTACCTAGCATACCATCCTATGGGAAGCTTTATGCTCTGTCTGCCCTAGACACCTCCTCCAGCACCGGGGCATCACAACTCAATGGTACCAATGCTCTTAGGCCGTGCAGCTGGCCCTGCGCTCATCAACATGGGAGCTGCTTATTGCTGAGGCTGCGGGTCCGGGCTCCCAACCATACCTGGTTTTTCGTCTTTAAGGACTCCATCTCCTGGATGAACTTGTCCGTCAGCTCCTTGATCTTCTCCGAGTAGTTCATATCCTTCAGCCGAAGCTGATACTCGTTCTCCATTTTCAGTTCTTCCACGCGTGTCTTCAGCTCCAACATGACCTGAGCCTTTGGGAGAAGGGAGCAGAATTAAGAGTGCTCACAGAAGGGGGAGTCAAAACACCAAAACACCCTGACATGGGACCTGCTGCTCCTCCTTGCTTCAAATGAAGTTGGTCCCTATTAGAAGTTGTCTCCATTTCTTTTACAAGATATACAGACGGCGGGCAGACACACAAGAGAGTCTTCCTCCATCTTTATAATACGTGCTCAGTGGTCCCACTGTGTGTGCCAAGAGCACTCGTGTATCTTTCAAAGTGGCACAAATGTTACCTATTTGCTGAGACCTACCTGGACCCTCTATTGAATCCTGCTACCCCGCCCCTGTTCTCAGCACAGGCTCCCCTTCTTAGCCCCATCTTATTCTTTATTTGTTCTACAGATTTTGGCACCTGGTGATTACTGACTGCTTCACTTATTATTTTCTTTATTCTGCTGTCTTTTACTTCCATTAGCATTTGAGCTCCCCGCAGGCTGATGTCTTTGTTGGTTTTGTTCTCTGATGTAGCCCAAGCACACAGCCAACACAGAGTAGGTACTCAAGATACTCTCTTTCTCTGTGTGTGCTAACCAAACCTAGGGCCTCACGTCAAGAGTTAGACATCGGGCTACACCCAAACCCCAGAGATACTTGATGAATGTCCTCATGAAGCTCACGGCCTTTTGAGGCAGCCAGATAAACCCATGATTGTAAGTTGTGATTCAGCGCCCAACGACGCGGTCACTGTCCCTACTCACGTCTGCCATGCCTGCGCTGGCGTCATCACCGTTACTTTAATGTAGGCCTCGGTTCTACTTGGCTCCAAAGTCTAGTCGCTAGTGTTTGTTTTCTCTCTTACAAGCAAAGTTTCCTGAAAGTCCTGTAATAGTTCCTGAAGAGCCATTGCTGAAGAATGGGGGAGGGCACAGATGATGTCTTCATGCTCACCCCCCCCAATACACACACCTTGTCTTCACTGGTCTGCTTCCCTTATTTCCATTAGAAGAAGAAACGTGCTACGTTTGCTGCTGTACTCCTAACTGGCACCTGGTATGGACTTAGCATGAGTGGTACTGAGTGGACTTAGCATGGGGGTACTGAGTGGACTCAGCATGGGGGGTACTGAGAGGAGGGCTGCCCACTCAGGGTCCTCCTGTAGTTTGGTGCCAATGGGAGGAAGAGGGAGAGGAGTCTGAGCTTGGAGACCCCTGGAGTGTCGTGTAGAAGTATGGGAGGTGGCACTGGAGGCCCTCCAAGAGCCTCAGCTAGCCTCCTTGAGCTGGCTTTGGTGCTTTGAGGGCTTTCTAACGATGGTGCACAGCACAGAACACATTCGTGTGAGGTGACTAGCTGGGATGTGACTGCAGAACTCAGGCGAGAGGTGTTAGGGCCTTGAGCTGAGGTGGGGAGGAATGGAAAGACTGAGGGAAGAGATACCAGGAACTGTGGTGCCTGGCTGGCGCTGTAATGACGAGAGAGGGCCGTGCTGGAAGACTCCCCAGGTGACTGGCTGTACCGAAGTGCTGGGTTTGGCCTGTCTGGCTTCCAGAGCCTCGAACAGAGGCAACAGCACTGCCAACGTTGGTGAATGCCCGGCAGGTAGGTCAGAGACCCAAGGCCTGTGCTGAACTAGTGAGATATTGTTACAAATGGTCCAGTTTTTGATGTGGGATGTTCAAGGTGCTTGCTCGCTGGCCCTCCACAGTCCGTCTCTATGATGCAGCAGAGTATCTTTCCAGGGTAGGAATCTTGTCATTATACCTCCTGATGGAAGGTCTGCCTGTGGTCCTTCCCAGCAGTTTCCAGTCTAAGACGTGCGAAAGGCCTCTGTGGTCTCCCCGATTCTCTCCAGCTTCCTTCTCAGCAACAGTCTGCTCACAGCTGCTAGGCACATCTTCCCAGAGGCTCCCTCTTTACCCTTCCTCACACACGGCCCACTCCATACAGAAGGCCTTTCCTTCTGGAAAAAGGCACTGGACACGGCTTGCTTCCTCTACTACCACCTGGCCTGGGTGGGGTCCTTCCCTTGCCTTCCCGTGGCAGGGTTCTTTCATAATATCGCGGCAGCTTGCAGCCCTGTTTTGTTTTTCCTGGCTTTTCTCTCAGGCCACAGGCTGAGGGACCCCTCTGTGTTTTCTATCTCTGCACTTTCAGCGATGGAGGCCTGTTGGGTACACAGCAGTTGCTCCTGTTGCCAGCACATGGAGATCCCTGTGCATTCAAATGACTGAGGGGGGGAAGCACATCCCTGGTTGAGGGACAGTTACTTGGAATGTCACAGAATAGAAAGACTGGGAGCTGGCACTGGGGAGAATGTGGACATAGAGAGAGGAGATGGGGGGAGCCAGGAAGAGGTTTGCAGAGATTCATCCTGATGGATGTAAGAGAGGAGAGAGGCTAAGGAACTGGGCCACACACACTAGATGGTTCCACTGTGGTGGCAGCAGTGCTGTCAGGCTTGGCTGGGGCCAGGGGTCAGGGGTTAGGGGTCAGGGGTCAGGGTTGGAGTCAGCCCAGACACTGTCAGGCCTTGAGCTTGATCCTGCATCTCCTGTTTGGCTTCTCTGCCCTCTGGGAAGAATGAGAAGAAAACAACAGAGAGCAGATGTGTTTGTCTGCCACAGGGAGGCTGGGCTCGCCCTCCCTCCTTTCCCCTCCTTTGCCTTTCATAGAGAATGTTCCAGGGCGCTTTGAAAGGTCTGTCCAAGAAACAACAGGGCCCTCTGTCGTGCTGTGCCTTTGCTATCTCTCTCCTCCCCTGACTGGGAGCCCCCAGATCACAGGGCCCCTGTTTGGCTTTCCCAAACACTCATGCTGGGTTGGAGAGATGGCTCAGCCATGAAAGGCTAGGCTCACAACCAAACACTCCTGCCCAGAGCCTAGCCAACCACAGGGAGCACACTCAGTGACTCAGACGTTTTCCTGAGTGGCAATGACAGTGTAGCTCTGGGATTCTCTGAGTGCCGTGAGCGGTGCCCAGGGCTGTGCACTCAGATTTCAGCAAAAGATTTACTAGCAGGAGGGAGGGATCTTTGGTCTAGTGACTGAGAGCATCTCCAGATCCAATCTGGAATCAAATTCTGGTCCTACTGTTTACCAGTACAGTAAGTTTGGATCCAGGACTAAATCTCTTTGAATGAGATTGATCTAAAACCGTTGAGCCATGGGGGAGAACAACAGTACCTTGTTCACAGAGGTATTCTGAGGTTTCTAGGAGAGCTGTGTCACCAGCATGGTGCATGGTTCATGACAAATGCTTTTTCCTTCCTCTCTCCCTCCCTCTCTGCCTCCCTTTTTCTCTTCCTCTCTCCCTCCTTCCTTCCCTTCCCCTCACTCCTTCTCTCTCTCTCTTTTTTTGTCTGTCTGTCTGTCTGTCTATGTAGCCCAGGCTGTCCTCAAACTCATGGTCTTCTTGTCTTAGCCACCTGTGTGATGGGATTACAGATGCCATTTGTGTACATACACTTATGTATGTGGGTGTACATGTATGTTCATGGTGTGTGTGTGTAAGTTGTGGAGTCCAGATGTTGACATTGGGTGTCTTTATTGGTTGCTCTTGAGTTTGTGTTCTGAGACAAGGTCTCTTGTTGGACCCGAGGCTCATGGGTTCAGTCAGGTGGTCTTGCCAATGAGCTCCAGGTCCTCTGGTGTCTCCCACCCCTAGCATTGGGGTTATATACACATGCCTTTGTGCCCAGCTGGGTGCTGGGGATCCAACCTCAGGACTTTACAATTGCCTGACTGATTTATCTCTTCCCAGGGCACACGTTTTAAAATGAAATAATTACACGTCACAGCTACAATCTGGGCATGTGGTAGATTGGTCTTATGAATGTGTACTGGTTATCTTTAGAGTCCCTTGCCATGGTTACCACTCTTACATTGCAGCCGGAAGAAAGCAGGGTCATGGGACTCGAACACAGTATCAGTCAGGGTGGTCATGGCGCCAAAAAACAGGCTGTGGGAGGATGGAAGCAGTAGAGTGGTTGCAAGCAGGCTGGCTTGCTGGCATGGAGCTAGCTGACTGCAGCAGCCAGTGGGTACAGCCAGGCAGGCCTTCAGAGGACCCGAGATGCTGGCCTGAGCCCCCTGAGTGTAGTCTGCTAAGGGATTCTGTGCGCCTCCCCCCTGTGGCCTGGGTCTTACCTTCTCTTCCATGTCTGTTTTAGTCACCAGCACCTCTTCAGCAAAGCCCACCTCCCTCTCTCGTTTGATTCCCCGGCCATCCTTATCGAAGACCCTCCAGGTGAACAGGCAGCCATCCTCAGCCACGGTCAATAGGAACTGGTCATCAAAGGTGAGCATCATCTGCGGAGGAAAAGAGCAGGGAGGAGAAGGTTTTCTGGGGCCGTGGATGCTCAGGACGGAGCTGGCTACGCAGGGGCTTTGGTCCACGCAGCCCTGCACACTTCCCTGGGCTTGCGTGCTCCTTACCAGGAGAATCAGACAGAAGCACCTTGGTGCATCAACAAATTTCTTCACTGATGAGGAAATATGAGGGAGTTGGTGTTTGGGGAGAGGAAATCCCCAGCTCACTCAAAAGCGAAGAATCAAAATGTGAAGCTCTCACAGCATCTACCATGCAGTCAGGGATGAAGCCTTGGTGCCACCACGGCAGAGCGGGAACATTAGTTAAGCCTGTGCTCTTCCTCATCGTGCCTCTGCATCACTTCCAGTCTCACTATGCTAATGGAGTAGAGGTAACCATGGTAACCACGGATCTATCGTTGTGACTATAGGATGCTTTTGTCTCGTCCAACCTGAAATTTGTCTCTTAGCATCTGAGATAGTCCCTAATTGAGTTTGGGAACACAGTGATTGTTTTCCTGCCTCAGTGAACTTGATTTTAATAATCTTATTTTCCTGGGCTTTGGGTTCCTGGCATTGTTGCTGCCCACAAGAGTCTCTGAAAGCTGAGCTGGCTTCTTGACTCCTCTGGAGACTAACTTTTTAAAACTTCCAATTTTCTGCTGTGCTTGTTAACCCCCGGAAGACTGAAGGCTAGCCTGTCTCAGGCACAGCCATACAATTCAGCAAGGAAGGTCAACAAGAGGGGAGCCTTGTCAATCAACGCTCATCAGGACTCTACGAGAGCAACACACAGTCTTCAGCGCTGAGCCGTTTCTCCAGCCTCTACAGTGCATCGCATTTGAGGAGCACTCAATTATATAGAAAAATTCTTGTTGTAATGTTAAAGTTTTAAGAAGCAGGCTGTGAAAGAGTGACCATAAAGTATGATCTTCATTCCAGACACATGTATAATACCTATGAGTCAGAATATGAATGATGATACTACTATAAAGGCCTGACAGAAACATACATAAACATATGTTGCTTCTATAATAAAAATGACCTTACAACAAAATTTAGTAGATCTAGAGGGAAGAGGGGACTAAATCACAGCACTTTACTTTGGTTCCAATGCCCAGGCTCAGTACAGAAATGTGTCATTTTATAATGAAGAATCCTTCCCTAGTGTGTGTAGTACCTACAGGTAAGTGTGGTGGATTGAAGGAGAATGGTGCCCCATAGGCTCATACATTAGAATACTCGGTACCAACAGGTGGACCTATTTGGGAAGGATTAGGAGGTGTGGTTTTATTGGAGGAGGTGTGTTACTGGAAGCAGGTTTTTCCCACCACTGCTCTCTGCCTTGTGGTTGTGGATCGAGACACGAGCCTCAGTTGTTCACTTCACTCTGCCATTATGGACTCCAACCCTTTAAAACCACAAGCCAAATTAAACACTTTTGTTTCTAAGTTGCCTTGGTCAAGGGATTTTATCACAGCCATAGAAAAGTAACTAAGACAGTAGGTCAGTATTGAACTCAGGACATAATTAAAAATCTTGAATGTCTTTCTTGGTTGAGTCTTTGTGCGGTTTTGGTACCAGGGTAACTGTGGCCTCATAAAAAGAGTTTGGCAATGACCCTTCTGTTTCTATTATGAGGAACACATTGAGGAGTATAGGTATTAGCTCTTCTTAGAATATCTGCTTGAATTCTGCACTAAAACTGTCTGGCCATGGCCTTTTTTTGGTTGGATGGTTTTTGACAACAGCTTCTATTTCCTCGTGACTTATAGGTCTATTTATATTGCTCACCTGGTGATGATTCAATTTTGGTATATGGTATCTATCTAAAAAATTGTCTATTTCTTTTACATTTTCCAATTTTGTGGAGTACAGGCTTTTGTAGTAAGACCTAATGATTCTCTGAATTTCCTCAGTGTCTGTTGTTATGTCCCCCTCTTCATTTCTGATTTTGTTAATTTGGATGTTCTCTCTCTGCCTTTTGATTAGTTTGGATAAGGGTTTGTAAATCTTGTTGACTTTCTCAAAGAACGAGCTCTTTGTTTCATTGATTCTTTGTATTGTTTTCTGTGTTTCTATTTTATTGATTTCAGCCCTCAGTTTGATTATTTCCTGTCTTCTACTTTTCCTGGGTGAATCTGCTTCTTTCTGTTCTAGAGCAAGAAAAGAGAACAGGACTATTCACAAAAGCACGCCTCGGTTACTGTTCCCAGGTAGGCTCGATGCCCGTATTCTCAGGGTTAGGTCTAATCGCTTGGCGTATGACTTCCTTTTGTCTGCAGCAGTGGACATCTGCACGTCATTAGTAGGTAAAACTCACCGCAGCTGGGAAATAAGATAGCAACCCAGCTGGGACACCTACAACAGCCGTCCGAGGGCCTATTACTGGGTGTAATTTTGTGTCAAATAATCTCTGGGTGTGACATGGGTATGACTATCCAGCCCAGAGGTGCCCAGTGAATGGGTGACAGATGAAGAGATAAGCAGAGCCAGGAGGAGTGAGGAGAAACAGGCAACACTGAGGGGTTGCCAGGGTAGGAAAGTCTGCGAGGCAGAGCGTGGGCTGGGATTTGGTGGGGAGCCACCTCTCACCTTGGTGATGGGACTAGCATGAGCCTGGTACTCATTGAATTCTTTCTGCAAAGGCAGCGGGTATTTCATGGCACGGATAGTTCCCACGGAAGTGCCCACAAACATCATGCGCCCGGAGTGCGAGATGGTGATGGCCGTATAGATGACGTCAAAAGCCGATATCTCGCGGAGGATCTGGAACACAGGCGGATCTGTTCAGTGGGAGGAGCTGAGCTTTTGTCTCCAGTGGCCCAGTGTCCTCTTTGGGGTGGGAATGAAACTCAGGCCTCACACATGCCGGGCGGTCTCTCCACCACTGAGCTACCTTCCCAGTTCCGAGTTCCTAATTTTATCATTATTCTATTTTATTGAGATAGAATCTCACTGTGTAGCACTGTGAGGCTGACCTCACTGAGACCCATCTGCCCCTGCCTCCCAAGAGCTGGAATTAAAGGTGTGTGCAACCATGTCCATTTGGAGTTCTCAAGTCTTACACAGTAAGTGTGTGTGTGTGTTCACACCAGTATGAGTACATGGAGGGCCATGTGACATTAGGCATCCTATCCTATCACTCTCTGTCGTATTCCTTCGAGACAGGGTCTCTTCACTGACCCTGGAGCTGGACAGATGGCCAGCAAACCCTGAGGATCCTTTTCTCTCAGTCTTGCCCCCATCTGCCCAGCACTGGGGGTACAGGTACACATGGCCCCACCAGGGTGCCGGGACTCAACTCAAGTCTTCGCGCTTGCACAAAAAACGGCTCTTACCCACTGAGTTGTCTCTTTAGGTCTGTTTTTTTCCCCTGACTTATAACCAGTTGTGGGTGTTAGAAACAAGACAAGTGAAAGGGCCAGAACTCTCTTACGACACCGTGGCATTATATCTTTATCTGCTGTAAATCGTCTGGTCTTTACAGAAGCCTGGAGGAAGTGACAGTCACATTCACGACAAGCGAAGATGAGTCACTGAGGCTGGGAGTAACTTGCCTCAGCTCACGGGTGTGGTCAGGGACAGCCTGACTCCACTTTCAGCTCTTGTGCAATGCTGCCAACACACCTCAGGGTGTGAAGAGGATGACAGTCATAAATCTATCCAGGAAGCATTTATTACTGTCCAAACTATGCTCTCAGGGAACTCGCTCATTCCTTCACCCACAACTGCGTATTCAGCCACCCACTCACCGATCCACATCTTTTTTATGATTGTGTGTGTGTTGGGGCGCTCTGGCAGTGCACCGGCTACTAGGGATGTCAAGGGGAGGGGACACAGGCCTGCCCTGGGAAAACATTTTTCTGGTCTAGCTTTGTACAGGCTGCTTAAGAACCAGGATTGGGTCCCTGGGAGTACAAAGGAGAGTCACCCTGTGTGCGCTAAGCTGTTTCTGGTTTATTTGCTGCTGTGGAAGCCATGAGCCTCCTCCCACACCCAAGGTGTCAGCCCATGACAGAAGCTATGGGAAACCCAAGAAGCCAGAGATCAGCTGTCGCTGGGCCAGAGAAGGGCATGAGCCATGTCTGTATGAAGGGTCCATGTTGAGTTCTCTCTGTCCATATGTCCAGGAGCCAAAGGTGGTAATATAAAAATCTAGAGGTTTTGGAGGAACACAGTGACAAGCCTGGGTGACGGCAGCTAACCATAGCAGCGGCTCATCTCAGCTAAGGGCAGAACAAGGGCTAGAGTTCAGTGTAACTGAAAGTTACATTTTAATTAAATTTGTGTATATGCATGTTCACAATAGTGTGTGTGTGGTGGTGGCAGCATGTGTGGTGGTAGTGGTGGCGTGTGTATGTCAGAGAACTCCACCATGTGGATCCCTGGGGTCCACCTCAGGTTGTCGTCAGGCTTGGTGGTTTGCCTAAGAGCGTTTTAGAGAAGTTGTTGATTTCCACGTGTGTGGGTAAATGGAAGTTACAGACAGGAAGCGGAAAGGGCAAGGGGACCCAGAGCTTGAACCATTCGGGAGGATCAAGGAGCATGGCAGGCACTGTCCCGTGAAGGAGAGCTCTCTCTCAGGGGGTCTAGCGGAAGTCCCGGGGTCTGGCTTCTGGCAGCACGGAGACGGGGATGGGGAGGGCGGACTCACCAAAGAATCTGCAATCTCCTTGAGAGTCTGGTCCGATCCCACGGCGAAGATAACTTTGGCATCAGGGGAGACAGTAACAGAGTTGTAGCTACAGGACTTGAGCACGCATTCTGTCTCTCTCTTCCCCGTGGACAGGTTCCATTCATACACAGCGCCATCCGTCCCAGCAGAAATCAGCTTGCTGTCATCTAAGTTCCACACAAGTGAACGAATCTGCAAGGAATGCAGACACACCTGGGTGAGAAGAGCACACACACACACACACACACACACACACACACACACACACACACGGAGGGGATTAACCTGCGGGGGCTCCATTACACTAAGGCAGAATGGGCCTGGGAGAGGGCTGTCTGTAAGCACAAACATGGCTTCTTGGCCACGTTAACATTCTGTTTCCTAAGACGTAAATGTTGTAAGATGCTGAAAACAGTATACTCCCATTCCCTTTTGACTCTAAGAATGCAGATGGACTTGTACTAGCTTTCTGATGTCATTTTATCTTATGTGAATGCATGGTTTGGCTGTGTTTACAGGCATCTGCAGAGGCCAGAAGAGGACGTCAGATCCCCTGGAACTAGTTGGGGTTATGGATGGTTGAGAGCCACCACGTGGGTGCTAGGAAGTGAACTTGGGTCTTCTGCAAGAGCAACAAGTGCTCTCAGCTGCTAAGTCATCTCTCCAGTCCCCTTTGAGAGCCCTTTTAGTTTTGAAATATTCACAGGAAACTGCAAACAATAGCTCCAAGAATGGACTTCTGGGATGGCAGACTGAGGGTATCAGCTAGTTTCCCCAGTGACCGAAGTTAACTGATAAAAATAATCAGAACTTAGGGCTGGAGGTTCCCCATTATAAGGGCCAGGGGAAGACAGGGGTTCTTGCCACCCTACCCCTGTCCTGCAGGTTCCACCCAAATTAGGGGTGCCACTGCCGGAAAAGCAGGTTCAGGGCACCGTGGGATATGGGCTTTGCCTTGGGGAAAGACAGCCACTAAGACAGAGCACTCGGTGGCAACCGGGGACTGACTTTATTTGCAACAGAATCTGGAGACCTCTGTGCTTATGGGCACATCTGAAACAATGGAGACCTCGGTGAGAGAGCAAAGAGGAAGCTGGTGACTATACACAAGAAAAAACCAGCAGAGCGGCAGACTTTCAATAGAGAGATCGTGGGAAAGAGGTGGTCAAAATTTGCTGGGGACTATGCGGCTGTGTGCCCGTGGTGGTGTGCATCCATTGGGCAGCAATGGGAGCAGGATGTGGGAAACACGAAAGCATTTTCCAAGCTACTGGAGGACCCACTGAGTCAGGGGGCTGTCTCTCTGGTACAGGAGGCTTCCATACAATATCTCACCACACACTGCACAGTGAGCTCCTTTGACTCAAGGGCGCCTTCCGAGAATCCAGGCTTAACATGTAAAGTCACGCTCATTCTTGGCAGCATGAAAGACTATGTTCCTGACTGAGGCTGTGCCTTCTCAGGCAGAGCCAGAGAGGGTGCATCCAAACTGTCCATCTCTGCAGACCATAAGGCAAAAAACTGATGGTCTAAAGCAGCTTCCAAGCCCCACACAAACCTAGTAGTTAAGGCTAAAAATTTAAGCAGCTAGGTGGGCTTATGGGAAATCTAAGTGGGTTTATGGGAAATTTATGATTAATAAGTACTTTAGGCCATCCATAGGCAAACTGAAGGCTAAAATCCAAAAAGAAAATGAAAAAAAATATAAGTGAAGAGGGAAACCTAAGCAGGGACGTTAAAGGCTGCACACTGCATAGGAAAAAGGCTTTACGGAATTAGTTCCTCCATTGAGCAAATAAGCTGTCAGTCATCCTACCAACTAACCCGCCCACTGCCAGCTCCTGAGAATATATATATCTAGAATTGCTGCAGTATAGTGCCTAAAACAGCCAGCCAATCAAAAGTTAGGAAACACACAAGAAACAAAACAACAAATCCCTCAAAACTACTGTGCCCCAAAAGAAGATGACAGAAGCAAGCCAGGGGGAAAAGAAAGTGTCCTGAAAGGTGCTCAGACGGATCCAGCAGACAAAGACTCGGAAGCAGCTGATGTAAACACGTCCAAGGGAGTACAGGAGCCACGCTTGAGGAGTTAAAAGAAGCCATGGCGCGTCTCATCAAGTTGGCAATACGAAAAGGGGAGAGCGTTTTTTAGAAACTCTAATGGATACCCTGGGGTTGAAAAGCGTAATTGCCAATGTGAAAATGCCACTAGCGGGGCTCATCGGTAGATCTGAGCAGGGGACCGTGAAGACAGATCAAAACATGCAATCTGAAAAGCAGAGATGTTTAAGAAAAGCTGACAGAGTCCAAGAGAGCCATGGATGACCATCAATTTACACCAGCAAATATGGGTCGGGAGTACCAGGAGGAGAGAGAAAGGCATCAGGGAAAATTATAAATAAGTATGTAATGCTGAAAGCAGTCAAAACTTGTTGAAAAACATGAATACATGCATCTAAGGGCTATAGTACATTTCAAGTAGGAGCACTACAAAGAGATTGACATCCAGACACACCATAGTCAAAACACTGTAAGCCAACGACATGAAAACCTAAGAGAAAGCAGACTGGTCCACACTAGTCCAAGATTACCATTTGGCTTCTATCGGAAAATCAGGAAGGAGACACAAAGGCAGTGGAAGGTTGTCTAAAGCACGGAGAATAACAAGATACACTGCCTTTATGTTCAGCAAAACTAAATTTCCATTTAAATATGAAGAATACATTAGTTAACCCCAAGATAAACACAAACTGGAGAACTGACTGCCTAAAAACCTGCCTCTCAAGACTGCCAAAGGAAGTTCTTTAGACCACAGGCAGTTGATCTCTGATGACAAGATGATATCACAACCAGAGAAAACACAGTTGGTAACTTCCCAAGCCACTCAGAGACACTGTGATTGCGTGTTCCATTTTCTGTACTCTCTAATATATGGAAAGTTCATATTAAAACTTTTTGCAGTTATACTTATCTGTTTTTCTTTCAGCTTCTTTAAAATACACAATAAAGTTAGATAAAGTAGTAATCAAAACAGGGTATTATAAACCAGGTGTGGTAGCACTTTTGATCCCAGCACTCCAGAGACAAAGGGAGGTAGATCTCTGTGAGTTTGGGGCCAGCCTGGTCTACACAGAAAGTTCCAGGCTAGCCAGGGCTACATAGTGAGGCCCTGAATCAAAACCAACGAACCAGCCAACCACCTCAATGTACTATAGGATGTGTAATGAAATAAGATACAGGACTGGCAAGATCGACTTTTTAAAATAAAATATACAGGGCCAGTAGTTGGCTTAGGGGGTAAACGAGCTTGCTATCAACTCTGACCACCTGAAGATGATTCCAGGGACCCACATGATAGAAGAGAGAAACAATTCTCCAGATTACCACACTCATGGCCCCCCACACAATAAAAAGTTAAACATAAACAAATAAAATACATACGGCACAACAAAGGGTAGAATCGGATGGACCTATATGGAACATTTCACTGGAGCTAAGTCTAATAATATCTGAGGTCAAAGTGTTTATTTTTGAAGTTGTTTTCCTCCTTTAGCCGTTAACACAGTGGATTGGGCTGGTTGTTCTTCTATGTCAAACCAGCCTTGCATTCCTAGGAAAAACCCCACTGGGTCACAATCTGTAACAACTGTAAGCTGCTAGGCTTCAGGGCTCCTTCACGAAGGGTATAGATCTGCAGTCTCCTTTCTTCTTTCAGACCGTTTTGTCTCATCTTTGGGTTAGGGTGATACTGAAAATACTGAAAATGATTTAATATGCATTACACTTCTGTCATGGGGAAGAAGTTGTACAGAACCTGAGTTCCCTTTCCGTGCACAGCGCACCAAAGTCTGCCTCCCTTTCTGGGTCTGCCTACTTCTCCCTGATTGAAAAGTCATTAATTCAAAGTGTTGCCTCTGATTCCAGGTGAACCACAGATTTATCCCTCTCTCCATATATGTTGACCTGGCTCCTATTCTCTTTAACATTTGCTTTTCCTCCTTTTTCTGTAAGGAGCCAATCTCCTGACCCATTGGCTCCCGTGAAAGCCACTGAAATGGTGAAAATGGTTAGACCCATTGAAGCTAGTTTCCTCTTCCATCTTAATCCTGTCTTCACCTCTAAAAGACAAACCTTAGTTATTTAATGGACTCAATAAAAGGCTACCAAGGAAGACACAGAATAAAATCTACAAGGTGCCCCGTAAACCTCTCCAGTCTCAGTTCACCTGTGTGTCAGCCTGGATACCCATCCCCACAAACTCTTCAGTGCCTTCACACTTCCTGCCATCTGTCTGTGGGGTTTGTATTCTCATATGCAATGGCTGTCACCACCAACTCTGTCTAGGTAATCCCTACCCGCTCTCCCAGGACCAAGCCTTCGCAAGCATCACAGCCTCAGTGAAGCAACCCACAAGCTTTTGTTGCATTAAACCAGTTGCGATTTGTATTTTGTGAGTCCTCTCAGGAAAGGAGTCCCCTTGGGCTAGCACAGTGCACATCTCAGTGCCCCTTGTTACCCTGGCCACTCACTTACCTTCCCCGTGTGCCCTTTCAAGTTGGTGATGTTCTCCAAGCTCGTGGTAGTGAAAATGTGAATCACGTTTCCGTTGACTGCAGCGAAGAGGTGACCTCCGTTGCTAAAGGCACACTATAGGGAGGGAGGGCAGAAAGAGGGGAGCATCTGAGTGGAGGAGGCTGGGGACTCTGGGTGGGGTGGGAGTAGGAAAGGGCTGTTTCCAGACACCACTAACGACCCTGTAGCTCAGCACCAACATCCTGCCGCTGCCTTGTCTACTAGTGGTTACACTGCTCCCATCACCGAGCCTCAGGGCGTCTGCAGAAGCTCTGCTTCAGGCTGGGGAGAGGGGGAGATGCTTTACCATCACTGTTGTGCTTCTTCAAGCCACCTGAGATAAAGCTGATGGGCTGTAACTGCATCTCACTGGTGACACTGTTTCCTCGGCTCCTCCCAGTCTCTGCTTTTACTCTCTCAACTGGGATGCTCATCTTGGGATTGCTTTTCTGCTCTAATCTTAATTGAGATGCCCAGCCTGATCACAGATGGAATCCCACAAGGCTTTAGGTCCAGCAAAATGATTTTGGTGGGTGTAGAAAAGCGCGGGCAGAACCGTGCACTTCACGAGTTTGGTGAGAGAGCACCGGCTGCTGTCTTAAGTCCCCGAAGTGCCATCAGACAGACTTTGGTCCCACAGTCTTTACCTCCTTGCAGCCTCTGACAGAATATTCTTTGAAAGGGCGGATATCATCAATGAGCAGGTTCATCAGGCGGAGTTTGTCAGCAAAGCCCACCACGATGAAGTGTCCCGACGGGTGAAGGCTGATGGTGTAGGCCTCTTCTTGGTACTCCTTAAATAGCTCCAGGGTGCTGTGAGAAAGAGCAGTTCCTGAGTTATGAGCCGAGCTCCTAGCCCTGTCGAGCCCCCCACTTTATTTGCTTTTGTGTATCTGAGCTATTTCATTGTTTGCAATGACTGTTTTCTGGGCTCCGGTTGCTGAAAGATAATAATAATTGCACGGAGTACAGCCAACATGGAAAGTAGTCAAAATACCATACACAAGCCCAGCTGAGAGTCCGAGAATTACAAGGACTACACAAATCATTTCTCCCAGCAGCCCTTTGTACACAAGAGTAAAGCAGAATTTGGGTGCAGTCTGGGTTTGGAGATCCTATTAATGGTAGGGGGCTGGGGTGGCTGGGGCAGTGAGGAGGAGGTAGAGGAGGAGCCAAAGGTCTAGAGAGATCCTGCAGCAAGAGGAACTGGGGAAAGGAAAGGGATAGGAGAGCAGAGGGGACAGAGGCATTAATGGACAATGGTGAGCTATGTGGAGTGCTTACCTCTATGTTCCTATGGTCTAGAGCAGTGTCTGGCATATAGCAAACATTTAATAAACCAGAGAGTAATTTTCTAGCCACGTGAGACTGGGAGACAGGTGACTAATTTGATAAAAGGCTTTTCCAGCTGGATGCTTTTAGTTGTTGAATTGTAAACCTCTCTAATTAAAACACTCTGCACAAACAGGCTTAATGATCGACATTTTGTACACACGACAGCAGCAAGCCTTTCCCTCCTTACTTTGATTCGTAATTCCAGATGCGGACGGAGCGATCCAGAGAACAGGTGGCAATGAGGGGTTTGCGGATGCAGGTAGCGAGGCCAGTGATGGACGCTGAGTGCAGCGGGTACAGCAGGTACTCGAAATGGGCAGGCTCTCCCTGGAGAAACCGCACGGAAATGAGATTCAGCAGGGTGAGCGGAAGGATGCCTATATCCTTCAGCGTGAATTATTAGTACCTGGGAACCTCCACGCTAAGGCAAACTGTTTTGATGTTACATGTGGTTTTCCTAAGATACTGTTATTTTAAAATCCTGGTGAGGCCATGGAACCTATAGGAGAACCTATTATTGCCCATTTTCCTCTGAACTAGTATAATCTCTAACTGCATTCTAAATACTAAATACTGATCCTTATACCCACAGGTAACACAGCTCTCATTGACTTTGACTGCTGTCAAAGAATCTTCTTTGTTTGCATACAACGGAGAATATTACAGAAATCCACAATGGTTAAAAGGCAGAGAATAACTGACCATGCTGTGCCCACATTCAACTATACATCTACAACACAACCCCCACACCCCACATTTGAGGCTCAGGGACCATCACAGAAAAGGAGACAGAAAGATTGTAAGAACCAGAGGACCAGGATATGTTCTTTGAGATAGTCTCTTCTTAAAAAAATAAAAATAAAAATAAGGACAGGCTGGGTGTGGTGGTGCACGCCTTTGACTCCAAACACTTGGGGGGCAGAAGCAGGCAGATCTCTGTGAGTTTGAGGCTAGTCTGGTCTAGTCCAAGCTAGTCCAGGACAGCCAGGGCTACACAGGGAAACCCTGTCTCGGAAAAAAAAAAAAACAAAATAAAACAAACAAAAGGACAGGATGGGGGGGATGTAGGGGACGGATCTGGGAGGAGTTGGGGAGAGAAATGGGGAGCAAATATAATCAAGATTTGTTGAAATCTTTGAACGATTACTAAAATATTACACACACATACACACATATAATTTTCGGGGCTGGAGAGATGGCTCAGTTGTTAAGATCACTGGCTGCTCTCCCAGAGGACCCATCTTTTAGTCCCAGCACCCACATGGTAGCTTGCAATGGTCTGTAACTCCAGTTCCATGGGATCTGATGCCCTCTTCCTACAGTACCAGACGCACACATGGTATATAGACATACGTGCAGGCAAAACACCCCTACACATACATAAATAGTTTTAAATTTTATTATTTTAATGGCAACATAAGTCTAGTGTCCTAAGGCTTTAAGCATTTTGAGTCTGTGGGAACATTCGTGTGGCTTTGAGAGTAACACTACAGACTGCGCATCCTTACATATAAGTCCTTATGTATCTCTCATCGCTTCCTTAAGAGATGTTTCTGGGGGAAGGGGTGGGGGAAGGGGAGAGGGGGAGAGAGAAGGGAGAAGGGAAAGACTGGGGAGAGCTTGGGGGAGTGGGAGGGTGGAGATGGAGGAAGGGTGGATATAGGAGCAGGGAAGAAGATATCTACATTAAGGGAGCCATTTTAGGGCTGGCAAGAGACTTGGCTCTAGAGGGGAATTCCAGGTGTCCACGGGGATGTCCCAAGCTAGGCCCTTGGACAGCAGAGGAGAGGGTGCCTGAACTGGCCTTAGCCCACTATCACACTGATGATTATCTCGAATATTACCATAGAATCTTCGTCCTGCGAAGGATGGAAATAGAGACAAAGACCCTCATCAGAGCAATGTACTGAGCTCCCAAGGTCCAGTTGAAGAACAGAAAGAGGGAGAAGAGAAGCAAGGAAATCAGGATTGTGAGGGGTTGGTCCACCCACTGAGGCAGTTTGCCTGTTCTAATGGGAGCTCACCAAATCCAGCTGGACTGGGACTGAATGAGCATGTGATCAAACCGGACTCTCTGATTGTGGCTGACAATGGGGGCTGATTGAGAAGCCATTGATAAAGGCACTGGGACCTGTTTCTACTGCATGTACCCGCTTTTCGGGACCCTAGTCTATTTGGATGCACAGCTTCCTAGGCCTGGATGTAGTGGGGAGGGCCTTGGACTTCCCACAGGGCAGGGTTCCCTGCCCTCTCTTAAGGAGGGAGGGGGGAGGAGGAGGGGGAGTGGGGAGGAAGTGTAAATTTTTGAATGGAAAAATAAAAAAAAGTGGGAAAAAAAAGAGATGTTTCTGGATAAATGCTATGACTGGTTTTGTTTGTTTGCTTTTGAGGCAGGGTTTCTGTGTAGCCTTGGATGTCTTAGAATTAATTCCATAAGCCAGGCTGCTCTAAACTCACAGGGACCCCACCTGCACTCACAAATGCTGGGATTAAAGGCGTGGGCTACCAACACCCAGCCTGCATTGAATGTTTTTAAGCATCTTAACAAGCAATGCCAAATTTCTCTCCAAAGAGACTGCACTTATTATGTGATTTCCATTAGCACATGAGTGTTGGGTGTGTGGTCCGGTAGGAGGCATTTTCTTTGGTGACAGAGGGAAGAGATGGGTGGAAAACCGAATGAGGTGAACACACACTAGGGCTGTTCCCAAGCCAAGACAAAGGCTGAGATGACAATTCCCACCTACTCCGGGGCTTTCCCTCTCATGAATTTACACACACCGCTCCTCTCAGCATTCCTGTCTGAGACAGAGGTGCTGTGCCTCTGTTAATCCTTTCGCCCCCAGTATGGCTGACAACAGTGCTAATTCTTATTAGCTTTTCAACATACTCACACCTTTTTTTGTTTGTTTGTTTATTTCACAAGGGAAGCAATTATTTTCTCCCTCTAGGCCCAGTAGCTGTGGAATGACGGGACTAGCCCAGGAAGCTCACTGGTCTCCCTCAGAATCCGTGGCCAGGAGCCTCCAGTGGGGATTTAGGATGATCTGCTTATGCTCTGCGATGCGTTTCCTTTTTGAATTTCCATGGTGACTATTTCATACTATTTTATCTTTTTAAGATTTATTCATTTTCATTTCATATGCACTTGTGTTTTACCTGCATGTATATCTGTGTGAAGGTGTTGGATCCCCTGAATGTTACAGGCAGTTATGAGCTGCCATGTGGGTGCTGGGAATTGAACCCAGGTCCTCTGGAAGATCAGCCAGCGCTCTTAACCGCTGAACCATCTCTCCAGCCCCATATTTTCTCTTTTCAGACCTCATGGTTTGAATAGGCTCATGTGTTTGAATACTTGGTCCCAACTAGTGACACTCTTTTGCCACTGTGACCACATACTGTGTGATTTTGTTGATATGCAGTACCCAGAATAAGCAAATCTATAATCTATAACATAGATCAGCACTTGCTTAGGACTGCGGTGAGGGGGAAGGTGGAGGGCGCCAGCTCAAGGGTATGGTATGGGCTGTTCTCTTTCTGAGGTGATGGATAGCTCCTATAATTACAGTACTGCTTGTTCAACGCTGACCAGTGACGCTACTATAAACCACCACTGGGCTAGAGATGCAGCTTAGTTGGTAGAGTGTTTGCCTAGCATATACTTGAAATCCTGGGTTTGAGCCCCAGAATGGTATGAATGGGAGAGGTAGAGGCAGGAAAGTCAGAAACCATTCTTACCTACTAGGGCTATATGAGTCCCTGTCTCAGAAAAAAAGCAAAAACATCAATTAAAACATCCCCCAAAATATGACTGAAAAGGATATGTTAAAACTGTCAGCTGAGATTATAGGTGGTCTGTAGTAATTATTTTGTTTGTTTGTTTATTTGTTTTAACAAATAAAGCTTGCCTAAAGATCAGAGTGCCAGAGTTAAGCCCCTAGAAACCAGGCAGTGGTGGCACACATCTTTAATCTCGGTATTCGGGAGTCACACCTTTTTGATCCCAGCACTAGGGAGGTGGAGACAGGAGAGACATGTCTGGGTGGAGAGAGGAATACAAGGCGGGAGGAGACAGAAGCTCAGTACAGTCTTAGGTTTCCATCTGCAGTGGAGACAGATGAAGTCTGGAGATGCAGTCTGAGGACAGGGTCGCCCCTTTGGTCTGAGCACTGGTAGAGGTAAAAGAACTCTCTAGTGGCTGGTCTCTTCTGCTTCTCTGATCTTCAGCATTAATCCCTATATCTGGCTCTGGGATTTTATTATTAATACCAATTGGAATTCATGCTACAGTGGTCTGTTTTCTTCCCTTTATGTGTTTGAGTCCATGCTGCTAGGGGACACAAGTCTGAACTGCTGTTTTACTGATGAAGTGTGCAGCGGGCAGTGTGAGCTTCACCATCCACGGTGCTTTCTGGTTATGACGTCTGGAGTGTTTTATGGTCGTTTCCTTTGCAATTCCAAAACAAGACAAAAAAACCCCAACAACCATGAAGATTATATACACATCTTTGGGCTGTGAATAGATATGATAGTAGATTAATTTCCTCGAAAAATGCAACTTCTAGCGGGACATGTGGGATTTTTGATTTTGATAGGCAACATCAAGGCTGCACGTCGTCCCCCCTCCCCCCACCAGAGAGTTTCTGCACACTCAGGTTTTCTGTTTGCTTGGATTAACAGGGTGCATGAACCACACAACTTTGTGTGAAACTCTATACACATGGTGAGCAGCCTCGGATGGGTGGGCATCTATCTCAGTGTGGACTGGAAGGGGACTCTGATGCCCCTGGAGGAAGCTCACCTTGCTGATCTCCGTCAGGGACATGGTGATGGAATAGAGTTGGTTCTTGCTGGTGCTGGCGATCAAGGTTTCTTCTGATGGGCTGAAGCACAGGCATAGAACGTCCTGTTTGTCTGACTGACTTGGGTCACTGCTTTGTGGGTCCGTAGGGATCTGGTCAAGGCACAAGACAGCCATCAGTAACTTTCTGTCACGGTCCCACATTGTCAGCATGTCCTGGATACAAGGGTTCCATTCACAGACTCCTGACCAAGCCACCGCCCTGAGCTTTCCTGGGTCTGGAGAAGAGAGGACTGGTGAGTCTCTGCTGCCGTCAGTTTTAAATAGCACCAGGTGCTCCTTGTGCAGCAACTAGCATCTGACTAGCAAGAGAGCCGAATGTGTGGGAATGAGCGGGCCAGGCAGCCCAGTGTGAGATCCCCGTCACACATATATTGTTTAACCTGTGAGAGCACCCACCTGTTGAAAGCCCAGGGCATGGGCTCGCTTGGCACCCAGCATCCCTGTGTGTACTTTCAGTGCATGGAAGGGAGGCGGTGGCCTCTCTACAATACGGGGTGGGCAAAAGGGGTAAGGAGAAGAAGGGTTCACTGATGCCTCCAGTAGGCTTGGAGAGGAGCTGTTGTTCCCAATGAGACAAAATAAAATTAGATTTCCTTTCCCTCTCTATATCAGATAGTGACCAAATGTGTTGACGGGCCAGCCTGCCCAGGTCTTAGTTTCCTAGAGCAGTGGTTCTCAACCTGTGGGTCGCGACCCCATTGGGTTTGCATATCAGCTGTTTACATTACAATTGATAACAGTAGCCAAGTTACAGTTATGAAGTAGCAATGAAATAATTTTATGGTTGGGGGTCCCCACAACATGAGGAACTGTGTTGAAGGGCCACAGCATTAGGAAGGCTGAGAACCACTGACTTAGAGCCTGTTTTGCACTTCTTAAGCTTGCTTACATGAGCCACCCCCCCCCCCGCCCCCCATTCCAACTTTCCTATCCTCTTTATTTATTTCCTCATCTCCTGGTCTTCCCCGTCAGGGCTTTGTCACTGAAGAACAACTTGCTGGTCCACGTCATTTCTGTATCGTTTATTCCATAAATGTGTGTGCTGGGCAGTGTGCTTATATAATGACGGAGCACATATAGATATAATGATGGGAAGGTTATGGGATATCAGGCTTCAGAGAGGAAGTCTGTCTTCATTACTTTGACACATTTCCTCATAGGACTTAAATCCAGATCCTGCTACTTCTATATCCGGTTTTCCCAACCCGGTGTACCCACCCCTAGTTTCTCAGGGTGGGGCTCTCTCTCTCTCTCCCTCTCCTCTCCTCTCCTCTCCTCTCCTCTCCTCTCCTCTCCTCTCCTCTCCTCTCCTCTCCTCTCCTCTCCTCTCCTCTTCTCTCTCTCTCTCTCTCTCTCTCTCTCTCTCTCTCTCTCTCCCCAGTCCTTCCTGTGCAAATGCTGTCAGAGCACGGCTGCTGCAGGACAACGCCCTCAAGGACCCCATTTGCGTCCTCCTTACCCGGATTTCCCTGCTCTCTCGGTAAACGTCCTTCTCTTCCACCTTCTCAAACAGCAGCACTCTCCCCGGCCCAGCGGAGCAGGCAAAGCCCTTGGAATAGGCGGCGATGGCAAACACCTGGGGCATGGACATGTGGTGGGTGTAAGTGGTGGCCACGACCTGTTCAAAGGAGGGGTCCGGGGAGCTGGGTGGTGGAAACTCGATCAGGCTGGAAGAGGAAAAGAGCACAGAGCGTTATTGGAGGCCACCCCGAGGAGAAGCATTGAGCTCTGGAGGGGGCAAGGAAGAGTGGGGGCACACAGGTTTTATTCCAGGACAGGGGAGGCAGAGGCAGGTGGAATCTCTGTGAGTCAAAGGCCAGCCTAGTCTACAGCATGAGTTTCAGTATGGAAGCCACATAAGGAGACCTTGTCTTCTGAGAGCAGCATGGGGGATATCCTTGGTTGTGAGTGATGCCACCCAGTGATATTCTTTCCCAGGGTCAAATGCTGCCATCTGGCTTGGGAATTCTAGCCAGCACAGTGAGTATGCCTGCTAGACAGAGGACGGCGATTCTTAACTTTTGTTTAGAAATAAGTGGTTCAGGGGACTGAATATAGTAAGATCATACAACTGCCCGGCAGAGCTGAGATTTGAACCCAGGTCTCTCTTTTCATTCATTCACTCATATAATAAATATTTATACCTGCTCATAAATGTTAGAGTTATAAGGGCTCCGCGAAACAACAGTAAACAAGATCAGTACAGTTCTTGCCCCCAGAAGCTTCAAGTCTCGGGCCCATGTGCTAAGGACTGTTAAGGGGCAGCTAGGCATGCCACAAGCAATAGAGGCTTTCTGAGGGCAGGAACTGAAGAGCTGCGCTGCTTTAGGTGAGCAGAAGCCGAGTGCTCTTAGTTGGGTTCTCTAGGACAAACAGGAACAGGTAGGGGGCAGACAGAGAGACTTACTCTGACTGAGCACACAAGAAACAAGAAAATGTGTTGGTCATGCAAGGAACCCAGAGAGGAGACTTGACATTTCTTTCCGGGAGGGGAGAGAGGTGGTACTGCCTGGGCCGAGCTAAGGGGCTTCTGTGCTGGGAGTCCTGGACCCACCAAAATACTGTGCGTACAGCAGATGTAGACATGTGTCTTCATCAAATGTTATTATAAAATTCCAAGGCTCTGTGATATAGAAGGGATAATCTGAACTACCTAAGGTAAGTGGTCCCTAGTGAAGGGGGAAGCGATTCCATCAAGAACTCCTTAGGAAGCCCTTCACAAGCCATAAGATAAGGAGGTGCCAACTGGCACAGGGAGGGATTGTGGGAATGGGGGGGGGGGAGGACCAGTAGTTACTGAGGAGGAAGACCCCCCAGGGTGCCAGGTGGTGGGGATATTGGGCTCTGGGCTCAGAGAGAGGGAAATGGAATTCTAGTCCTGTCATACAGTAGTGCTGAGATCTTAGCCTCTGGCCCCTGGTCTGTAAAAGCTGGGACGAGGATGCTATAATCCGTGAAGAAAAGGACTCACACGGGCTCGTCAGCAGTGTCTGTCACATCCCACGGCACAGTCCGCCAAGTGTGAGATGTGGCCACTGCTGTTATGGTGCAGATGAAACCAACCCCCCTCCCCTGTACCCTGTTACCACCCTTTCGTCTGATTGTCCTAGTCCACTTCCTTGTCCCCTTTGCTCCTGGTTGCCTCCCATTAAACTGTCATCACATGAGGGCCTGTGTTTCCAGTACCTGGCTGGGCGCTTAGCACACCACCAGGGTTCTGAGGCTGGGCGATGGTGGCGCACGCCTTTAATCCCAGCACTCAGGAGGCCGAGGCAGGTGGACCTCTGTGAGTCCAAGGTCAGCCTGGTCTACAAGAGCTAGTTCCTGGACAGGCTCCAAAGCTACAGGGAAACCCTGTCTCGAAAACCCAAACCAAAAAGAAAAAAAAAAGAAAGAAAGAAAAGAAGCTTTTGGAAAAATCTACAATTTTGAAGACTTGTCATTCTGAACTGTATAAAATGAGAATAGGCATAAAAATAAAAACTTGTATTTAGGCAGGCCATGGTCATAACGATGGGGTTTGTGCTTGAATAGAGGCAAATGCTAAAATAGGATGAAATGAGCATAGTTGGTTTTCAAGGTGGAGAGGTGGTGACTGACTTAAGATTTCTTTGTTCTCAGTTTCTATTGGGTGTCTGGCTTGTAAGTGACCTCAGAGACCAGAAGAGGGCGCCAGATGCCCTGGAATGGTTGTGAGCCGCCTTGTGAGTGCTTGGGAACCACACCTGTGTCCTCTGCCAGACCAGTACCTGCTCTAAACTGCTGAGACATCTCTCCGGTCTCAATGAGAGGCTTTGGGAGAAGCCCACGAGGGTGGGCACTAGCCCAGTGGAAGGCGCTATTACCTCTCTGACTCATGGATGATTTCCAGGCTCCTGGAGCTGGTGGGCTCCTTCACCATTATGTTCGTCTCCCAGCGTGGATCTCCAGACTCAAAGAGGAAGAGCCTGCCGGTGTCAGTGCCAACAATGATCTTATCATCAGACACCCAGGCGTGGGCTAGGTAGTTTGGGGATTCTCCCCTCTGGAAATTGGTTTGCTTTAGGGTTCCTTCGGCAAAGCGGAGAAGCTTAAATATCCCGTTCCCAGTGACACAAACTTGAGTATTATCCTGGGGGTTGATGCTGACCTGCAAATGCCAGGAGATACCAGAAAAATAAAAAGATTGGCCGACTCTTGATGGGATTATTCACCACTTTACCAATTAACATTCACTTTAGGTAGTTCATAATATCTTGTACACAAAGTCATGGAATTTTATATTATATTTGATGGAAGATACACATCTACATCTACTGGATGGAATTTCAGTCAACATTTTTTTTTAAAGTAGAATTAACAATCTTTTTCATTTTTATAGCCCAGGCTGGCCTTGAACTCACTATGTAGCCCAGGCCGGTCTTAAAAGGATATGCCTCCTGACTCAACTTCCTGAGTGGTGTGATTACAGGCATGCGCTAACATGTCTCCTCGTATGCGCAGAGCTATACTCTGGGTCAGCACGAGGGGATGAAGTTCAGTTGGAAACAGAGTCATGGGGTTGAGCGGGTGTCTGGAGGCCTGTCCGGGGGAAGAAAGCACACATCCCACCAGATCAATCTCCTTCAGCTGGAGTCTTTATCCCAACACACGCTAACGGTAGTTAACCTGCTGCCCTCACTAGACGGAGAGCAGCTTGGGGGTACACTGCTGTCGAGTCTGTGTCCTTGGGATAGGTGCAGAGGGGACGCCCAGTAGATGCTCACTGGATCTTCTGTAGAGGAGGTGCTCTCTGCTCTGGGAAGGGGTATCACTGGGACACTGCGGCCTGGGTAAATCGGTTCTCCCCGTCTTTGTGATTTGGCTATCAATACTCTTACCGTCATTGTATTAAGAAGGGGTATGAGTGCTTGGCTGGCGGTGCCATGGCCCACACGCCAACCTCTGAGAGATGAATGACGCATGCTCAAGGCTCGGATGAGCTACTATCTGTACACATGGACAGACAGACTTCTTGAACTTGTGAAAATGAGTACAAGACACTGGACAGGAGTATAAAACCTGGGTCTCACTGCCCAGGCAGTCGACCTGCTGGTTTTCTAGGGGGTTTTCATTCTGTCCTGAAACCGCAATAGAAAATTCTGTTCTCTACACAACTGTAACTTACAGCTTCTTACACATCTACCTTTCCACTAGGCGTGGCAGCATCTACCTCTAGTCCCAGCACTCGGGGCAGGGAAGATCGTAAATTCGTGGCTAGCCTGAGCTATGTAGTCACAACCTGTTTTAAGATAAAAAAATAACACCCCTCCTAGACAAAATAAAAACCCAAATCTACTACTTTATATGGCATTCCTGAAATCCCCTGACTGTCCACAAGTCTACTGCAAATGGGCCGGAACCAAGGACACCACAGCTGGGTCTGACCTGTGCTGGACGTAGTTCTGGGCCGTAGGGAAGAAGGCAGATGACAGAGTTGGGAATACCTGGCCCTGCCTCTCACTTCTGCAGTCTGGGATGGGCTATTTAGCCTCTTAGAGCCTCGGGCCCCTCACCTCTAAGATGGGACAATAACTACCTCTGTTTTCTGTGCTTCTTGAGAAGCTCAGGGTTAAAACACATGGGAGGAATGAGCGCTGTGGGGCAAAGTTGGTGTTTCTGCCTTACAGCGGGGCGAGGCACGCGTCATGCCGGGGTACCTGGTAGATGGGGTTGTTCTGCACGTCAGATCTAATAATGGCCATTACTTTCTGCTTTTCCCATAGCCAATAGACGAGGTTTGACTCTGGAGGTGACGTCTGTGTCAGCAGGTATTTAGAGTCTGGAGAGAAAGCCATGCTGACAAACTTTTGAACTTGGAAGTCAAAATTATTCAGGACTTTGCGCTTCCGGCAAGGGATGGATGACAGCTCGTAAATAGTGATGGTGGGTCTTTCCAGCACAGTCTCGGAGATAGCGAGGTATCGCCGATTGGGACTGATGGACAAGGCCAGCATGCCCTGGCTCTTGTCTGAGCCTGCAAAAGGAGGCAGAAGGGGGACTGAGGGTAGACAATGCTTCCATCAAGGTCCAACAGGCTTAGCAAGGGGCACCACCGGCAGAGGAGAAACATGTACAAACGTGCAAAGATCAGTCCTTGGCCATCCCTTGGTTTAACCGTATGCAGGCAAGTGTGAAAATGACCGGGATGGGTGCCTCACTAGGTCAGTTAGGATGCTAAGGAATCTTTCTTGAGTCAGGACCAGACAGGATGGAAAAGGCTGCACACGGCAGGAAGAGCCTGAGCAGTGTACGGCTGTAGTAGAGGGTGCAGGACGGTGGGGAATCCCAAGGATATGGATTGCTGGAGCACTGTGTGGGCGTCAGGGGAGACCAGGGATGGGCCGCCAAGGGTGGGATAGGCTCTAAGCCTACGGCCTCCACGCCTTGAGAATCCAGCATTTGGTACTCTACTGTCGAGGCCAGATGCTAACTACTCAGTTCCTCAGTCTGGCAGCTAGGCAGATGTGGAAGTCTATGATGAAGCTTTGTGCTTCCTTGATAAGCAGAGACACATGCGTGCTCTTTTCCCTCTTCCAAGAGTTTAGATGACACCGGAAGCAGCCAGCATCTTGCAGCCGTGCAGTAACAGGCAGGAAATGAGAGCTGTGGTGAGAATCTAAGTGTGAACACTTCAGCCAGACACGCAGTAGGGCCACAGCGGCCACTCTGCTTTCGTGGGTCTCTTCCTTCATTAAAAATGATAAAAACAGGATTGATGACTTTTCCACAGGACCAGAGTTAGGTTCCCAGCACCCTTATCAGGTGGCTCACAATCACTTGTAACTTCATATACATAATTACAAATAAAAATTTAAAAACAATAAAAATCGGGCTAGCAAGATGGCTCAATGGGTAATAGTGCTTGCTGTTAAGGCTGATGCCAGAACCCACATATTCTGACCTTTATATACATGCCATGGCATGCAGGTGTACAAGCATGAACACACACACACACATTGAATAAGTAAGTATAATAGAATTGAATATATATTATATATATAATTATATATGTATATGCATACAATATTATATACACATATATGTTTATTTTACATATATAATTATATATTTTATGGTTATACTAACATAGACAAAATATAATTCAGACTGGATTTACTATCATAGAATCACTATTGCTGTATTCATTTTGTTCTCACATTAATGCAAAGTAAAATCTTTTCATAGGCCCCAAAATGTTGTGGGCCCTGGGCACTGGGCACAGGGATGGGTCACCTGTGGATGTGGGCCTCAGACAGGGAGGTTGAGTGAGGGAGGGGAAGCTGCACTAGAGGATTGTGTGGGAGTCCCTCTGTGATGGGCTCCATGCTGCTACTTTCCAGCAAGCTCAGGAGGGACGAGCATGTGGTTCTGCAGCACATCTGCCCTTCTGCAGGACAGCTGAAGAAACAGCTGTGTCAGAGAAGATCAAGGCTCTGGGTCACTGAGACACCTGTACAAAGCTTAGACTGCCGCTGGGAGCAAACAGGAGCCACTGGGAACCTTCACGAAGGGTCAGACGTGCGTTGTGGGAAGATTTCCCTGGCAGCTGTGTGGAAGGCAGTCCTGGAGGCAGGGGATGTATAGGGCTAGAGGTGATGGGAGCACCATGCTATATGAAGGCAGCAGGAAGAGCAGACATGGAAAAGGGGGGACAAGGGAAATGTTACTAGGTGGAACCAGCAGGCTTCAGCGATTGACTGGGGGGGAGGCATGAACAACATCGAGGTTTCTGAGCTCTGCGGAGAAGTGGGAAACCGGGGCTGGAGTACAAGCTGAATAAGTTAGACTCTGTTGACTTTTGCTTAAACTGGCCCCTCCGAGTCACTGAACTTTCATTATATGTATTTGTTTCTAGATTTCAATAATTTGATTGATTTACATTTAAGTTTTCAATCTATCTTGGGCCCAATATGAGAAAGGATAATTAGAGACACTAGGGTCTGGAGAGACGGCTCTGAGGTTAAGAGCATCTCCTGCTCTTCCAGAGGACCTGGGTTCGAGTCCCTCTACCTGAGTTTGGAGGCTCAAACTGCCTGTAACTTCAGCTCCAGGGGATCTGATGTGTGCTTCCAGCCTCTGCAGGCACATGTACACTCACACAGGCACACACAGTTTTTAAAAGAAGAAAAGAAGTATGACTTGAAAAGGCTTGCCATTTCTCAAAGACAAAACTGGCTAGCCTAGCACTGACTCCTAACACCACTTGTATATTAAAGTTACATATTTATATTCATACTTACTGGGATACTTATGCCTGGGCTTCATTGCATTGGTAATAATGTCTTTAACATGAGTCTAAATATCCAGCAAGGAAAGAACATGAGGAAAGAGGAAATAATAAAAATGGATTTTGAAAAAAAAATTTCTGATCTCTCAAGCCGGGCCGCGGTGGTGCATACCTTTAGTCCCAGCACTTGGGAGGCACAGGCAGGCTAATCTCTGTGAGTTTGAGGCCAACCCTGGTCTATGGAGCAAATGCCAGGACAGGTTCCAAAGCTACACAGAGAAACCCTGTCTTGAAAAAAAAAACAAAAACAAAAGATGGATTTTGGATGTATACTGTGAATTCCATAGTGTGAAAATTTGGGGGCAAAAGGGTGTAGAAGTTGGATAAGATTCTGAAGCTGAGGGCAGAGCTTGGGACTGAAGCAAGGATGGGAGGGAAATGGCACAGTGAGAAGTTAAAGCTGGGGACATGCTCGTGTCTGGAGGAGGCAAGGGGACTGTGTTCACGCCTGTGCTTTCTGCCAGGCTACACTGGGAAAAGCGTTCCCCCCCCCCCATTGATACCAGTCTGCGTACTGGAAAGCATGCTAGTCTCTGCCACAGCACAGGGCTTGTGGAGGGGCCATGGTCCCATTCATTTGTTCACTTCCCAGAGACTCAATACTAGCAGGTGCTTGGTGTAGCCATGTCTTGCGCAAGAACAAGCATGCTGAGACCTGTGTCCTTAAGTGAGTTTTGTGAAGACTGTGGTGTGCACTGAAGCAAGATGTCTACAGCATCACTAGGCAACACAATGCTCTGAGACCACTGCAAACACAGTCACTGATAGCAATACTTTGGTGTGCCAGACACCTTCACATTGCTCTCAGTCCAGTTAATTCAGTTATCCTTGAAATAGCTCCGTCTCTCCCACAGGAACACACCTCCCATCTTCTTGGTCCCTCTTCTGCTAGTTCTTCATCAGCTCCTCATCCCTAAATGGAGGTGGGTCCCAGAGCTAATGGAAGCCTGGGAGTCCGAACTGCCCCTTTCCCTTCCAGTTAGTTGCTTCTATGTGTCTCAAGTAGATGTGTCTCCTCACTCAGCCCTTCCTGCCTCTGTGCTTCCATGTCTGTTTGGGAGGAAACCAGTCATGCCTACTCCAAAACAGACCCCGGACTGGCCTCACCATCCACAAGGACTGTCCTCAACCTGCCTTAAGCACCTCATCCCCTTGCCTGATGCAGCGCCCTCTCAACAGGGCTCCTTGCTACCCTTGCTCTTCCTTAAGTGTCCCCTCTCCCCCCGTAGAGTATCTAGAATGAACTTGTGGGAAGGTCAGCTGCACTGGGCTGCTCTGCCCCAGGCTTCTCATCACACACCTGGGTAGCGCTGCCCCTGCCCCTGTTGCCTTGCCTCTTGCTCCCTGCTTCCCCATTCCCTGCACCCCAGCTGCACTGGCCTCTTTGAGATTCCTCTAACACACTCATCACCCTTCTAGGGTACCATCCTTTTTACTCTCTCCCTCCTACGTTAGCATGGCCAGCTCCTTGACGACCACCACTCATCACCAATGGTCATTTATTCAGTAAACCATCTCCAGCATCCTGCCACTATCTGACGTTTCAATTTCACATTCCCTCGAAGTTCTTCACTTTCCAGGCCCTATTCCTTCTCATTAACATCCTTGTTATTGCTTGTTGTTGCTCCTCCTGTGTGTAATAAAGGCACTATGAAGACAGATGTGTGTGTGTGGTTAGGAAGTGTCTAGTGAATTTTTGTGAATGAACAAATGATTATGTCTGAGCCTCATTATTACTTGGTGAGCACAGCAGCTGGACATCAGATCAATTTCACAGATGAGGACACTGAGCTTATAAAATGGAAAACTAGATAAAGCTCATATCTTCAAATTCATGACCCTTTTCATTTCATGTATAATGATTTAAGATCTGGACACTATGGAACCTGCTCTGGTCTGTATATTTTATACTGCTCCTCCCCTGGCTATAGTCCTTACTGGGAGGTGAAATTCAGGACACCTGCAACTCTGAATTGCCTTTTCCAGATCATGTCCCAGATGCCCGGGACTGTGGAATGCCATGCCTGGCTGGTTTTGAGCTTACTGGCAGCATCATCACCAGTCTTGTCCTCCTCTTCTTTCTCTGACCTTTGCCTGGGCTTGAAGGATGCTTATAGGGCAGCTACTTACAGGATGCATGGGAAGACCTTGAACCTTGTGGCTGGGAGGATTCTCACATGTGGAGGTGAGGTTCTTGGTAACACAAGATGAAGCTCCAAGAAGCGAAACGGTCAGAGCAGGATGTATGAACATCAACAGAACAACTGAAATTTAAATCTCTGGATACAGAGTGGAAGATGGTTCAGTGGTTAAGAGCACTTGCTGCTCTTCAGGGGACCTGGATTTGATTCCCAGCACCCACATGGCAGCTCACAACCGTCTATAACTCCAGTTCCACAGGACTGACACTCTCTACTGGCTTCCACAGGCATGGCACACATGTAGTACACAGACACAAATGGAGGTAAAACACCCATATACATGAAAAAAATCAATCAATCAATCTCTGGACACAGTAAGCAGTGGGTTGGATACAGCAGTGAAGAAAAGGATCAGGAAGCTCGTAGGTGACAGAGAGAGACCAGGAAATGGGAAATCCAGGGAAGAGTATAAAAAACGTGAGGACTCAGTTGCAATGGTCGAAAGTTCCCAATGTGGCATATGCATGACCTGAGATGGGCTGGCTAGTGGGAGGGGTGGGTTGAGAGAAAAGCAATAGAGAAACCCTAGGACTAGCTGATCCCGGGTGCCTGGGTGCACAGCAATTCATTAATGATTGTGGTGTTTTATATTTGCACATGAACGAATAAAAATGGTCAATGCAAAAAAGTGGGGGAACTGTCATGAATATCATTGACTGGACTAATGTAAACAAAAACAGAAGTCGGGTTCTAAGGAAGATTATTTGTTCCTTAGAACAAAAGAACAAGGCCAGGCGGTGGTGGTGCACGCCTTTAATCCCAGCACTCGGGAGGCAGAGGCTGGCGGATCTTTGTGAGTTTGAGACCAGCCTGGGCTACAAGAGCTAGTTCCAGGACAGGCTCCAAAGCTACAGAGAAATCCTGTCTCAGAAAAAAAAAAAAGAACAAAAGAACAAAGGACTTAGGATAAAATCTCCAGTGTCACCATCATACAAGGGTTCAATGAAGATGGTGCACTCTTGGACTCTTAGACCCAACAAGGGGTTCTGGTGAAGACAAACGCAAACCTTCAGAGAGTACAAGAAAAACACTGCTTAAAGTAACTCTTCTATCAAGCCACAGCGAAAAAATGCTTTTAAAATTAGCGTTATTTTGCATGTCACGTTGACTACATGTGTCAGGTTAATCTATATTCAAAAAGTGCAAATTGACACTTATTTTCTCTACATTTATAAAACTACATGCACATCGTAGTTGTCAAAAAAAGACCTCCCCCCCCCTGTTTTTAGCCCAGGCTGGCCTCGAACTTGTGATCCTCCTACCTCTGCCTCCTTCAGCAAATCCTACCGGCGTGCGCCACCACAACCGGCAAAAAGACCTTCTTAATCGTTGAGTTTGTATGGTTCTGTGTAGCACATGCCTTTCATATATGTGGCAGGGTGGGGAGGTTTTTTTTTTTTTTCTTTTTACCTGGAATGAATTTTTGCCATTTCTGATCCAGATTGTACTTCACACAGTGATTTCCTGAAGGAAATATAATGATCTGTTCATCGAAGAAAAAGATATTGTTGGCCACGTGGGACCGAAGACCAAAAACATGCAGCGCCTGAGCTACCACGGTGGACATGGAACCTGTCAAAGATTACTGCTGAAGAAGAAGCAGCAGGTCGGTGAGCGTGGAGAAGCACGTGACATGTCCCGCCCCGCCCACGGCCCCGCCCCAGTGGACTCGGCCTTGGGCCCGCCCCTTCTGGCCCCACCTCACCCCTCCACGCCCCGCCCCCAGACCCCTCTCCTTGTCGCCCTACCCCCGAGGCTCCTTCCGCGCTTTGCCTTTCTCTCTTGCGCTCTCAGGATCTTCGGAGGACCCCAGAGAAACGCCTCACCTCTCTTCACGACTCTGGGTTACCAGACCACGCAGAGATCTGCAGGTACTCCTCCTAAAGATCCGGCGCAACCCGGGCACGCCCAAACGCCGGAGCCGTTCCTATAGCAACGAGAAACCGGAACGGGGCTCTGCACCCGGAAGCGGAAGTCCGGGTCGAAAAGCCAGAGGCTAGTGGAGAAGTTGCTGGCTCTGGTGCTTGCTTCTTCAGGGCACGTGGAGCGGCGGGCGCACCCCGCGGGGCGGGAGGTTGCGAGATGGACACCCCTCCGCTCTCGGACTCGGAGTCGGAGGAGTCCCCGGTCTCAGACCAGGAGGTAGGCGGCAGCGGGGCTCGCGGGGCGGGACGTGGAACGGGAACCCGAGCTCTTTGGTACTGACGCGCCCGGGTCTGTAGTTGCAGGATGCGTTTACCCGCGGACTCCTGAAGCCAGGCCTCAATGTTGTGCTCGAGAAGCCGAAGAAGGCGGTGAATGATGTGGTGAGCTCGCACGCGGGTCGGGGTTCCTTGGTGTGCACAGGCGCCGTACTCCTTGGGAAACCTGTTCTTGTGAGAAAGATGCAGCCAGCGCCTTGACCAGGCGGTTCGGCTTCCTGTGCTGGTATTTGAGCTTAGCACTTTGGGCTCGAGAGAGACAAACTCTGGGTTCTCATGGGCACTGTATCTGACTTACCTAGAATGGTCTGAAACAGTGTTTGGCCGAATTCAAACGGGATCTGGAATGGGTTGAAAGGCTCGACGTGACCCTGGGTCCAGTGCCAGAAGTCAATGAAACTCAGCCAACGCCCGAGAACAACGACCAGAAGAAAGGTGTTAACCCAGAAGACGACTTCAAGAGGGAAATGAGTTTGTACGTCTTGTTCTGGGTCCTTTGAGATAAGAGAATCACGGGAAGGGGAACATGGTATGGCTGCACCCTCAGAGGCACCGAGGAGTTAGTACGAACCTGAGAGTGGAGCTAGGGTTCCTCCTGCTTGAGAGACCACTCCCTCGTCTTCATTGAACCAGCACCCTGCTTGAGGGATATTTCAAAATAATTCATTTCAAGTTAGTGTGGGTGCATCCAGTCATTAGAACAGACTGCCTAGGGGAGGTTGCGAGTGGACTTTCAGTACAGGTTGGGAAAGAGTTCGGTTTGTGTGCTAATGTACCTTTAATAAGCTCATCGTTTTAAACAACTGATTAGAAGCATTTCCCCTTAAAAGCCAGTGAAAAGTGAGATGTCTCTTATATATGAAATTGGGAATTAGTGGAGTTTTATTGCAGTTTTTGTTTACTTTGTCTTGCTAGTGGGATGTTGATAGTCTGGTCAACTCCTGCGAGGCAGTAAGACCCTTTATTTCACACTGTTCTGCAATCTCAGCTACCGCCAGGCCCAGGCTGCAGTGCTCGCAGTATTACCCCGGCTCCATCAGCTCCAAGTCCCCACCAAGCGGCCCACCGATTATTTTGCAGAAATGGCCAAGTCAGATCAGCAGATGCAAAAGGTAAGAGAGACAGGCAACTTTTCCTTCTGGAAAGCCACGGCTTCACCGTGAAGTATGTCTGTTCAGTTGGCTCATTTGCTGTTGTCTTTAAAGAGGATTTGTGCTGGCTGCTGTTTTCAGTATTTCTGTGTGAGTCCCTGCCTCAGAGGCACGCCAGTCTGTCCCTTAGATACAATAGGGAGAGAAGAGCTGGAAGAAGTGTGGTCCCTGTAATAAAGAAGACTTGCGTATTTTCTCCCTGGCAGGCTTGGTGGCATGGTGTATAGATACAGCAGTCTTGTAGTTCTGGGCCCACTTTGCCAATGAAACCCTACTGCTTGTAGACAGGTTTTTCTTCTCTGGGTCTCCGTTTTCTAGAAAGTGAGGGGTAGATATATGACTCAGACAGAGTGTCGTTTAGAGTTGGGCGACTTGATCTTCACTTAACTTTGGGAGGAAAAACCTTCCTGATGTCGCAGCTAGGATGTATTTAGATTGTTCCCTTGGCCTCAGTCTTCATCTCAGAGAATTCTAGGTGGTACCCCCAGAAGCTAACCCCGAGACAAGCCCAGCTACACCTGATAGCCACGCCGATGACTACTAACGCTTTCAGTAAAATATATGTGTTTGATGGGGGAGGCCCGGGTCAGTGTGCAGGAGTTTGTTATATACCTGGCCTGTTAGAAGAGGGCATTGAAGTTTAGCCTTAATCTGTAAACAGGGCTGGGAGAGACAGGTCTCGTGTGACAAGCAGGTGGCTTTGTGTAATAGAACAAGCATGCTGAGGCAGGGCTGCTTTTAAGCTCTGGCTGTGCCCTGACACTTTTGGTGCCCTGATAAAGACTCAGCTTTGGGGCTGCATTGTCTGTATGTGGGAAACTAGGGAAGTTCCACAGCTTTCAGAGTTAATGGAACCCCAGAGTCCTAGTCCAGTGTGCTCCGTACAGTGCCTGACTGCATCCTGTGTTTTAGATTCGACAGAAGCTGCAGACTAAGCAGGCTGCCATGGAGAAATCTGAAAAGGCCAAGCAACTTCGAGCGCTTAGGAAATATGGAAAGAAGGTAAGAAAGAACACCTGAACGGATAGGACAAGGCCAGGAATGCCAGGGCAGGTTGCTGTGGTCCGATTTGGGTCCGGCCCTGTGTGTGTTTGGTCCTGTGGGCCTCACTGGCGAAGTGTGTCTGCTGGTATCCCTGAGCGCAGGTTCACTGGCACCATGGGAGACTATGGTGCACTCAGCATAGTGTGGTAGCAGCAGGTGAGCTGATGGATAGACAACCTTTGGGGTCATGGTTTGGGATGCATGACTGACCTTGTGTCTATCTTACAGGTACAGACTGAGGTCCTGCAGAAGAGACAGCAGGAGAAAAAACACATGATGAATGCTATCAAGAAATACCAGAAAGGTCAGTGTATCTGTCTGCTGAGGGTATAGGGCAGCCTGGGTATTGGGTACCTGAGAACTAAGGGAGTACAGTGTAATGTGGTGCTGTAGTCATCTTCCTTTCACTCTACGGGGCTTAGGCTTGGGAAATGGTGTGGGGACTGAGGTGTGCTCTTTAAGACATATTTCCTAGAGATACAGTGGTGCTGATGGAAATGCTTCTTCCTTCACAGGCTTCTCTGATAAGCTGGATTTCCTTGAGGGGGATCAGAAGCCTGCTGAACGCAGTACAAAGGCCAGAGCCAAGAGCCAGCAGATGAGTAAAGGGTAAGGGCTTTCAGTTTGGTTTGTCTTGTGATGGCCAACTGTCAGAGTGGTGATGGAGCCCCCCAGGGATGGCCTCCAGTGTAGAGTGCCGATGCTCAGAGGACAGTGAGTTTGATCCCGTGGGACGGGCCTGTGGCTACAGTAGTGTTTGGAGGGGGGTCGGTATCTGGATCATTTGAAATGAGCATCAAATGGCTGTTTTACTACAAGACCCTCAGTGATGGTGGGGAGTTCAGCCATTCATTAGGAGGGAGGCTTCCAGCCTTGTAGTTGCTTTGTTTACTGAGGCCACGGTTTGTGCCCCAGGGCTATGAAGACCTAAAGGGGCAGGGTTCACTGTTCCTCTTCTCAATCTCACTTTCTGCCCTGGTGGGCGCAGGCCCAGGGGTGATGATTTCCCTATATGTCAGGGGATTAATGTGGAAGCACATTTTAAAGTCCTGGCACACTCTGGGGATGGCTTCCTAACGGGGACTGTCCCACCTGAGCCTAGTGTGAAGGACACGCATGTCTGAGCAGGAAAGTGGGAGAGAGTGTTTCAGGAGGAAAGAACCGGCGTGAGCAGAGGCACAGGGAGGGGAGCCAGTGGGTTGCATGTGAGGAGCAGCCTGTGTTGCCCTCACTAGAAAACACTGTGAAGCCAGGAGCTAGGGAGCCTTCGTCCTGTTGGCATTAGGGGGCAGATACTGGCTTGACTCACGCATGAGCAGATCACACTCCCATTTTGAGAAGGTAACAGGTTGTGTGTGTGTGTGTGTGTGTGTGTGTGTGTGTGTGTGTGTGTGTGTAAATAAGCGGCAGTCAGGGAAGTGGAAACATAAGTGATCGTACAGAAGCCCCAGTGAGTAGTGGTAGTCCCTCGAAAGTGCCATGTGCAAGTAAGAAAAGTGGGGTGAGGGCTGGTTAAGATGTCAGACGAGCAGATAGTAGGAGACACCAGTTCCAAGTTGACATCTCTAGAGCAGCTGGAACAAGCCCAGGAGGGGAGGTGTGCTTGGCTAGGCTGAATTTGACAGGTTTTAAAGTTTGTTACATTTGAATGCTCACTGATTTTGCCCTCCAGAGAAGTAGAGACAACTAAGGCTGAGTGAGCTAGCGGGATTGAGTTAGATGGATGCCAGTGGAAACTGGAAGCTGAGTGGTGTTTTTAGATCCTTTACTGGGTTTTCTCTGTTAGTTTTCCTTCTCTGGAGTTACTTCATTACCAGATGAGTTTGCCTGGGTGGTTTGTAGAGTGAACGTAAGCCCGAGAAGAGACCTGCAACAGTGGTGCCTAAGATCTTCGCAGAAAGGGGCCTGCGCCTGTCAGTGCAGTAATCTGTGGGGCCCCCTTTTCCAGGCCCAGTGCCAAACGACGGTACAAAAACCAGAAGTTTGGTTTTGGTGGAAAGAAGAAAGGCTCCAAATGGAACACTCGTGAAAGCTACGACGATGTCTCCAGCTTCCGAGCCAAGGTGGCTCACGGCAAGGGCCCCAGGAAGTCTGGGAAAAAAGGGGCAAATGTAAGTGAGGGGTCCAGGCGGGGGCCTAGTCAGTCTGTTTTCACCCCCAAATCTGCGCCTCTTGGTTCCTTCTTACGCTGGCACAGAAGGCCAAGAAGTATGTGACTACCTTTGAATTTTTTGTTTTGTTCTTGCAGAAGCGCCCAGGAAAACGAACAAGACAGAAAATGAAGAGCAAAGCCCGCTGAGCAGCATCGTTCTAAAGAACCAAGGAAAAGGGTGAATGTACAGACTGCAAACACTCAGAGTTTTCGTCTTTTTGTAGAATTTTTTAAAATAAATTAAACTTATGAAAGGTATTCTTGGGTCAAAAACAGAGACTAAAAGATTGAGAAGTTTGCATATTAAATAATATTGCTGACAATTAGTCCTGCCTTTCTTTGG